GCTCAGAGGACTGCGGGTGAATTCAGATGTCATCTGATGGCATTTACTCTATGTCAGGGTAAAATGATTAGTGATTCAGATGCTACGTAAGAGTGCTGATGCAAAACAATCTCTCCTAAACCATGTCCAACTTCTACTGAAAGTAGAGCCATTGTACATCTAATTTTGACCATGTAGCTGAGGATTACCACGCAATATACGCTAATCAATTCTGTCTTTTTTGCAGCACTCAGCAGACCTCTGATGAATGCTTCAAAGCTGCTCATGCTTTACATATTAATGCTTACATATACTGTTAAGTGGAGGTTTTTTACTTCAAGCATGCCATAAGAGCTCCTCAATTTATCACACATGGCTCCAGTCGGCACAAAAAAACTGCACTGTACTCTATCATTGCTCTTCCATCTTATATGTGAAGTAGGACTTGCTTAGACATGGAAGAGTATTCATATTGTACTGCTCTTACAAAATGTAAAATTAACAGCAGGGCACTAGTATGTAATCATTATCAATATCAGCTAAAACTATATTTTTTGTAGGATTATCACATAATTTCCGTTTCTAACCATCAAATCTACCAATATGAGAATGCAAAGATCGGTACGATGTGTTGATGTAGTATTTTACCCTGAAGATGGCACTTGAAGAAGTGTCAGATATTTCTGACTGGGACGTCAGAGTTTTATTTCAGCTATTTTTCACTGCAGTGCTTCTCACCCAAACAAACACACAGTTTTGTATTCTGAGTGGAGGGCACAGAGTTCCAGCTCATATCTTGCACCTACGCTCGCCCTTTTCTCTTCCTCATGCACTTTTCCTGCAGATGAGCTCTTTGTTTGTCTGGTGACTTTCAGCCTTATTTGTCCATTTCTGATACCTAACAATTTTTAAGTAATGACTTTTTACACAATAATTCCCATGATCCTTCACAATTTATATTAGTCATGCCCCAAAGCAATGTGACCAAATAATAGCATATTACTCTTATTGTAAATTATCCTAACCAATATTATTGGTGAGGTTTGATTGAATTGACCTCAGCCTCAGTTCTCTCCTCTCTCTTCCTATATTTATATATAAATATGTGTGTGTGTGTGTGTGTGTGTGTGTGTGTGTGTGTGTGTGCGCGCCCCTGTCTGTGACCTAAAAAGAGTGCTAATTACAGGTGAGAGAGGAAACAGCAGCTGTTCCCCCAGATCTTCTCCCCTTCCATCTGAACTGCAGCGTGACAAAAATCAGCCATAATGGCTCAGAGCTCACGGGCATGGTAACAAATATGCTCTATTACATTAAAAACCTAAAAAAACAGACTGCCTTTTCTTGCAAAAAAAAAACAAACCCTTGTACCAATAATGCAGGTTGCATTCACATTTTTAGGGAACTGGGTTGCTTGTTGGCTTCTTTGGAATAGTTTGTAGAGTAAGTATTATGTCTGTGGTTTCCTTATGTTTTGCACCAATAATTAATCAACAAAATGCCAGTGTTCAGCCAAGAGCTCAGCCCAGTACCTTCAATGCATCCAATTGGTAAATGTCATAAAAGGTGTTCTATTGAAACTGCTTTAGCTTGCCTACTTGTGCTGCTTCCTCTGCAAACCACTTAGCAACATGCCTCCACCCCAGCTCCTTTCACATTCCATGTGTGCATGCAGAAGGGCAGGGATCACTCAGCATCGAGCCATACAACCAAATTTAACTCTGTACTATGAGGACCTGTTTCAGAAGTCTGCAAGGTGGAGGTGTGCTCTCCCTTCCTCAGGCCTTGTTGTTCCAGGTATGCATATGGAAGGGCGGGAAGCCCTGAGAACAGAGTCATGAAGCCAAATAATTCAGTCTCTTTGATGAAAAGGTCCTGACTTCACAGTCAGAACCAATCTGAGAAGTCTGTAGCATGGAAGTGTGCTCTCCCTGCCTTGGCTTTTGCATTTTGCTTACGCATGTGGCAGGGCAGGCATGAGCACAACAGACTGTAGGTTTTTGGTTGCAAATAATAAGTTTTCTGAGACAAGATTTTTGACTGTGTTGCATTTCACTATAAAATTCCAAAGTCTGCAGCATGGGCATGTAAGTTAGGTCCAGATGGTCCAGAATAAAATCCAGCTCCAGTTCAGCAAAATAATAGAATGGCAGGGACCAGTACAGGTTATCCATGGCAGGCTCATCATCATTGTGTTATAGTTGTGTGCAAAAGTCAAATGTTAGACTACTATACAAAATTGCGTATGGTTTTTTCAGACCATAAAGGTGCACGCTAGAAGAGCTCTTTAGTTCCCTGAAAAGTAGAAAAATTAAAGTTCTCTGTACTTTGGATGAGAAAACACCTTAATTAAAAGGCTGTGCATTGTGTTTTTCTCAGCAGCAGAAGATCTCATTGGCAAGATGGAATAAGGGTTGATTACACTTTGGAGTAGGCTTGGTTGATATACTGCAGTAAATTTTGTTATATGTATCATTTCCTTGGAATTGAGGTATTGCTTGGAATTAAGATATATTCCATAAAATCCAAAGAAGTTCAACATGTTTAAAATACTGCTATGTTGGTGTTCATCTTGAAAACAAAGCCCTGCATGCTCTAAAGATGCAAATGAACCCTTCATACTACTTAAGGGGGGATTTATGTTAAGCGGAGGTCAATGAGTCCAAACAGTAAACTGTAAGAAATCACTCAGTACTCCACACCAGAAGGGGGCAGTGTGGTGCTTCTTGGCTCAGACTGTCTTCCTCTTTCCTCCCTCCCTTGCCTCTCTTCAGTGATCACAGCAGCACTGCAAAGAGACATGCCAGCCACTTTGATCATCACACCAGGGAAGGGGAGGGAGAGAGAGAGAGGGAGAGATGGAAAGGAGAAAGTGAGTGAAACAGAGAGAGCATAAGTATCATGCAGCCGGACATGGAGGCTGATCTAGAAGAATTTGATAATTATTGTGCAGCTGACAGAGCTGCAGGTCAGCCAAGCAGCAGAAATCTAACAAGGAGATATAGAGAGAGGCTGAACAAGTCAATAAGAATGTAAAGATAAGTGTGAATGAATGACTGGGAAATAGACTGAGCAAGGACATGCCTAAGAGGGTACATCTAAACAGGCAGAAATCATAGTGTCCAGTGTTATGAATTAAGTGCTTTATCTCTGAATTGAAAACTGCACACCTGTTTTGACAAACCTAACCTACGTGTTGCAGTACGCTCTGTGTGTGCTGCTGCATATTGTGTCTGCATTTTAAACCACGACTGAGCCAAGATGGTGTAGCATTTTCTGAGCTTTTTGTGTTTGCAGCTTGAGTCAGTAGAGTTACGGACACATATTCTGTTCTATTTTAGGTTATGCACAATTTTTTGTCTGCACAAAAGTTGTTGGTTGAAATGTATAGTCTACAAATGTTGCAGGTTCACGCACAGTTAAGTCAAGCAAAAGTTATAGTTCAAATTGGTGATTTCACTGGACAACTATCCTTGTCCCAGTTTATAAGCACTGGGCAAGAGTTTGCCTCCACTGGGGTAGGTGGTGACATGTCCCCGTTCAGCACTTTACAACTGGATTGTCTCCTCATTGATCTATTATATGCCAAAACAAACATTTAAGCAAGAGGCTGATGGGACGTACATTGAATGGAAGGACAGTCGCTTTAACAGCTCTTTCCCTTTTATATGTACACAACAGCTTACATTCCTCCTTCTTCTGTCCAGGTATTGTTGGGAGGGGGGTGGGGAGTATAATCCTTTTCACAAAATGCTTCACATCTGAATAAAAACTACACATTGCTGAATGCAACAGAGGCCCTTACATTGTAAGACATTTTTAAACCCATTTTTTTCCACTCTAGGACCCCCTCCTCAAAACACTTTGGTGTTCAGCATGACTAATGCTCCATATTTTTGGTAAAAACTTCCTAATTGATTGGCATTCAAAATAACAATAATAAAAACGTGTTAATTCAGGGTGGAATTGATCCATATATTAGGGTAACTTATCAACAAGTCGCCCTGATAAATAGATTTGGAATTGGTCAGATTATTCCATTGTTTCCATTGAAGCATTGTTTTTGAGTTTGCATCTCAGCTCAGGAACTCAGCCAATGAAAATGAATATGAGCCGGCTGATGGGCCTCAGATATTTTGGTATTTCCATGTGTTTGGACCTTCTTATCAGTTCTTCAGGTCACCTAGTGTAAGATTACTCAGAGACCTGGAAGATCAGGCTTGAGGTCACAGGCCTTTCAAAGGCTTTTTATTATAAGTCACCTTACACGCAGCTGTCCTGATGATGAGTTTTGTTGCTATGACAACTGAGGTCCTATTCCTTGAAAGCTCACTTAGGTTAGATGTTGGTAGGATACAGCATTTGCAGACTTTGGCACAGATACAGGAGATGCATTTTGTCTCCTATCATCTCTAGGTAAGACTACATGAATTATGTATCCACAGAATAATGTATCCATAGCATATCCATATACATTTAAGAAACCTGCCTCTAACTCCTGTGTTACCTTTTAGGTACACATACTAGGTGGATGGTCTGCCAGAACTGTCTTAATGTCAGTTTTTACAGCTTTGTTTGGCTCACTTACATAACAACAGTCTGGGTACATTGAGCTCAATTCATGGAGTACCCTTTGAGTTCCCATAGCTTATTCATGTGGACCTTATTTTTTCAATGTAAAAGCTGTTAGATTTTAAAAGACCAAGTTTTTTTCTCGTTAGGTGAATTTTCTCACAACAACCAGTACTGTTTTGCTGCAGTGGTACCGGGTTGCACAATACGCTGACAAAACTATTCACATTATATTTCCTTGTTGGTGTATACTGATAGCAAAAGATGGCAAAAAAGAAAAAATCATTTGACACAGCTCTTCTTCATCTCCACTTACACTGTATCCAAAAGTAGCTTCCAGCTTGATGTATTCCTTCAGAAACTCCAGCGACGATCTTCTCCACCACAGCATCTACCACACCTTGATAAAGCAAAAACTCAATGCCACTGTTGCATTTTTAATGTTTCCAGGTCTCCATCTTCTCTCAAAATTTCCTTAAACCTTTAATGTGGACACTAACAGCATCATTGTGATTGAAGACCAACACGATACAACAAAGACTCTTTCTGTTCCCTACGGGGGGGGTTCAATTTTTATTCTTCATCAGGACTTGATGCATCCAAGTTCAGAATCATTCAGTTTTGGCACCTTGAAAGACATTACGCTTTTTTTTTAAAATTCTCATTTACAACAACACAACGCAAAACCAAAGAACAAGAAAAGAATGAGACAAAGAAAGTGACTAAGGCTGTGTGAGAGTCTGAGAAAATAAAGTTAAATGAAAAGGCAAAATTTTCCTCTGTTTAAAAAAAGCCTTGACGTGTTCTCCAAGTCTGTTCTTTTTGTTTCAAGCGTAATGAAGCCCCGACCCAAAGTACCCACTGAGAAATAAAAAAGAAATGAAGATTGAAATAGACACAGTACTGTAACATTAATTTCTACTTTGACACCCCACTGCCCTTACATGGTATCATTGTTCAGTTGTTCAAAACATAGGTTCTTTAAAAGCAGATCGGATGATTTTGACTAGCATGCATGTAAATTCTTAATTTTTTGGAGTCATTCAGTTTCAACTCGCTGGTAGCCATGTTCACTCACGCACTACTTTGTGTCTTTGGCAGTAGTGACGCTTCATCGTCCAGAGTCTTCATCAAGTTTGTTGGGAGATCCTCCATTACCTAGAGTTCTCTCTTCACTTCACCCCTTTATGGAGCAGAAAAAAGGCAGGGTCAACATTTAACCAGTAGTTGACCCTGAACGTCAGCAGCTTCCAGGGTTTTGCCGGAAAGCCAAAAAAAAATTGTTGTAAAAGAATGTAATAATGTGTCTAATACTAACCAATATCAGTTTGTCAAGAAGGCCGAAGCCTTTGCCCTTCAAACAAGCCAGTCACGAAAAATCCTCCGTCTTGGTTTGGTTTCCGTAATGACTTGATTTAGTTTCTCTTGTAGGTTACGTTATTTTCTTTCATTTTTTCTGGTTGATATTTTTGCGCAAGGGAAGTCATGATTTATTAACATATATATTCATATATTTATATATAATCAATACATATATTAACTTACGTGTTTTTTTCCTTTTTTTTGCGGTTTGAATAGCTCCCTGCTAAAAATCCAACGCCGCAAAGTTTCACAGTATTGATGCGAATAAAGAATGAAATCAAGAAGATACAGCAACTAAAGAAAGGAGCGGGTACAAGGGAGGTTAGGAGGTGTGTGTTCGGGGGCTTGTGGGATGGAAGTGTGAGGGCGGGATCATAGGCGGGGCCAAACAGGTGAACTACACCGCCTTATCGTCAGACTGAGGAAGAGTAAAAAATATAAAGTTCGCCTTTAACGGGTAGTCCGGCCAAGCCCACCGCTCTTTTGTTCCACAGCCCCGAGACAGACAACCACCAGCAACCCTCCCTTCCCAACTCCTCTTTCCCCATCCTCCCCCTCAAATCTTTACAAACATGTTCAAAACTCGTTAAACAATGGTAGATGGGAAAATCATGCATGTTTCTTTTTTTATGCATTTTTGTCTGTTTCCTTTTTTTTTTTTTAAACAGAAACTCAGTGATCATCTGAGGTGCTGTGGAGTGCTCAGAACTCCCCCTCTGCTGCTTAACCCCTCACCCCATCTATCCATACGCCTTTTCCCATCCGCCTTACACTGTGATCTGTCTTTTGCCGCCTCCCCCCAAATTCCCTCTGATTTTTTGAGTGTCTGATGTCCCTCCTTAAGTTTCATACAGGTGTGGTGCGTCGGTTTGCGGAGTTTCCACCTGAGTCTTTCAGGTCCTTCTGGATGCAGTTGTGGACCTGCAGGAAGTTGTGGTCCCTCTCCGTGGAGTTATAGGTTGCTGTTGGAGTGCCTGTTTGGCCCTTTGGCAGCGTGTACATGGACAGCTCAGTGGAGGGTAGCGTCCCGAAGGCCTTTAAGCCCACTGGAGATGCCTCTCGGGAGTGCGAGGGATCCGTCGAGCGAGACGAAGAACGTGAGCGGCGACGATAACGGTAGCGGTAGCTGGGAATGCGTGTGATAGCCGCACCTTGGAGGTAGTCGGCAGCTCGAGCCCCCACTCGTAACTCCCGATGGCGGTCGATGAACATGTGCACAGCCAGCACACCCACCATTTCAGCCATGATGAAGGAGAGGGCTCCGAAGTAGAAGGACCAGCCGTAGGAGTAGCTGTTTTTCTTGGAGTCACTCTTGGAAGGGTCCCCGGCATTGGCTGATATGTACACAATTATGCCTATGATGTTGCTCAGGCCTGGGACAAAGACAGAGAGGGGGTGAGAAAAGAAAATTAAAATACAGCTAAAGTGTTACTCAAAGAGGCCCACACACTTAAGTGTCATCACAGTTGTTATCTTTGTCAGCTAAAACAAAGTAGGAGAAACTCGTCATAGTTTAGACTGTGAGTACTTCTGTAAAAAGGATGAGTCTTAATCTGAATATGAATCCAGAAAAGACAAACAACAACAAAAAATGTCAATGGTGGGTTAATTTTTCACTCAAATATGTTCAACAACATATAAAGACGTTCAGAAGTTAGAAAAGGCAGTTGTTTTTCTTTTTGTTTCACTGCTGAGCTACTTTTGGTTTTTCGCTAAAAAAAGATCCAGATCCAGACAATATTTTGGCTGAACAGTTACAGATAATGACACACCAGCAAACCCATGTTATGTACTCATGGTTTTGCTAGTAGGCAACATGTTCTACTCTGACTTTTGGACCTCTTAACCTAGTCTTGGTTCTAAAATGCTCAATCAGTCAGTCTGGTCGAGTCCCCAAGACATAATTCATTGTTTGGGGAATGAATCTTGTTTTATTTTGCACCAGTGACCGTTTTGTATTCAAACCAAATACAGCTCAGCATTTTTTTTTTGCTGTACTTTCAACTCTCTAGTTTAGAAATACATCAACTTTTAGAACTCCTCTGCACTCATTAATGGCATTTCTTGACCAATGACCTACAGAGAACCAAAAAGAGATGGAACTTTTGGTCATGTCTTTGTCAAAAGCAATGGTGCAGGTCCATTTGGGTGAGAAAACCACCATGACAGCCATGGACTCTATGTTGCAGAGACAAACACTGTCATGAACACACGGCTGTGTTGCATTGCAATACTTTGACTAAATGCTATCCAGTTTGATATCCAGTTTCCGGTTACACTCTACATTCTGCTTATTTGTATATTGGAAACCATGGCAAGTGAATCCAAGTCATCAGAGCTTATAAATGAAGGGCAGCTGCTGATCATACTGCAGTAATTGCAAACCAGAGGAGAGAGGAGATGATGATGAATATATGGCTGATGAGTCAGTGTGGGCAGAGAATTGGGGAATACCACAGAGATAACAGAAATGTTGTAAACTTAAGAAATTATGACACAGCAAACGGAGCCTACCACAGGGACTGTGGCCTGCAGTGTTCAGATGTTTAGTTACAGTGTAGAGGAGGTGCACACCATGCTATGAGATGATAAAGCTGATTTGGGATCAGATAAGAAGAGCCTTCACAGAGTAAAAAAACCTTGAGCTGAAGCACCAGTGAGCCAGGGGTTGTGGAGAAGAGCCAAATCAGATACCTGCTTCATTGAAGTGAAAACAAAAAGCTTAAAGAAAATAAATTTAACATGGGGTGAAAACTTGCAGCACCTCATCTGTCGGCTCCTTCTCCATGCAAAATGTGAAGTACGCTCTTCTGACTTATCTCATCAACTCAGGTACGACAGGAACATTGCAGCAACACATGTCATGACAAGAGTCAAAATTTTACAAAAATTAAAACTGACTCTACAAATTGGGGGAAAAAATGTCTTTTTTGTAATTTTTAGTTAGGTGGTACCACTGGAGATCATCATTTCTGACCCATGCAAACTTGAAGTTGTGAGAGAAAAACTCTAAACAAAGTGGTATTTCATAGTCATGAAAGATTCTGCATGTTATGGCTTTGACTCTGGACCATGGCATTGCAGAGCAAACAAAACCCCTAACCATACCCCGGTTATAAAATCAAGATAGTATGTAGAGTTTGTGTATGTCTTAGCCACTCTTGACATCAGATAAGCTTTCTCCTAGGATCCTGGCTCTGATACTGTCCCTTGAGTTAGAGACATTCTCAACAGCATTAGAAAAGAACCAAGTTTTCCCTAAAGAGGAAAAACCTAATCCTGTGCATGCCTTAAAATCCTCTTAATAAGTCCAATTTAGCCAGAGTGCCTCAGTGACATTGTAGATGGCAAACAAAACAAAACCTCCTTGAGCAGAAATAGACAAAGACGCAGGACCTTTGAATGGTAAGTTCAGTTTCAAAGCCCAGCCAGATGGTTTTAACAGGACCAAAGTTATTTGTATTTACTGTGGAGTTGACACTGGTGTAGGTTCAGCCCGAAGAACCACTTTGTGGCCAAACACAGCTAATGCAAAGAGTCCAATGGAAAGTTTAGACAACTCTGCAAGCTACACACTTCCAATAGTAACACCTAGATGGGGGGATCAGACAGATCAACAGTGTGGATGACAAGGTCTGCTTGACATAAATTCCACCAACCAAGGTTACTGCATTGCTTCCAAACAAGGTAATTATTATTAACAAAAACTAAATTCAGTCAGGACCACTTCAGTCAAAATTAATTATTTATTGCAAGCAATTTTTTTTCTTTTTTTTTTTTACATTTGATGGGATGGCTCTTTTCTGAGAGTTCCCTGCCCTTCCATGCGCTTGCATGGAATGCCATGACTATAAGCGGGGAGAGCTCGTCCCCTCCCTTTCATGTGCATACATGAAAAGCCAAGGCAGGGAAAGCAGCAGCAAAATAGATAAATAAAATAAAATTATTTAAAATCCCCTACAGAACAAAGCAAGCATCAGTGACAATACATACGACGCTAGTAAGACCAGACACAACATAAACAGGAGGAGCTGAGGTGGAGGTGGGTTGCAGAGTGGTTGCAGCAGGCAGAGTAGGCAGGAGAAGAAGTTAAAATAGGGCACCATTTTGACATTTGCCAATTGGATGTGTAGAGGGCGATCACCTGAGCTATCAGCTGACTGAGGGCTGGCTTAAGATCAGCTGACTGTAGCCTTTCGTTTGACTTTGTGTCCTGCCTGAACTAACGCTATGGTCAATATGTCTAAAACATCTTCATTGAAATAAAAACAAAACCAAGGCTTTCAAAAATCCAATTTTTAGAAATCTATCTGAGACAGCTTTTTGCTGTATAACTCTCTCAGGGTTGTCTAACTCAGTGTTATGGTGTGTTTGACTATAAATTAATTTTACGCCAGGATATCCCTTTAATGAATAAAAAGCCACTTTTTTGCCCTTACCTGGGTGAAAGGTTGAGTCCCTGTCATTCACTGTAATTCCATCAACTGAGCATGGATCCATCTGTCACTGAGCAAATCAAAAAGGTTCAGGCCAATAAGCAGGAGTGTGTCCTGACTTTTATACTGGGGACCCAGCTGGAGCCCTACTCTATGCAGGGCTGGCATAAAGTGTGAGGGTTATTAATACAATGGGCCCTTTTAGGAACTTGATCTCTGATCTGAGAAAAACTTAAAACAATAGTAAAACAAATAAAGAGAAGTTTTTTTTACTGATAGTGGTGTCTTTTTATGGCCTTCAAAATCAAGCGAGACCAAGAAGCAATGCTAAAAACTTGTCTGTTGTAAATTTTAATGCCTGAAAATCCTGCAAGAAGGTAGATGCTAGATGAGATGACTAAAAGCAAGCCTAAGAAATGGCAAAAACCCAAAGTGAGTAATATGTTTTAATTTTAAAGATAATGGCATGAGTTTATTGTTTGGAAAAACTACTTTTACACATAACGCACAACAGATTAGAGGAATCACTTAGTCCACAGGGGGCGCAAAAATCAACACAAACCAAAGTTTCTTGTGGCAGCTTTAAAACTAAACAATAAAAAAAAAGAAAAAAGTTTCCAAATAATAAAAATATCAAAATATCAACTGTCCATTTTGTTTTAACTGTCCATCCAACAATTGCACATATAAAATGTTTCTGGAGTACCCATGATCATCAAGATCACAAGATGTCCAGACCAACACAGTCATAAGAACTGCACACACACACACAAAGTATTTAAATACATGATTAAAATATGATTAATCAGATTAATTAAAGAAAATCTGTGATAAATCATGGCTTTTGAAAAGTTATCTTTGTACAGCCTTAGTTTTGATTGCATTGATTAGGTGAAAAACAGTTAACTTATCACAGCCAATCAGACAGCATGTCAGAAACCAAGACAGGTAAAGATGAACTTGTATCCCTGTGTCCCTTTCCTGTTCATCCCACTTGTCACAGTCCAGATTTTGATTTTCTCTTCTGTTTCGCTGTTGTTTTCCCTGCTTTTTCACCCCACAACCATGTTTGAATTGATAGCAAAACTCTCACCCTTTTTGCCTTCCAACTAATTGATCAGCTCTGTGTTTTCTGACACAGAAACATTGAAGACGGCATACACACAAAAAGACAAACATGCAGATAACAGTGATGTCAGTACTGTTTAAACAAACAGAAAAGGTGCGAGGGTCTGATTGAGAGGGATCAGAGCGGAAGAGTATCAGGGACACCTTATTTTTAGAGTGTAATCCCAGTGGCCTCCTCTTAGCCTAGCAACAGGGTGAGAGAGACAGATAGAGTGAGAAAGAGAGTGAGGGAAACAGAGAGAACTGCATCCCCTGCTTCTGACTTGGAGGGGAACTAGTTATCTTGCGCAGCACATTAGGCCATGGCCTAGAACCAGAGTACAAACACACTCATGCATGCACACACTATAAGAAGAGAAAAATAAGACACAAAAATGCTCAGGCAGAAAGGCAACCTGGACGATCTTTGTGTCCGTGAGGCACAGAGTTTTATGGTACACACCCAATGGTATCACCATCACCTGGTGATTTGCGTTCGCCATCAGGACTTAAGCTGTCTCCAAAACAGTGCATTTCCTTTTTCGGCTGCTCAACAACACACTCATCATCAAAAAAGATTGTGGATACAAGTGGCCGAAATGGGTTTCCTTCGCAGGGTGGCCGGGCTCAGCCTTAGAGATAGGGTAAGGAGCAACCCGGGCCCGGATGAAGCGAAAGAAAACGACGACGCTGACGTGTCAGTGGTGTTTTTGGCAGGCATTTTAGATTTAGTTTTAGTCTTAGTCATTTTGACGAAATGCTTCTTCGTTTTAGTCCCATTTTAGTCATTTCTATCCTTGATAGTTTTCGTCTAGTTTTAGTCCGACGAAAACTCAAAAGGTTTTAGTCTAGTTTTAGTCTCTCGAAAAGGTGCCTTTTGAGGTTCGTGGTGTTCTTTCCCGACAGTTTGAAGCCGCAGCATGAGGAAGCTGTGGCTCCACAACTGTCGTCTGTCTCGTCTCCCCGTCCCCGTACAAGACATTGTGTTTTATTGTCACTTGGACTGTATCTGAAGTAGGACCATAAATCATCCCTCTTTTTTCGGCCACCGGACACCGCTGCTGTGCCTGCCGCCACGGTGTGTGTGTGTGCGCGCGCCTCGTCCACCTGCCGCTCTGTGTATGTGTATGAGTGTGTGCGCGCAGCTGTGCGCGAGCGAGGCTTTTGGTGCGTGTGTGATGGGGGCGTGACTGTTAGGACAAAAAAAGCATGTTTTGAAACTTTGTTCGTCCACCTAATAGCAATTTAGTCTCGTCTCGTTCTAGTCTGACGAAAATGAATACAATTTTCGTCACATTTTAGTCTTTACAGAGCTTTGGTGACGTTCGTCTTAGTCTCATTTTTGTCAAGGAAAAAAGGGGTCTGAGGTCGTCATTTAAGTTTTCGTCCTGCCTGACGAAAACAACACTGCGACGTGTTGCAAGGAAAAATAAGATAGATATAAACACAAATAAATCAATTCATTATAAGCCAACAAAAAAAAAAGTGTAGACTGAAGCTGAAGCTTATATGGCCCAACCTTAAAGGGATATTCAGCGTAAATTTAAGGTATGGTTAAACACACCGTAACACTAAGTTAGACACCCCCTCGAGAGATGAATGTTGCAGACTGCTTGCTTCTCTAGTAGTACCAACTTCAGCAAACACCGCACGGTAGCAATACACAGATCTACGTCTCCATGTGAAAACCTCAACCAAAAAGCCACTCTTTAGCCACAAATAATGCTCAGAACAGCACCTAACTTAATCATATAGGGTCCCAGCCATAGTACTGGCCACCAAACATCTTTTTAGCTTTGACTTATTTATTTAGCAAAGAGACCAAACACAACAGCGGAATATTTATGATTATTACTTATTGGTAATGCAATCAGAAAGATGCTAAGACAGAGGAACTACCTTGTCTGCAGTGCACATACAAGATTAATTATAAATGTTCTTCCTTGAGCTGCAAAACTCAGCTGCACTCAGTGCATGTTCTCCCGCCTACTGACAAGTACGTAATACAATACCACTTAAATAAAAAAAAGAACTAAAGTATCAATCTTAAAACAATCTTGGCCACATCTTGGTGTGGAGTGCAGGCAGCTAAAAACTACTCACATTACACCACCCCCATGTAGTCTGTCTCTACCTTCCTAGAAAAAATAAGACATTTGAAATCTTCGAATTACTCTGAGCTTCAACTTGTGCCTTATAGTGCTCTGTATACAAGTTGTCTTCTTGTTTGGGTTGATCATCAGTCAAGTGCTCTCTACTCAGTGTCTCAGCCTTTTTGTGGCTTTTGAGGTACATTGTGTTCTGTTTCATGCCCTGCAGCTAAACTGGTTTGGTTCACACTCATCTCTCTTGTTTTTTTTTTTATTTTTCCACAGCAGAAAGCAGCTATCAGTGGGAGAGCTTTGGTACACCAACTGCCCAACACCAATTATCAGACTTCATTCAGCAGCCTAGGAGAAGCTAGTAGAGACAATATATTTACAAGAAGGGAAAATGATTGACACACTGTATATTTCTGAGTTCTTTCCCCAGAGAAAACTAATGTCGCTCAGTGACTGCACAATCACATTGCCATGTCCATGGTTTGTGTACTTGGCAGCCAATGATTTCTGTTTCCAAACGAAAAAATTAAAATCAACTAGTAGGGAATCAGAAAACGGAAATCAAACTGTGTACTGTTTTGATAATAAAAACTCAGTATTTGACTTTCTGTGATGTGGCTTTAAATAAAAATCGAAAATCAGAATACATGTGTGGAAATTTTGTGTTTCAAGTTTCATTCACTTTTTTGTTGTGACCTGGAAGTTGTGAAAAAAAATCAGTCACAGTGATTGAAAATGTATTCATTTCATAATTTTGGTTAAATTTCCCAAATACTAACACACCCTCCACGGAGTTGCAGCTGCATGGCTGCAAGATCACTCGGCTCCTGTAGTTCATCAACAGGTTATGTATATTTCACTTGGAGCTGACACTCAAACCCGGACACGGTTATGTTGAGGGACATTGAGGCTCTGACTACATGTAAGATTGTGTCCAACCTCTGTTAACAAGTTGCGACCAACCTTGTGAGAAGATAAGCCTCAGCTTATCTTCTACAGCAACGTCCCTAACAGACCAGCGACATGCTAGTATACAGAATACAGTGCATCCGGAAAGTATTCATACCACTTCACTTTTTCCACATTTTGTTATGTTACAGCCTTATTCCAAAATGGATCAAATTCCCCTTTTCCCTCAAAAATTTGACACAAAATACCCCATAGTAGCAAAGCGAACATTGTTTTAGATCATTTTGCAAATTTATTAAAAATAAGAACATTCAAATGTTGCATATACATAAGTATTCACACCCTTTACTCATTACTTGATCAAAGCACCTTTGGCAGCGATGACAGCCTCCAGTCTTCTTGTTTATGATGCAACAAGCTTGGCACACCTGGATTTGGGGAGTTATTTCCCATTCTTCCTTGCACATCCTCTCAAGCTCAGTGAGGTTGGATAGGCAGCGTCGGTGCACAGCTACTTTCAGGTCTTTCCAAAGATGTTCAATCGGGTTCAAGTCTGGGCTCTGGCTGGGCCACTCAAAGACATTCAGAGACTTGTCCTGAAGCCACTCCTTTGTCTTCTTGGCCGTGTGCTTAGGGTCATTGTCATGCTGGAAGATGAAGCGTCACCCCAGTTGAAGGTCTCGAGCACTCTGGAGCAGGTTTTCATCAAGGATTTCGATGTACATAGCTGCATTAATTTTTCCCTCGATCCTGACAAGTCTCCCAGTTCTTGCCGCTGTAAAACATCCCCACAGCGTGATGCTGCCACCACCATGCTTCACTGTAGGGATGGTATTGGTGAGGTGGTGAGCGGTGCCTGGTTTCCTCCAAACATGACGCTTGGCATTCAGGCCAAAGAGTTCGATCTTTGTTTCATCAGACCAGATAATTTGTTTCTCCTGGTCTGTGAGTCCTTCAGGTGCCTTCTGGCAAAGTCCAAGCGGGCTGTCATATGCTTTTTACTAAGGAGTGGCTTCTGTCTGGCCACTCTACCATAAATGCCTGACTAGTGGAGTGCTGCAGAGATGGTGGTCCTTCTGTAGGGTTCTCCCATCTCCTCAGAGGAACGCTGGAGCTCTGTCAGAGTGACCATCAGGTTCTTGGTCACCTCCCTGACCAAGGCCCTTCTCCCTCGCGTGCTCATTTTAGCTTGGCGGCCAGCTCTAGGAAGAGTCCTGGTGGTTCCAAACGTCTTCCATTTCTTAATGATGGAGACCACTGTGCTTTTTGGGATCTTCAATGCAGCAGATATTTTTCTGTAACCTTCCCCAGATCTGTGCGCCGATACAACCCTGTTTCAGAGGTCTACAGACAATTCTTTTGACTTCATGGCTTGGTTTGTGCTCTGACGTGCTCTGTCAGCTGCGGGATCTTATATAGAAAGGTGTGGCTTTCCAAATCATGTCCAATAAGCTGAATTTGCCACAGGTGGACTGCAATCAAGTTGGAGGAACATTTCAAGGCTCATCAGTGGAAACAGGATGCACCTGAGCTCAATTTTGAGATTTATAGCAAAGGATGTGAATACTTATGTATATGCAACATTTGAGTGTCTTATTTTTAATAAATTTGCAAAATGTTCTAAAAAAAGTTTTTCGCTTTGTCATTATGGGGTATTCTGTGTATAATTTTTGAGGGAAAAAAGGAATTTAATCCATTTTGGAATAAGGCTGTAACATAACAAAATTTGGAAAAAGTGAAGTGGAATGAATACTTTCCGGATGCACTGTATATAAAGCCCGTTCTTTATCTCCTTCTTCAACCCCCCGATAGAGAAGGGAAGCGGGATTTTAACACTGTCCCATTGAAGGTGACAGATAATGTTCACACATTGTTTTCATCCTCGATGGCTTTCATGATTGCGATTAGCGTAGTTACTGTGGAAAATGCTGGCTCCGCTACAGATATGACCTGTGCTATTCATACAGAACATTGTTTTTTTTTTTTTTAAGCAAATGTCCTGTATTAATAGTACATGTTTTGGTGTTGACAATAAAGTAAACCATGTCAAAAATTGTGGAGAAATGAGAAAGATATTTATTTTCTATGTACATCTAATCGCTTTAATAGGAACGTTGCCCGCACCAAGACTGCTGCCACATCCATACGTAGCTAAGAGGGCTGCTACAGTACGCTGACGTATCTAGTCCTCTGTCTGTGTTAACGAGAGCCTCTCACTCCAAGTCACAATTTCCTGGTCACAACAAAAAAAGTGAGGGAAACTTGAAACACAAGATTTCCACGCATGTATTTTGATTTTCGATTTCTGTTTAAAGCCACATTATAGAAAGTCAAATACTCTGATTAACTCTGATTGAGTTATTATATTACTCTGATTGATCTTTTCGCTTTCCAAATCCGTCTCCCAAATTGCCGCCAAGTACGCGGACCATCCTCCCTCACTTTTTTCCTTCACACTTTCACTCTGATATTTCCTGCTTCTCCTGCTGCCCTTATCTAGTTCCCCCTTCCCTCTCTCTCTTGTCTTTGCCTCCTCCCTCCCATCAGTTTCATACCTGCGGAGACAAAGAGGATGCCTGCGCTGAGGATGATGTTGTGGCGTGACTTGTAGAACTCGCTGGCGGCTATGCAGAGGCCCCCCATGAAGAGTAGGATTACACTCAGGATGGGGAAGATACTGGAGGCTCGTACAGCGCCTGGACAAAGACACACAAAGGCAGAAATAGTTGTCATTGACAAGATTGTCATCAGTCAACATGCACTGGAGATATGATAGCTATTAGTTCAAACAGATCAAGAAATCAATTTATCACAGAAAAACCTTATTTTAATATATCACACAGATGTTACAATCCAGCATACAAACATTTAATCTTCATGGCTGAGCTCATCTTGTTAGCTCTGTTCTGTGGCACTGGGGTCTTTGCTGCTACTTTCCCTGCCTTGGCTTCACATGTAGAGGTATGCTCTGCCTGCCTCAGCCTTTGGCATTTCACATATGTGGAGGGCCAGAAAGCTCTCAGACTTGAGCCATACTGCCAAGTTTGATTAAACAATTAAAAATGATCAATACTTTGAGATTGCATGGGCTGCGTGATCACAGACAACATGTCGGTACTACTTAGTAGCAGCGCATGCCCCCCGTAATAATCCCCTATAAAAGTTGTTCAGGACTGCGCACAACATGCTATCTCGTGCTTCCTACCTACTCGACTACCATAATTCTGTTCTCATTTGTGAAAAGCCTAAATCGGGGACCTTCCGGCGACAGTTTTAGCTGGGGACAGTTTTAGCCGGGGACAGATCATCCAATATGGGGACTGTCCTCAGAAATGGCGACCACTGGAATGCAAAACTTCCCTCACTTCACTTTTATTTCGGCTTCACACTGTTTTTTCTACCTTTTGCATTCTTGTGACTTTGGTATCTGTATCACATATCTCTCCTCCACCAGGCAGTGTCCATCTCCTCCTATCGGACATTTCTCCATCCTTCTATCACCCCATCTCTCTAACTCTTCATCTGCCTCTGCCTACTTTTCCTCCTGTATCAGCCCATCTATCAGCTGTCTTTCTGCTTGCCCTCTGTGTGGCTGATTTGCTGATTGGCCTTGGGGTTGTCATGGTGCTGCCGTGGTCATGGAGCTTGATGGTGGTTTCTGATGCATCTAATGTTAGATTCACCAACAGTTATGCTTTCCTGCATTTTTCTGATTCTCTTTCTGACCTTATTTTCTTTCTCATTCAAAAACACTAATGGTCAAATGGGAAAAAAATATAATAAAGCCAGCTGACCAACAATTTTTAAGGACTATCACTAAAACTAACATAAAGTTGACAGGTAAGAGTGAAAACAGCCAACACTACCTTTTACTGTTTAAATTTGATTAAAAGTCATGAAATTCCAGCATCTTTAAAACATGTCACCACATGAGCAAATCAAATTTGAACCACAACTCAATATCTATTTAATATTTAGTTAATATTCAAACCTAGCACCATTAAAAATTTAGATCTAGCCCCAGCTGGGAGAACTCAGGTTGTATTGGTGAGTTAAATTGAGTAATGCTACATAGGCCAAATGCCCTCAATTTTCATGACCACTAAAACTGTAGTTTCAACATTGTTATTAAAAAAAACTTTGCTGGTTTTACTATATCACCAACATTTTAATAATTAATTTATATATTCTATCTCTATTTCAAATCTGAACTGACTGAAAGTTTTAACATGCGATAAGAAATAGAGTTTCGTCCCCATTTATTTCACAACAAGTTAAATTAAGGAAATGCAAGACCAGGGTGTTGTTATTGTTATGTCATCCCCTATTTTTATGATGGTCAAAGTTTAATTAATTTCCATATCTTCAAACTTGAATGTAATTTCACCCTTCTTTTTCATGTAATAGTACATTACAAGTTGTCCACAAACACCCTGTTTTGTTTACATATCCAAAAACATCTCAAACTGACTTGGAACCATTTTTTATATAATATTTTCGACTATTTGGACCTAAAGACCTGCCCAGGTGAACTCAGAAAACCAAAGCCACCCTAGTCTACTGATTACATGAAAAGTCTTTTTCACTCAAGATTCAAGATTAGTTCTTCTTTGTCAGTTTCTTTGTGTATTTGCGTCTTTGGAAAAAGATCAGGCATAGTTGTCTCAGCCCACAGACAGACATCATTAAACAACCTCCCTTCAGCACAGGTAATGAGGACCCAACACAGACCCTCTGAGGACCTGAGACCTGACTTGGACTCAAAGTTTGCTGACTGGACAACAACAGCGGTACAGATCAACTTCAAAAAGTAGGTCTGGACATGCACATCCAGCTACCTTCTGCTGTAACTATGATCAAATATATTCAATGTACTTTTGTCCAAACAGCTTTTTGTTGCCCTTCAGGAGGAGTAAAGTGATTTAGAAACTCCATCAGCCCAAAAACTTCTCCTAGCTTTTAGTCGGTCTGCTCATGTACTTTATCCTGTCAAAGTTTGTTAAAGCAGTGTCCAAAGAGTACACTGTTATGCAAACTTCTAAAAGTGATTGCCAAATCTAACTAAATATAAGGCTTTATTGCTTTTCTCTGGGACACCTACAAATGGCTGCATTAGATAGCAATAACACACTTGTCCTTGGTCCCCTTTGAAAAGATAGTACCTCTTCAGATTTTGTTCAGTAGCTTTTTAAAATGCTTTAAACAAAAAACAAAACAAACAAAAAAAAAAAACCATCCGCGTCTCTTTCCTTTGAAATCTCATATCAAATTCAAATTCTTTCACTGTCTATCAAGCTGCACTCACATGAATCCATTCAGTGGGGCAGATCAGATATTAAGGTGACCTCAGACTTGGCTCTGCACCAAGCCTCCCCTCCTCCCTCGTATTTGTTTTAACCCCATCTCCGCTTCTTCATTGACATGAGCTGTCAGGGCAAATTGTCTTCAAGGTGGAAAGCCTCTTTATCCAGCAGCATACTGCATGCACAATCAGGCATGCATGTCTTTTCTCCAGAGTAAGCGGAAATGCCTTCTGTCACACACACGCACACACACATACCAACACACACCTGTACTATACTTGATTTATCACTCACTGGAGGTGTACACACTGTTGCTTGCTACACACACATATACACAGGGCATGTCCTGTACATAATATATGGCAGCAAGCTTGCATTTTATCTTTAAATTTTTATTGATTATTTTCAAAGCTCCACCCACCGGAGACGCTGCAATTAGACATGTCAAGTTTTGCATTTCAGCACATATTAAAGGTGGGGTAGGCAGGATTCTGTTAAAGAAGCATCTTTTTTTGTGGTGTATATACAAAAAAGTTTTTAAGATCAGTCAATAGCTGTTAGTTATTGATGACATTTGGGAATATCATGATATTGTTGTGTTCTGTTATGTCAGTGTAGTCAACATTTTACATTTTTTTGAGTGGCATTCTGACTGTAAACAAAGCTGTTCTCCACCTCCCCGACCTGATTGGTTGTGAAGCGGACTCTGCTCCTTTGTGCTGATTGGTTGTGAGGCAGACGCTACTCCCCTGTCATTCACAAGCCCAAACAAAGTTAACGTGCTACAATATTGGGCAGTAGAAACCAACCAAAAAGTAAGGAAAATTGTCTGAATCCTCATTTGGCCACGACCAACACAAGCAAGAAAATGAAGTAAATACCAGAGATTCTGGCAGAATAATGGGCACTTAAAACAGAGGTAAACCGGACAAGAGCTAAGAAGCCGGGTCAACATTAGCATAAACGATGGGGGACACTTTGGGATCTTATGGACCCTGCAACCTTTCTGCTGGACAGGTAAACTGTTATAACAAAGTAAGCCAAGTGTCTGTAACGGAAACGTTTCTTGTCAAATGGGACCTGCTGCGTGATGCAGCGCCACTAAACTGTTTACCTCAGGTCTTAGAGTATGACACTTTATTCTAGTTGTAGAAGTCCTGCAAACATTGTGTTCACTGGTAGTCTGCTGGCATCTACAGTAGCACCAATGCTGTTACTTTCACATTGACTGGGCCCCATTTGTAATTATCTGAAGTATTTATCTGTATTATATCTGTATATAGCGAGCAGCAGCATTTGTTTGTGGGTGGAGCTTGCTGAAGCAGAGAGGGAGGGGAGAGGAGGAGCTAAGGGGAAAACTGGTTGGGAGGGGTAGTGTTTACATTCATGGGGCTCTATTTTCGTGTTTGCCGATGAGGCGGCGGACCCCGCGCAGTTGTATTTTCTTCCGGCGGAGCCCGTGTACAGCCAATTTGGTATTTTCGTGGACTGAGGCGCACTGAGATCCGCCAAGCTGGGTGTGGTGGCGTGGCAGAGGGAGGTGTCGACAGAATCAGCTGCCGCAGTGACATTTTCGTGCTCACCACTGGCGTATAAAGTGCGCTGAAAGCTCACCGATTCTAACCCTAACCCTAGACCCTAACCCTTTTAAACTTTCAGCGCAGGCGGAGCGCAGCTGGTCTAGTGGTATTTTGGTAGACCGGCGGCGTATCGGCATGCGTCACCAATGCCTCACCGGCAGGTTTCCGCAGTGTCAGGCACATTTCAGTGCAATAAATAATCATCAACAACTAATAATCTGAGTCAGCACATACATTTAGATCTATATCGATATATTCTGATATCTGATCTGATGAGCGCGTTTGGCACACGTTTGGACGCACAACCTGACCGAATCAACACAGCTGAAACCACATTAAATTAAATTAAATATCTAGTAAACAGACACACATGATAAAGTTAACAAGATATGTAATTCTTCTCCCTCCTTTTCTTTCTTCCTCTTCCTCTTATTTCTCGCGGATCTCGACCTGGACATGTGTCCAAGTCCTCTCCCCGTCCTGCTACAGCAGCTGCTGCCTCGGCTGAGCAGATGATTTGTTTCAGTGATCAGATGAGTTATTTACTTTAAGCCTACATACTGTATGAATATTATAATATTCAGTTTTGTGAGCCAAATTTATTTTATATGCCAACATCTATGAAAGAAAGGCCATGGAGCGCGATGCGTCATTACGCACAGATAGTTCCGATTTTAATGCCATTTTTGGAATTTATGTTGTGATCTGTGCACTCAACCCACCTTTGTCACGTGAGGTTTGAATATATGCAACTTTATGTGAGTGTCTTTATTTGTGGAAAAGGATGTTTGTCTTACTAGTGGGTCCAACATTACACACACCAAATCCATCTGTGCTCATATGAGAGAGTGTGGAGGACGCCCTCTGCAGCGACACTTGTTGAGGGGCTGCCTTCTGTCGCCATCGTGTGGCATTACTGTCTTCAGACATCTCTTGATCTCTTTGACTACTTCACGAAAATAGTAATACGCCTTGCCGGTGGCAGATTTAAAGGCGAGTAGAAGAGTTGATGTTATTGGTCAATACAGGTCTCAGCTGTGTTAAACCCACTCCACGCCCTCTCTCCTCCCTTGCTACGACTTACGCCGCTGAGAGGAGCTGAGTTAGGGAGGGGGGATACTTACGCCGGGCTGCGCCGCTCACCAAAATACCAAATTGTGCTTGGGAACGCCTTGTGGCACGTCTCCGGCGAGGCACGAAAATAGAGCCCAAGATCTCTCCTAAAAACTGGCACTTCTTCAGATCCTGCCTACCCCACCTTTAGACACTGTGGGTTTACACTAAGGCAGCAACGGATACCTGAAGCTAGCCAATCAAATTCTCTTTTGAGTTCTAATTTCTAATTCAGCCACGACCACTTTCATCAAATAAATCAATTACTTAAGCAATCCTTATATTTGGCAGCATGGCTGTGTTCTCCCTGTCCTTCCACATGCGAACGTGGAAGGGCAAAATCTTAAGTGGTGTAGAGCACACCTTCCCTCTGTTGCATCTGCATACATAAAAAGCCAAAGCAGGGAGAGCAGCAGCAAAACACAGAACAGAGCCGACAAAAGTGACTTTTTAAATACATGTACATACATTAGTCTGACTGAGATCCCACTTAGCTGAACTTCTCATGGTTGGACTAACATACCTGGATTATGCAGTTGGGGTTCAATTTTCTTTTTCATGTATGCCCTCTATTCAACTGAAACTGGCCTTAGCGTTCTGCACATGCAGAGTCTTAATAAGGTAGTTGTATCTTGTAAGGAAGCCTCGTACTAAACAAAACCTTGTTAAAAGAAGAAGGAGGGATGTATAAAAAGACAAAGCTCCTGTTTAAAGTGCATTGCTGCTTATAGTGAATTCTTCAGAAAATTGACTGCTGACATGAACTCACCCAGACTGTATCCTGAAATGATACTGAGGGTCTAGTAGGAAATATTCAGCATGAAGCTGCACACAGCTAACCCACCACTTGAGGACACTTTCAGGAACTCTGTGCATGTTTGCAAGGGGATTGGTGCATGATTTCCTGTTTTCACTGTGTCCACTGCTGCACTGCCTTAAGAGTTTATTGCTTTCTTAATTCTTTTTGGTCAAGATTGAAGACTTGAATGCTTGTGTTTATAAAAAAAAGTACTCTAGACCCTGCTCTGCAAAGTGGCTTATAATTTATGGTGATTCCTAACATTTAAGAAAGGGCACTGAAAGTCTCCTCTATTTATGCATACATGGAACTACATCTTTGCACGACTTAATATTGAATTCACATATAATTTAGGCTATGTTAAAACAGGTAAAAGAGAAGTTCCATCACACAAATTGAACAACAATACAATTGGCCAGGGGAGTGTTTTTGGAAAAAGGAAGAAAAAACATCACAGATTGCAGGTACTTGACATGTTGTGTGATGAGGCAGGAATCTCTGAAGTTTACAAAGACAGTCCCACAACCAGGATAAAAAGAGGTATAAGCCCTGCAGGGGCCTCAAGCATCATCAACAAAGAAACTTAAGACATATTGTAGATGTCTGCACATGCTGCTGCTGCTGCTCATTTACTCTCAACTCACCTCTCCCCGTCTCTCTGCCTCTGTGCTGTCATGTGCTTGGTGGCAGGGTGGCCTGGAGGCCAACACATTTGGCTAAAAAATCTTCCTTTTAAACTCCCTGCCTTCTGCTGGAAGCACCATTGTAGAGAGGAATAGAAAGAGGGAGAGATAGGGAGAGGGAGGCAGATCGCTCCAGGCAAAGCAGCTTCACAGAGCAGTGGAGGCCTGCAGTCTTCATGCCTCTCATCTCTTTTTCTGCGCTCAATACATTTTCTCCTACACTCCCATACCCCCCCGCCCACTTTAATTCCTCCATCCCTGTTTTTTTCAATTTTTCAGCTCCCACCAAAGGTACCATTTCGTATTATCCTGTATTTGTGTCCTACTTTATTGACTGCAGAAGTCCTAACAGTCAGTGCTGGCTTCATGACCTGGTGCCTGATTCCTGCTGTCTCTCATCTGTTTTATGAAACCACTGTAGAGAGGGGTAGGTGTCAGCTGAGGTTTTTACAACCAACACATTAGGTGTTCCCAACAAATGACATATTTCACTGACAAAAGTCACTGGTAAGCAAAGGCTGCTTTGTCCACAGAGGCGCCAAAAATGACGCAAACCAAATTTTCCTAACAGGTGCTTTAACATTTTGTCCAATTGTAGTGGATGATTTTATACACTGAAAAGTCCCTTAAAGAACTTAGTTACCCTGCTGACTTGTTACAGTGAAGTCTCATTTGTTGAAACTATTTTGAGTTGAAATTGTGAACACAGGGCTGTTTCTGCAACTTCTCTGCTGAATCTGACCCCTTCATGCTAAGTTGGGGCCCTAAAAATGATCATTAAAAATTGCCAGTTAATGTTTCTGATGGTCTTGTTTGCATTTGGATATCATAAAAAGCAAAGTAAAAAAAATCCTCATAGGAGCTTTAAACCAGGACTGTTTCTAAAACACCTGTTCATACACTTAGACATTTTCTACATCTATTTCTCCTGTCCTGAGCTGCAGGATTGAGTTTATACACAGAGAGAGGGGGAACATACTAAGATCTGATCATCTGCTGGTTATCTGTGGAAAAGCCATCTGTAATACTGCTGGAATGGTTCCTAGTCTGACCATGCAGCAGTCCAGGTTTACATTGTTACCGATACTTGTAAGAGTTAAGAAGACTGAATATTGTTCCTGTACATACTTCCCTAGAGGAGAGGGAGAGACAAATCCTGAAGCTAATGAAGCTGATATTTCAATTATATAGAGCTGCAGTTACTCATTATCATGAAAGACTATCACCAGCTGTATTGCATTCAACCCAAAAGGAAGTAAAGAGATAATCCCAAATGTCAGTTTCTCCTTCTTTCTCTCTACAGTAAAATTTTCTCTTGTTGAATATTTTCAAATTAGCACATTGAAACATGTGTAATTCATGTTATTCTCACACTATGTCAGCAGGGACACGGAGTTAGTCATAGTTGGGTACACCTCAGTTAGCGCACACGTTTGGAAAGCTCCAATCTGGTAATCTGTTCTACTGTGCTGGGAGTATTACAGTAGTCCTGAAGATCAACTACTGAAACATTGATGGTTAAAACAAAAACAAAAACAAATAATTTTATAAAATTTAAAAAGAATCCCAAAACAGCTACCTATGAAAAAGTACAAATTGAACTGCTGCTACATTTTGCTTTATTTAAATTTTGAAAAATTATTTATTGAAATATAAATATATTTCATGCTTAAAAAAAATTACTTAAGGCTCCTATGAGGAATTTTACATTTATGAAATTGTTTGAAATTCATATGAAAACCGTTTTATGACATATTAAAGCAAACAGGATTTACGCGCAACAAGATTCATGATTTTTATACAGTGAATTTTAATGCCTAAAGCTGGTGCGAGGGGGTAGATGCCACAGAGGGCATCAAAGTTGACACAAATCAAAAGTTCCTCACAGGAGCTCCAACCAAAAATACGTCAAGAAGGCTTCAGTTATGAAGTGCAAAGATATACAACAAAAAATATTTAATGAAATTGAAAGACATTTTTTCATATAATGCAAAAATACCCCATTAGCTGCAGAAACACGTGTATATCATATAGTGTAAAAAAAAACCTCATGCATGAGTCAATACATCATAAGGTGATGAATTTTCATTAAATGAATATTTAAAAAGAAAGTTTTCATTTTTAATATATTCAATTTTGGGGGAGTTATGCATCTGTCAACTGTAATGGAGCCCATGTAGCCCATCTTATGCAGATTTGTTCCTGGCTGTTCTTACTTGACCCGTCATTGCACCATGTATGACGACTTGAACTTTCTATCTCCTTTAGCTAGACAACAGCAGCACTGGTTTCAGTTCATCTTCAAATGCATTCATTTTAATTACCCACAATATCTTAAGCAGTATATGGACCCCTTCACATCTAATCATCATCTTCGTCATTGTGCATAGATTTATTTTAAAGTTCCAATAAATGTATCCAACTCAGTTGGCAAAAAATCTTTTAGGTGCAAAGCTCCCACTGATTGGAACAATCTACCTGTTCAGATTTGATCAATAACCTCATTTCAACTATTCAAAACCGTGCTGTCCTCTCATCTGGAGATCATGTGTTCATGCTTTCACTAATTACAGAATATCAGATCTTTGACGTAATTTTTTTTTTTTTCATATATGTGCTTTGTGTTTTGTTGTTTGTGTATTTTGTGTTACTTCTTGGTTGTTGTTATCTGTTTATTCTTTACTTTCTCTTTTGTGTCATTTATTTGTTATTGCTTTGTTTATTTTGTTTTGTTATTGTTGGCTTTGTTTTGTTTTCCATTGATTTGTATTTCTACGTATCTGTATTTGAGGATCCCCTCGAAAACGAGATGGTTCATCTCAAGGGGTTATTCCAAATAAAGAATTTCAACATGTATCAGCAGAATAAAAAGTGATGCCTCATGAAATCATGTTATTGTAAGCAAAGTTTTTTATGCGGTTGTGAGCTGTTTGTGCAGTTGACCCTCAGGGCCTTCGTACAGTAGACTGGCCCAAAAATGTATATATATATATATATATATATATATATACTGTGTATATCACATGTACTTCCAAACTCAATATAAGAAAGGGAAACACTGTTGGTTTTCATAGTACATAATTTAGGGGTGCAGCAGGAGCCCCAGCACCCATACTCCTTGGGTCCATTCATTTAAGTGAATGTCTAGCATGCAACAAACAATCAAAGTCAGCAAAAAACCACACTACTCTTCCTTCCTCCTCTTGTCAGACCTCTTTTCTTTTTGTTCTCTGATACACTCTCAGCCCTCCTTTATTTCTCCCTCTGCTTTCTTGGTTCTGCTGCAGTGGTGTGTGTTTGTATTGTGGTGTGTATGCGTATAAGTGTGTGTGTGTGTCTCAGGCTGACTTATGGTTTCATTAGTTGCAGCAGAGGAGAGCCTTGTAATTGTGGCTGAATTATAGAGGCGGGGGTGGACAACACCATGGGAGCTCCCAAGGTTCACACACACACACACACACACACACACTACAGTACAGTGCAGCAAGCAACCCACCTATTACTTTGTCACACACACACACACACACACACACACACACACACACACACACACACACACACATCAGCTCAACAAGCTACAAAGTGAATATACTCATCGATCAGCCGCCCACCCACTCACTCGCTCACTCTCTTGCTCCAAAGTGGGGTGTTTCCCGTACACACTGTACACTACCCACGCAGAAATGATCAGCTCACTCCTCCTCTCTCTCTTTCTCACACACACACACACGCACTCACTTGACTTCTACCTCACACACACACATCTCGCCCACGTGGGAGAGCCCAGCAGCACAGAACATGTGGTAGTGGGAACTTGGCAAAACAGCTCCATGATAGTAACTAACTGTCTGTTTCTGTGTCCGTGAAAAGCTGGTGGAATCCTTTGCAGGAAGGGAGCACAAGTTATTGAGAGGGAAGAAGCATGAGCACACAAACCAGCAGGCAGGTGTGTGTGTGTGTGTGTGTGTGTGTGTGTGTGTGTGTGTGTGTGTGTGTGTGTCTCTGTGTCTATGTGTGTGTCTGTGTGTGCCTGTGGTAAGTATATGCGTTTTGGTATCGATGTTGTGAACACACACCAGGGAGCTCGCACAGCCTGCCAGTCATTTTCATGCCGTATTACTCATTCTAACTGTGATATGCCTCCATGTCACAACTGGGCTCCCCAAAATAGCAGCAATGACATCAGTGAAGGGGATGATGTCATCGCTTGGTGACGTCACGTGTCTCCTAGCATCCCAATCCAGAGTATTAGCATTATGTACGAAGATCCAGTGGTCTAATTTTAGAAACTGCGCACAGCTTCCACTTCAGAGTGTTCAGAGAAAACCAGGGGTCTTTTGTGCTGTGTGTGTCTGCATGTTCTTGTTTTTCTCTCTTTGAGGGGACCAAGTGGTGAGACTTCAGAAATGAGGGCAGTTTAGTTAAACTTGAGTTGGTTCAAAATGGCTTTCAATGAATTAAGACACAAAATATCTCTCTGCAAAACCACTTGTGTAATTTATTAACTGAAATACTTCATTTTAGCTTTATCTAAAGTGTACCCGTCTTTAGGACCAATCTTTTACTCCCCCTTACTGTATTTTAGCTATTAAGTGATCACTCAATCTTAATTTATGTAGTGCCAATTCAAAACAAACATCTCAAAGTGCGTAGCAAAAAAAAAAAAAAAAGCTGGACTCGCCCATACTCTTCATGAGATCCAACATAGAAATGGACTAAGATCGAGTCCCATCTTGTGCGATCATTCCCACTCCAGTCCCATCTTCAACTACATGAGTGAGGAACTTTGCAGCATTTAGCAAGTTACAGTGGAGAGGAAGAACTTCTTTTAACAAGCAAAAACTTTGAGAATGACCAGACTCATGTTAGACAGCCATCTGCCATTACTGCATTGGGTTAAAAGGGGGGCTAAAGATGAACAACAACAATAGCACGTACAGATGTGTGATTACCGTGTCAGAGATCATGGAACAAGTATGTATACCATTTACTGGAACAGTATGATAATGGAAACAGATCTTAGTTTACTGCCAGCTAAAGCTAATAACTCTATTGTAGTAATAGCATAGCATACCATAGCATTGCATAGCATAGCAAGGATAGCATTCAAAAAACTGAAACTGAGGTTGAAAATTGGAATTAAAACAGCTGAAGCAAAAATGAAATCGTCAAAATGAACTATGTTAATATCAGCTTTAAAACAATGATACAGATGGAGAGAGTGATGCTAATGTTGCCCTTTTTAGGTCTTCACAGCCATACTAAAACTATGACAGAGAGTTGGTAGAAAAACATTAAATTTAAAAAACATGGGATTCATAATAATGTGTTGCATATACCTTTGAATAATATCTCAGTAGACTTCCGATGTCCAAGTTTACACTAAGATCAAGGTTCAGCTCACATGGATCAAAATGAACTAGCCTCTTCAGCTTCAATCCCCAACCCTCAATCTTTGATGTTTCCTCAACTAAATGAATCAAGCTGTATTAAAGAATCATATACAAATATTTAGTTTGACAGACATGAAAGTGTGTTTTACCGATTAAACATGAAAAAGTAGCCACTTTGAAAATATAGACTGAACTATAATATGTTTGCTGAATATCCAGCTAAAGATTATGACTTTAATCTAGATATATAGGAAAAATCTGCAGGGTAATTGACGATGTGGATAGAGGGTTTGAAATGTCATCTAATCCGAAGGAGCTGAAGATGAAAAAAAATGACATTTTCTCCATCCTCACCCCCACAACTCTAAATTTTAACTACAACAGTCAACCACAACAATCAACCTGATAAGGAGTGGAGTTCAACAGAAAGTAACTGCAATGGTTGTACCAGATAGCCAAGCACCTGGTGATGTTAAGCTTTACAACCACTGAGATTTTCAGTTTCTAGAGTCAGGACTGCTGCTTACTTAAACAGTTAAAATCAGCCACACCTGTTGTAATCTGTCACATTTTTAACATCTGTAAAGATTGTCCAATTCTTACAGAGTGGACCACGCTGAACGCCTGCATCACTCAAAGCAAGCGTCCTCACAAATATAGAAGGACAAATGTGTATGTGTGTGTCTGACTGTGCCTTGTTCAAGCCAGTTAGGGCTAGAGCTGAGCTGTTGGCCATATCTAATCCCATTCAACGGCTTCGTGCAGGATGGGACACAAACTCACACACATTCATACCCACACTTGGCACACACACATTGACACCAACAGAAACACACATCCTCACTCTGTTATGTACTTCATACCCTTTCTATCTAACCTTGCATAGACACAGTCTCTTTAATATCCTTAATACATTCAGAAACAAGCAAACACAAACCATGTTACCATACATGGTGTAACCTTAATGATAACCAAGGGTTATACACCCTTATACAAACACTGTTCTCCTAACGAGTGTGAAACAGACTTTAAAAACAGGTCACTTTTGGTAGCAGCTCTGGGTTCAGGGACCATTCAAGCAGGCAGCACAAAAAATATTCCAAGCACAAAACTATCAAAAACTGGCTTGTGTAGTAGATTTTACAGTCGAAAAAGGGTAGAAAAAATCATGTTATTGCTGTATCATCCATAAGCTTGTTGAAAGTACAAGCAATTAAGGTTTCACTGACATAATAAAAGATGGGTGACATGTCAGCTCCCATAAAGCAAAACAAAGATATTCTGATTGTGCCCTACTGACTAGTTACAGTACAGGTCATAAAGCGCGCTTCTGTCGTGTTATCAGATGCCACATTGGTCAAACTCCAAATAACTGTTCTCACTGCAGTTTCTGTCAACATCAGGTCACTTTTTGTCCAAGCATTCAATTTTCAGAGTGGCTTCAAACCAACTTAAGAACTTGTTCTGCTGTGGACTGTACATGGGAATCCATGGGATATCTTTTAAGTTTAAATTGCAAGCAAGGTGTGTGTTTTGGTTAGCTAGAGGGGTGTGATGTCAAGATCATTGCCCCAAACAGCTATTTGGACCGCAAATAACATGAACAATGTTATTTGTTGCACTGAAATGCCTTCTCCAGTAGATGCTGGACATTGGTGGGGTTATGATTTTCCTGTCCAAACCTGACCCAACAATCTTGCAGACATATATATTTCATAATAAAGAGAGACCTCCTTCATAGAGAACCACTGAAAAACTAGAGTTAATAATGTGGTGGACATAAAATCCCCCTATTTAATTGACAACATGTATTTCAGCAGCATTCAGCAGCATGAGTTTTATAGCAGCATTTGTCAGGAACAGTAGCAGTATGATAACACAGCACCAGGAGGGAATTGGAAGTCATGAAATCCAAATTCAGACATTACTTTTCCATTAATAGATACGATTGAAAGTTTTTCACCCACTGCCCCGACAAATTAACATCTTGCTGCCAGCTGGGCATTATGATTTGTTTTTTTTTAAGTTTATTTTGGGGCTTTTGGGCTTTTCTTCAGAGAGGGTATGATGATGGATGGAAAAGAGTGTGGAGTGGCATGCTGGAAAGATCCATGGGAAGGAAGTAAACTGCAAATCAAGCACCTTGCCCTAACCAGATGATCAGATTTTGTAAGATTGCATTGTGATGGAGCTGGGTCGACACCAGCATGGCAAGCTGTAAGGCCTATCCCCTATACATTTTACTGTAGGGACTGGTGTTGTGGTTCCATCCTCTTACCTCACTCTCTCTCTCTCTCTTTTTCTCTCTGTGTGTGGCTGCAGCTGATAGTACTGCTGCAGGAGGGAGACTGACTGCTCGCCCTTACATAACCACATGTACAAATTCACCCAGAGAGAGGTGGGTGGGGGTGGCGGGGTGAGAAAGCTCAGAGAGCGGCAGACAGAGGGAATGAAATTGACTCCAAAGACTCTCGGGGAAAGGAAGAGAGAAACACACAGGATGTAAAGGCAGAGGGTCTAGAGTGGGGACATAACAGAAGTTGAGGAAAGCACAAATAATGAGATGAAAATAGATATTTCCAAGACCTTAAGCCTGTAGTAAAGAAACAGTCAGCAATGTTACGTCAGTGTTAACGCTGGTTTACAGAGTGAACACTACTTCTTGACTATGTGATGACAACCGTTTCTTTCCAGTGGTACTAGTTCGACAACATAAAGGATATTTTCATGAAAGAGACATTAATTAAATTGAAGAAAACAGACAAGGAGCAATAACAAACACCATAATGCAAATCTATCTTCATGAAAATGTTAGTTTTAATGCTAATTTGTTCTGTGAGTAGCCATGGAAGGGCCACAAACCATTACAACTTAATGATATCTAACTTTTGAACTCATAGAATCATATATGGATAAATAATTAACTGTATGTGATCCTTTAAGTTTCTCTCCTGTATCATAGATTTCTCTGCGCTTGTTGAATGTGACAATATTCTGACAGCAGACTTGGTCATATCTGGTATTGGTCATAAGCTGCTAACTACAACCCTCCTACCTAAAACGTCTGCTTTATTCAATACCCCAGATCCCTGGACACTGGAAATCCTGACTCAACTTCATTTCAGAGGCAAAGAGGGTGAGTTACGGTGAGCCTGTAGCCTCCCAATGAACAGTGTCAATGTACCTGCCTATCAGTTAAACTAGCCCCTAACTATGCTGTAAAATTTGTGAAACTAATTTTTACATGAGCAGACTTACAAAGCTGTCGGAGCCAGACCCAAGTGGACAATCGAGGGATTGCAGTTTTTAGGAATTAGCTTCATTTTGCCAACCTTTACCCAGTCATGATGCTTTTTACATCAAGTCATAGGGCTCTATTTTCGTGCCTCGCCTGAGACGTGCCGTAGGCGCGGCGTAAGTCAGGTCCGCCGCGCCGCGCCGACAAGGCATTCCCAAGCACAATTTGGTATTTTGGTGAGTGGCGCAGCCCGGCGTAAGTATTCCCCCTCCCTGACTCAGCTCCTCCCAGCGGCGTAAGTCTTAGCGAGGGAGGCGAGAGGGCGTGGAGTGGGTTTAACACAGCTGAGACCTGTATTGACCAATAAAATCAGCTCCTCTCCTCGCCTTTAAATCCGCCACTGGCGAGGCGTATTACTATTTTCGTGAAGTAGTCAAAGAGATCAAGAGATATCTGAGGACAGTAATGCCACACGATGGCGACAGAAGGCAGCTTCTCAACAAGTGTCGCTGCAGAGGGCGTCCTCCACACTGTCTCATCTAAGCACAGATGGATTTGGTGTGTGTAATGTTGGACCCACTAGTAAGACAAACATCCCTTTCCACAAATAAAGACACTCACATAAAGTTGCATATATATAAACCTCACGTGACAAAGGTGGGTTGTACACAGAGATCACAACATAAACTCATGGCATTAAAATCTGAACCATCTGTGCGTAATGACGCATCGCGCGCCATGGCCTGGCTCTTTCTTTCATAGATGCTGGCATATAAAATAAATTGGCTCACAAAACTGAATATTATAATATTCGTATGTAGGCTTAAAGTAAATAACTCATCTGATCACTGAAACAAATTATCTGTTCAGCTGCCACAGCTGCAGCAGGACGGGGAGAGGACATGGACACATGTCCAGGTCCGGTGGCGCGAGAAATAAGAGGAAGAGGAAGAAAGAAAAGGAGAGAGAGACAAATTACATATCTTGTTAACTTCATCATGTGTGTCTATTTACTAGGTATTTATTTTAATTTAATGCGGTTTCAGCTGTGTTAATTCGGTCAGGTTGTGTGTCCAAACACGTGCCAAACGCGCTCATCAGATCAGATATAGATCAGAATATATCTATATAGATCTAAATGTATGTGCTGACTCAGATTATTAGTTGTTGAGGATTATTCATTGCACTGTAATGTGCCTGACACTGTGGAAACCTGCCGGTGAGGCATCAGTGACGTATGCCGATTCGCCGCCGGTCTACCAAAATACCGCTAGACCAGCTGCGTTTCGCCTGTGCTGAAAGCTGACCAGGTTTGAATCGGCGAGCTTTCAGCGCACTTTATACGCGTGGCAACATGAAACTGTCACTGCGCCCGCTGATTCTGTTGACACCTCCACCTGCCACGCCACCACGCCCAGCTTTGCGGATCTCGGTGCGCCTCAGTCCATGAAAATACCAAACTGGCTGTACGCCGGGCTCCACCAGACGAAAAAACAACTGCGCGGGGTCCACCACCCTTCACCGCCTCACCGGCGTACACGAAAATAGAGCCCAAAGCCATAGATCATCAAACTCTCTGAATCAAGGGTGATCTTGATTCAGTCACTAAACAATTATCTGTAAGTAATCCACCAGTCTGGGGAATTTATTAATCCAATTCTGGATAAAAGAAAATACAAGTTGAGGCAGTAAGGAAGGCGAGGAGGAGTCAGACAGAGGTTGAAGTGTCTGAAACTTTATCGTATACCACTCCTCGATACTACTCTGCAGCGCCCAGTCTATCAGGAATAAGGTCATGCTCCAAGCCAATGTTATCCACCTGGAGAGCTTTAGGCATGCATGCATCTTGGCTTCCACTGAGACCTGGCTCACACCAAATGATCTGGGGAACGACCTGCCACTCAGCAGTTTTGGTGCACCAATTAGACTTGACAGGGATGCAGACGTCACAGGGAAATCCCAAGGAGGAGGGGTGTGTCTCTATGGTAACAAGCAGTGGTGCAGAAACATCTGAGAGACAGTGTGCACCACAGACATTGAGCTGCTGTCTGTCTCTGTGCACCCCTTTTACCTTCCCCGTGAATTTCCACAAATATTCCTGACTATTTTGTACATAAACCCAAAAGCCAACACGAAATAGTGTGGTGTAAACTATTCACAAGGTCACACAATCAGTCCTTCTGTCCTGATGCTCCCTGTTTCACCCTTGGGTATTTGAACCACTGTGACCTTGATCAATGAACAACTTTGATCAGTATCTTGCCTAGCCAGATTAAACAAAAACCATAGACTTATGTTATAGTTCAGTTAAGTGTCTGCTGCACAACCTCCGCTTGGCTTCTCCGATCACAACACTGTTCTTCTTGCTCCCACTTACAAGCTACTCCTCAAACAAGGGCAAGGCAACAGTTACACAGGTGGAGACATGGACTGAGAGTGCAATCGATGAGCTCAAAGGGGCCCTTGAATGTACTGACTTAACTTTTTTTAACTCTTCTAAACTTGATGAGAGGGCTGAGGTGATATCCTCTAATGTGATACAGTATATTTAAACGACACTGTTATTTCTACCAAACATGTTAAGGTGTTTCCCAATAACAAACCCTGATTAAATAGAGCAGCTATCTAATGCTGGTAATGATTTCTATTTATGTTTTGATGACGGTGACCTTTGAACTGCATATAGTAATTTGAGTGATAGGTGGGGTTAACATAGCTCAGTCTCTCCACTTATTGTCAGTGCCTCTGGTGTCAGATCTGTGTTCCTTAAATGTAACATCAGGAAAAGCTCTGGACCAGACATGAGCACTAGGAAACTTTTAAAACTCTGCACAGACCAACTTTGTGGTGTTTTTAGTGACATATTTACTTCATCCCGTACCTTAGAGAAGTTCCCACTGCTGTGAAAAGAGACTATTGTAGTACCTGTGGCCAAGTGCTGAATAATTTTAGACCAGTAGCTCTTACTTCATTGGTCGTTTAGTGTTTTGAGCAACTGATCAAGAAATTCCTGATGAACTTAGTACAGGAGTTGCTTGATCCAATGCAATTTGCTTATCAGCCAACTAGAGGAGTGGAGGACGCTACCACCTTACCACCTCTCTGTTGAACTTCCTATACAAACATTGAGCTTTTAACACAATTCAGCCACCCATCTAGGTCACAAACTAGCATCTTTTTAGTCTTGAACTTAAATTTGTGAATTGGCTCAAAGACTTTTTAACATGCAGTCAAAGCACATGTTGTCTATCCCCAAAAAAGCTTACCATAGGGGTGTGTCCTATCCCTTTTATTGTTTATTTTATACACAAATGACTGCAGAAGTCATCACCTTGACAGTCATATCTTAAAATTTGCAGTTTTACAGTGTTAGTTAGTTTACTCTGGGATAGAGAGGTCGACCATGGGCCAGTTGCAACCAACTTTGATGATGCAACAGCCATTTCCTCAAGTCAAACATGCAAAAAAACAAAGGACATGGCCATTGACTGTAAGAAGACCCCAAAATCAGCTCACCCAACCATCATCAAGGGTACAGCAGTGGGGATGGTCGAATCCTTCAGGTACTTGGGGTCAGTGATTGATAAAAACCTGACTCATGACCTCAATACCTCAACAACCTGCAAAAAAGGCCTGCAAAGACTTTACTTCCTGCGCAGACTAAAATCTTTCAATGTTGACCAGACCTTGATGTTCATATTTCATAGGTCTTTTATTGAGTCAGTTTTACCTTTTGCTTAATGTTATTTTATTGAAACTTGTCTGACCAAAAAAAAATTGTCCAAAATTGTGTGAGAAGCCAATCGGATCATCGGCATGCAGCAGCTCTCTCTCTGACATCTTTGACAGATGAGTCCTACAGAAGGCACAGTGTCCTGCCCAGCACCGATCACCCTCTGTTAGAGGAATTTATCTGGTACCTAGGGCATGAACAAATAGTTTTAAATTTTCTTTTATTGCATATGCAATTAATGCAATCAATTTGCTGCTTTCTTAATAGCCGTGCTCTGTTGGTACAGTACAAGTTGATGACAGGTTTTACTCTCCTTCACTTCCTCTATCATTTTAAACTCTCTATATTCTTCTTTATTCTTTTATTCTCTTTGTACTCCTTTTTATTGTTTTTATACCCTTAGACACCTTAATTTTTACAAGTTGGTTGCCTTATAAACTGCGATGTTGTTCTATGCCTATGTTTATTTATTGTTGTTTTCGTGTTGATTGTACTGCCACTGCAGATCAAATTTCCCCAGAAGGGATGATAAAAGCCCTGTATTGAACTCGACTAATTTGTTACGAATCAAATGAACTTTTATACTTTTTTCACTGTTATTACTTAGTTCCATAACTTATGATCATCCAGAAGTAGTGTAAAAAAAAGCATAGTTTCTCCACGCAAGAAATAAAGGAACTAAAATACAAGAGAGAAAACAATTTCATGCATGACAAATAAGGCAATGTCATTTTCAAAGAAGTTTTGGTCACTGTTGACATGAACAAGTCATAAATTTAAAATTATTAAGAAATGGATGATAAAATGTGCAGTAATTGTAACGGGATATCTCCTTGCACTGTGACCAGTGTGACAACTCACCAAACAGTTATCTGAATATGTTGTGTGTCATTCTCTGACTAGCTAATGTGTTCTTAATCCTCCCTACCTCTGAATAAACTTGCAAATTAACCTACAATCACATGGACTATGTGTGTTATATAGTTCATGGCACAGTCTGAAGCTCTTTCACAAGCACATGACCAACCATGGCGAGAGACAGCAGCTGCTGCAGTGCAACGTTTTTGAGGACAAATCCCAGTCATTACTTTTGCAGCAGGTGTTGTCCATTGTTGCTTTTTTTAATCCTGTGTGGTGTTTCTAGTTAAGGCCAACTGATGCAGAGTCTAAAATGTGTTATGAAATCTCATTAAAAGATGAGTTTAGCGGAATTTTAATGCCCTCTGTTGTCTGTTCGATGACTTAAACAATGTGTTTAGTGACACTAGTGAGAGGACAGACTGTTCCTGTCCTCTGCTGTCAGTTAATGGGCTCCATTTCTATGCCAAATTTAGTCTCCAAAGAAAGAAGTTATCACTGCTAAAACTTAATAAGACCAAGACCAGAGAGGGCAGGTCAACTTTACTTATATAACACTAAAAAATATTGAAAAAAGTGTCAGGTCACATCGACTCGAAAGAAGTCAGTGTTTCATTTATACTGTCCCAGGTCATGAAATATCAACACTTGGTGAATGACACTGTCATCACAATAGGATGAGTTTGGATTAGGACGGATGACACTGACAAGTAATTTAGGGTGAAGAACACAAGCCTTGGTGCATTTGTGAAATTTAAATTGGCACATAAAAACAGGCCTCAGGATTTGATCTTCTGAGAGTATCATTATTCTGCACTGAGGCTGAGAGTAAATGGTAAATGGCAGCACTTGTACGGCACTTATTCTTTTACAGTACATGACATATCACACTCACCCACTCATACACTGATGGCAGAGGATGCCATGCAGACTGCAATCAGTATAACCTCATCATAGTTATCTACAGCTATCCATTCGCCATTGACCATGCCACTTGGGAGCAATTCCAGGTTCAGCGTCTTGCCTAAGACTACTCAAGACATGTAGATGCCAACCTTTACAGTGAGAGATGACCACCACCACCACTGAGCCATCTCTGGGTCTTTGGGTTTGGCCTTAGGTTAAACAGTCCCCTGAAAACTCTATGTGGCATCCCTCACAATAAGCAAAACTAGCAGGTGTGTTGATCCAGTGACTGTGTATCCTCAAGGCTTGATAAGACAACACAAACTAGTTCAGGTGTTGTTCTCTACACCCCCCAATTTTCTTTAGACAACAAACTTGACAAATGTTGTGGAAAGGAAAACTCCTCATTCAGTTAATGACATGCGCAGTGAAGTTACAGCTCGATAAGGCAATTTAACTAGACGGAGCGAGGCAAAACATTGATTTGTTGGCAAAAATATATACAGTAAGTGGTGATACGCCCACTTTTAGCAATCATCAATTGGACTGTTTCTGTGTTAAACCGAGATACCACCAGCCATCAACAAATGCTTTTGCAAGAAGTGCTTGTATGTTAAGCGTTGAAAACACTCACAACTTTACAGCTTTGTACTTTCAAATGTATAACACAACAGCTTCTTTTTTTTTCAATGCACAATCTACTTCTTTCAAAGTTTTGTTCACTTTAAACCTCCAGTTTAAAGCCCAACCTGTGCAGAACACTAGGGCCAGTTTGCGTCCACCTGGAGAAAATTAATCCCCAGCTACATTATTAATGTATGTTTGTCCGATGACAGAAAATTTGGTTTGGTGCAGTTTCAGTCAGATTGATGTGTTCACGAATGCAATAAATCAACTTGACCATGGACATGTACTCACCAAATGCACACAAAGCAGACACAAAATTCGATACGTTTTCACATATGTTTTCACCTGTGAGCCACTAATTCAATAGACAGGTATCAAAACGTCAACCACTGGCGTCCAATTTGGAATAACTCCACATGACTGCACCCCCCAAAGATTGTTGTAAACTAAGCTGAGCTCATGGTGATGAGGTCAAAGTGACAGCTGTTTGAGGGAGGAAGAAAGGGAGAGTGCACTTCATTTACCTACTGGACAAAATGAGGGAGTGATGATGGTGGGGTGGCAGTATCGTTCAGGTTGCAGATAGTGAGAGACCAACAGAACCAGCAGCTTCCAAGAAAATCAATAGATTCATAATGGGTAACACCTTTCCATCACTCTGAAACCAGTGACCCGAGTTTTCATGAACACTATAGAGTGAAGAAGCTGATCTACAGTTTAACACTAAAAGGAGATAATTTATCTAAATGGCGTCATTCCCTGGCAGCAGTGCCACTTTCGCTGTCTGTAGCAAGTGTATTTTTGGGCATTCAGAGTCCTTAAACCTCACTGAGACACCATAGACCGTATATACTATGGACAACTTGGTTCCGCCTCCCGCCTGTATACGTACTTGAAGCCAAAAAGCTCTCGGTATTTCCGGGATTTTTCTTCATTTTCTGAAACCAGTGCTGTGCAGTAGTGATGTGCGCATTTGGGTGTGCAGTCGCCGAAAGTCGCTGCGATGACGCTCGGCTCAAACAGCGTATACCCGGGAGAGCTATACAATCCCTGATTGCCCATAGGCTGTATCAGGTGTCAATCATAGAAAACATGAACCCCCTAATAACTTTTAAAAATGGAGCTGCACAGAAAAAAGAGGACTTGAGCACAAACCAGTCTGACAGTAATGAAATGCCAATATCACAAGCAGGGGGGAGAAAAATGTATGTTCTGTGTAATAAATTTCTAAAGTTTGTCCACAACTCCATAAGCTTTGCTGGCGGAGGCGGGATTTATGACCTATACTGCAGCCCATCAACAGAGGGTGCTGTTCTCAGAGTGGCTTCACTCACCAAGTGGCAGACTCTGTCCATTCTTTATACAGTCTATGTGAGACACCCAACATGGGACATTTTCATAAAAAACAACGGTCAACAGACATACCAAACTGTTTTTTCAAACTTCAGAAACTTTCTTATATCTAAATTCTGAATCTCTGAGTCTTAATTCACCCCCCCCCCCCACACACACACACACACACAGACACACAGACACACAGACAGACTCCATCCACCAGCTGTCAGACAGGCATGCAGGCCTCAGTGGAGACAGACAGACAGATGGATGGAAAGCAAGAAGGAGGAGGCAGGGGATAGAACGAAGGAAGGAGGAGAGGGAGAGGTGTGACCCATATAGCAGAGCCTGGAGTATTTATAGAAGACAGTGTCCTAATTGGCAAGCCTTTGGGAAAGCAACAGCACTGCACTGGTACCCTACTCCTTGTCCTTCACCTCCTCAACCCTCCTTTCTCCTCGTCTTTTGCCTTCTTCCTGCCACTGTGTCCTCTTTCACCTCCCAGAGTCTGCCTTCTGGAACACTTTGCTGCTTTTTCTGGTGTTTTTACTTGACCTCCTGCTCATCCTTCATCTTCCACCTTTTACCACCACTCCTCTTTTGAGTCTCTCAGTGTAGGCAGTGCCCCTTCTATTTTCTTCTTTCAGCTTCATGCAACTTTGTGTCTTTGTCCTCTATCTTTCATCTTTCATCTCAGCTCTTTTGGCTTCTTTCCTCCATCTTTTGCTCTAATTGGTCATGGTCCACTTTCTTCTCAGCTGGTTCAAGTGTTTCAGGACCACAATCAGCAGCCAGAGAGCTCAAGTCAAGGTATTAGGTATTAGAACCTTAGTGTACCCTCCAGTCAACTCAACTGGCAGTGAGCACATTATAAAAGAAAGTAAGTCACCAGACTGAAAAAGTCAGGCCAATATTTTCTAAGTCAGTCCCTCTGGGATTGAAGGAGCTTATTCTGAGAAAGATTTAGCCTGAAACACATCATTTTGCTGCAAAGTTGCAATCTGAGCTGTTTTTTTTTTTTTTTTTTTGCGTCATTACATCGTGCATTACTCATCAGCTTGTGTGACTGAAGGACAGATGCTCAGCTAAAGCTATAAATTGGTCAAATGTAAGACTCATGCACCCAAAAAACGTGCCTGTGACAACCTCAGTCGAAGGATAGAATTTAAATCTGCACTGAACATGGAAAATTAAAGGACAAATACAAAGTTTGCATGACAATCTAGCTCTGTAAGACTTTAAATAAGTGAGAAATACTTGATGTTGAAGTAGAAACCACAAATTGAAGGCTGAAAGAAGGACTCACGTAGGAAGTACTCTGAAGCATCCGCCTCATAGTCGGCATCCTCGGGAAAGTGATCTATCTGCTTACACATGCCTTTAAAGGAACCTGCAGGAGCAAGGGAGAAAAAATGTGTAAATGAGAGCTGTCAGAGGAGGAAACAGAGCAAATGAATGAAGCCCACCTATCATACAGGTGCATTAGGCATACTTGTACTGTTTTTTTTAAAATGTCTGTTTGCTTTTTTTGCCCTGCTAAATGTACATGTAGCTGCAGTAAAAAATAATAAAAGAGACAAAAGGGGACAGGGAGACAAAACTAGAGAAAGTACCTCACAAAAGGGGTTTGATAAAAAAAGGAAAGAGGGTTGGATGCAACATTTTAGCAAAAGGAAACAAGTTCAGAGAAGCCTGATTTTCCACAAACTTTGACGGAAACACAGGAATGAAAGTGTCAGGCACAAGGAGAAGAGGACAAAGAAGAAGATGGGGAGTTTAATCTAAATGCTTTGGCAGAGCAGGCGGGAGGAGAGAGAGTGAGCGAAATGCAAATGAAAGAGAGGAAGAAAGGGAAGCTGATAGTGCCGCTCATTAAGAAGAATTGTGTGTCTGTGTGTGTCCGCGTATGTATGTGTGTGTGTTTAGCTTGGTTCTGCTCCAGTAGTAATTGTATGCCCTCCCAAACTACTGCAATTAAACGGGCCCTTGTTAATTGGCGATTGAAGGACGAAAGACTGGCGCCTGGCTTTCAAATGGGCATCAGTTACACATACACACACTTACGCAATGTCTTACACTTTCAAGCGCACACACAGACACACACACACACACACACACACACACACACACACACACACACACACACACACACACACACACACACACACACACACACACAGAATACTGTAGCATCATCCCTATAGTCAGTAGCCTTGTTGGCTGTCATCACAGAGAGAGCACTTACGGCGTCGTTTCATCATGACCGCAGAGAAAATGACCAATTTTACACCAAAGCAAGACACATAAAAGTGAAAACTCAAAAGGATTATGACAAAACCAAACCTCCATATTTACATATCTTTAATACACCTCAGCAAACACTCATGCAACCAAGTGTTTTTCTCCAGGTAGACTTTGATAGATACATTAAAGATACTTCACCAAGAAGAGGCTCGGAAACCTTTCAGCATAATGCGAAATGCTTTCATCATTCAGATAATTTCAGCACGCAGAGCTGTGTGAGCTTCCTGAGAGGACTGTGATAAACAACAGAGCCGTGTTTTTCATGAGAAAATAGTCTCCGATTCTCACCATTTGTTGTGCAAATGTGAAGGATGGTACAAAACAGACCAGAATCACGCTGCATGCACTCAAGGGGCTTTCAGTGAAGAGTTGAAATAGTACGCTGATGAGCAAAGGTCTCTCAGGTGATTTAGTTTACCCTCGGGGAGGCTCAAGAGATATCTTAGTGTTTCCAAAAGGCTGAGTCATCCTAATTTTGAACCATTACATCTTTACTTGCTCTATTATAGGTGTAATAACAAACAAACATATTACAGAATACGTAAAAATGCTCTGCAGGGATGGGCACAAGCTTTGCAAGACCAAGTTGAGTTTTAGGTCTGTGATATCAATTTTCAAGTCTCTGAGGGGCAAGTCTCAAGTGTTTATAAGCTGCATTAAGTCCCATTCCAGTCTCTTATGGTTGTGATGGATAACAAAGTAAAAACATGCAACAAAATGAGAGTTCTTTTGATAACAAATCGCCCCGTTGATTTACATTATGCAACATACTCATAATGTGAGGTGAGTTTATAGTTTAATTTTGCTGTGCTGCCCTACTTTTTAGACTTTTTTGACTCATGCAGCAGTAGCACTAAGTATATGGTCATGCACACAAATAAACAGCATTAGCAGAATATATTTTATTCATACTAACATTTTTTAGTATAACCAATTAGATTAAAGTGTGTAAATTTTCTAACTTTTTAAAGTAACCGTGTAAAAATCTTACTAGCTAGAATCAAAACAGACTAGGTGGTTTCCCCCAAAATTTTCAATCTAAAGCTCTGAAAAAAAGGGCTGAGCTGAAATGCAAAAAGACAATCAGCCAATATACTCTCTGATTTTTGACAGGGGGCGCCCCTCCCCCACCTCTCAGCTAGCTCCTGAAATCACCAGTGACACCTAGGATGTACTCAATGACAATTTAAATGACCAATTGTGGATTTGCTGTGACAAGGAAACTGAACAGTAACATTTCAGACACACAGTGTCCTTTTTTCTGCGTACTTGTTCTTATTTATAAAATGTTTACCCCTGCATGGTCTGGGGTCAGTTGGGAGCCGAAATGGGAAACATGAACAGGATGGACTGATGTAAGACATATGTTTATGACAATTTATGACTAGACACTTGAACAATTCCCTCATTGGATGCCCATTTATAGTCAATGTGTGAGGAACACAACTGTAGTGCAACTCTGTGGAGTGGCCACTGGTGCAACAGAAGGGTTCGTTATATGGCTCAGCCACAAATACAAAATAAAAAGACCGTTCATGGGTCCCAAATCTTGAGTCCAAGACAGATTTCAGGTCACCTATAAAAAAGTCAAAGTCTAAAACTTTGGGACTCTGTTTTTGTTCCTGGGTGGGTGAAGCTTCAGAATCTTCAAAAGCAGGAAGTTTACCTGTGGCAACCTGTCAGTGCATGTGCATGAAATATGCAATGAATTGCAGCAATTTTGAAGTCATATCTGCTTGTAAGCAGAGCCAGGCATTAGTAGCACCATCTTCTGGATAAAATACCACAAAATAAAATAAAATCTTATACATTTTTATACTAGTATATTAGCTGCAGCACCATATCAGGCTGTCTGTCAAGATTGAACATGAAAACAGTTTTAAAAAGTATCCAGAATTTTACCCTAAGTTGGTAATTGGTTGACTGTAATCTGCAGGTCCTGCAACTATTTAGCTCTCTACATCTTGTTTTTTGTTGCATGGTTCTTGTATTGTCTGGGTTCCTTATGACATGAAAATGGCCTTCAATTCTGTTTTTACCAAGCTTTTTGTTTTTATCCGTCTTTTCCCATGTGCTCTATGACTATATGTCAAAGCACTTTGTAAACTTCTGTTTTTAAAAGTGCTATACAAATAAAGTTATTATTATTATTATTATTATTATTATTATTATTATTACATGTACTGTAGTCCCACATATGGTCAAGACCCCGTCCATGAGGAAAGAAAACCTCTAAGTACTTTGCTCTAAATATGTACCTTCTTGATTTTCCAAAAGTGTCAGGTCAAGTTGAGGACTTCAGCTCAAACATTTGGTTTGGAAGGAGTTACAGTGGCATTCAAGCTCCCCGGGTTGGACCCACAGACCCCCTCAGATTGATCAATTCAAGTAACCCTGTGCAAATCAGTGCACCTGATTCCTGATTTTCTCAACCATCCGACTCACATGAATCCACAGCATTACTAAACAGTCAAAATGGTGACTGTTGTAGTTGCTAGGAGATGCACAGAGTGAAAATTACAGTCAAAACACCACAGTACCATCACTCCTTCCACTTCAGCCATGAGAATAAAACATCTTTGTGTCAGTGTTTGGTTTTAATTTAGCAGATGTCTCTGCATGAAGATGTCAAACACATCAGTTCACGCACTTGCCTGGCAGAAACTCCCCTCTCTCTTTCCTCAATCAGTACGCTCTCTCTTTTACACTGTCCCTCGCTCCCTCCAACACATGCCCACCCACGCTGCAGCACAAGCACATGTAATCTGCTATGCATTTCCCATCTTCCTCTCTCCTAGCGCTCCCTCGCACAGCCTCTATCTGTCTCTTACATGTGCCGTTACCCCGAGGACCAGATTCCCATTTGAACCGAGTTGGCAGCTTTTCCCCCTCCTCTGCCCCTCTCCTCTTCTATCCCTGTTTTTTTCCTTCATTCCCTCTGCAACTCAAATCAAGAGCACACTTTATTGTCTCGACAGGGATGAAACCTGTGTAGCCTGAGCAGAGTATTATGTCATCATCTGAGATCCACTGATGATATTGACTTAAACAGATGGCCAGAAACCAAAACACTTCAAATGGAATGAGTTTCAGCATGCTGCTTTTATTCATCTAAGAGCCACAGAAAGCTTCGGTCATCAGGGTTTTGCATACTGTGGTAGTTATCAGAGCGCTGCAAACCTGAGAACAAATAGTGCTAATGGTCTCTCTTGTCAATTAGCTGCATCTGCAAGGCCAGTTTTTGTGAGGTTTAGGATCTATTTATAACCATCAGAGAACATGAGGGATGATGCCTGATGTTGGGTCCATAAAAAAATGACAATTGGGCCATAGACTAAAAACACCAGTTTCTTAAAAGTCAGGTCAAAACAGTCAGGGCTCCCCTGGTAAGTGGTTATCCATGTTCATATACTGTATGTGTGATAAAAAACAAACAAACAAATAAAAACTCTAGCATTGTTTCCCAGAAATGCCTGAGGGTCTAAGTAATACCAGAATCAAAGGAATTCTTATCCAAAAGGGTTCCAGCACAAGGGAAACATTGTTCATTACTCTGGTTCAGGTTTTTTATATGACTTTGCCAAGGGAGGTATTTCTGGTCTGTAGTGCAGCTTATGGAGTGCTGCGATTTGGCTGAGCTGGAAATCCAGTATGATACAGTATGATAGCAAAATCCAACTTAACAACACTGCATACAAATGCTTAAGGGAATGCTTAAATACTGTCACCACCCCTCAACAGACACGATTATCACAAAGAAATTACAGGTCAAAGCAGAGAGTTGAAAGTCAATTTGTTCACGCGGTTGATAACCAAGTCCAAAGCAGTCATGAGCTTCTTGCAGCCTATGTGCCATTTGTGCAATCATTTATTGTAAAAAAAAAAAAAAGCAAATAAGTATGACACTGTGTATTATTCACAACAAAGATTTCCCCTTTCAATAGCTCAGTTTTCCTCTCTTTAGCTGTGTCACAGTCATCAAAGTTGTCACATTTGCTCCAAAGGCTAAAAGAGTAGAAGTCCCCCACTGCTGTCAATCATCCAGTCTGTCAATAAAAGAATCATGAACTGCAGAGTGTAACCAAATACCAGGAATAGTGGACAGTGACTCCACTATCAAGTCAATTTCATCTGTCCTTCTTTTTTTTCTCCCTTCCTCCCCTCTTTTTTCCCTCTCCTCCTAACTCCCGCCATTTCCTGCCTTGCCATTCCCCCTACCCCCCTTTCTACCTTCCCTCCTTTCTCCCCTCCCTCCCCCCTTTTCATACACACCTTCCTTCCCTCCAACCTTTCTTATTTCTTTTCTATTCTTTTTCTTCATTGCTTCTTTGTTTATATTTTCTTTTATCTTCTTTATTTATTGCTTCTTTCTCCCCTCCTTCTTTCCTTCCTCCCTTCTTTCCTTCCTTTATTCATTGCTTTATTCTGTCCTTCCCTTTTTTTCTATATTGCTTGTTTCCTTCCTTCTTTTCTTCCCCCATTCTTTCCTTTCCTTTCCTATAGGGTTGCAACAGCCCTGCTTCTCAACTCACCTAAAATCACTTTTCCACTCCTCATACCTCTGCTCCACTCTGCCTGCCTGCCAAGCCCACCTTTTCCACCAACTCAACTACTAACCTGTGCTCACACCTGCAACTCACCTGCAGTCAAGCCACTATCTAAGCCTCCTCAACTCACTTGGACACTGCTAGATTGTTCTTTAGCTTCCATGCAAGACTTTACAGCACTTTCTTTTGGATTGACATGGTGGTCAGATCAGCTGGGGGCCCAGTGCCTCCTCTCCCCTCCCTTTCTGCTCCAGCAAGCCCCGCCCACAAACAGACGCTTCTACTCGCTCGTATCATCCAAATTAAATTCAGATATAATGCAGATAAATACCTCAGATAATTACAAATGGGGCCCAGTCAACATGAAAGTAAAAAGCATTGGTGTTACTGTAGATGCCAACAGATGACCAGCAAACACAATGTTTGCAGGACTTCAACAACTAGGATAAAGTGACATAGTCCAGGACCCAAGCTAAACAGTTTAGCAGCGCTACGACCCGCAGCAGGTCCTATTTGATAAGAAACACTTCTGTTACATTTGGCTTACTTTGTCAAAGTGGATTCCCTGTCCAGCAGAAAGGTTACAGGGTCAGTGAGATCCCAATGCATCCCCCATGTTTATGCTAGCTTCATGTTAACCCGGCTTTTTTAGCTCTTGTCCAGGTGGTCTACCTCCTTTTTAAGCGCTCGTTCTTCTGCTGATACTCTGGTATTTACTTTGTTTTCTTGCTTGTGTTGGCAGTTGTGGCTAAAGGAGGATTCAGACAATTTTTTGTACCTTCTGGTTGGTTTCTACTGTCTGATATTGTAGCACACTAACTTTGTTTGGACTCCTGAATGACACGGGGGAGCGGCGTCTGCCTCATAACCTATCAGGTTGGGGGAGGCGGGGAATGGCTTTGTTTAGTCATAAAGAGCGGAGCACTCTGAAATTTTAAAGTGTTGACTACACAGACATAACAAAACACAGCAATATCGTTATATTACTAAATATCATCAATGACTAATAGCTTTTGATTGATATTAAAGGCTTTTTTGTATATACACCACAAAAAAGATGCTTCTCTAACAGATTCCTGCCTACCCCAGCTTTAAGTGATTCAGAACATTCACAGCTGTATTTTTGAAAAGAAAAAGTGACAGATTTCAACAAGCTGAACTGAAACTCCGATCCTCTCATCAGACTCCTTTACTTTCTCAGTTGCCCCTGAACTACTATTATAACTTTATTAGTCCTCTAAGCTAAAATGATGGACTTTTATACTAGGTTTTTGAACACATGTTGTAGCTCATAGATACTACAATTGATGTATAAAACAAATTTAAAATAATCTTTTTTGGTCTAAACACTATTCTAAAAAAAACTTATGACAGACTAAATTCACTTTCAAAAGTGAAAAACTTTTTTTTTTCAAATCAATGTCTAACCCCTTCACCCATGTGCTTCTAACCTTCACAGACTCCATTAATTGATGCCCATCTCCTAAATATTTGGTCACATGATCAATTTCTTTTACCATTTCCAAGTAACAGGGGGTTGCTCAACTTACCCTTTGGATCAACTTACCCCTGTCTCCCCTATCCCCCTAAAAACAGACTAAACTTTCACACAACTTCAGAAAATCCACGTATAAGAGACTCCTGCCATCTGCCCTCCTCTCTGGTGTCGTCATAATGAGGTGTCGCTCTCCTAAATTGCTGCTGTTGAATTAAACATCCTGCTTAAACATGGAGCAGATACTATTATTCTAAGAACAACCAGCACCTCAGGGGTCAGGACGGCTCCGTCACCCACTTATCCTCACAGCGAGAGGGACCTCTGTGGCACAGCGTCGATGAATTATACCAATAATGTGACACTTTGGAGACCCCCCTGCTGTCAAGAGCCAATCAGGGCCCCAGTTGTCGGCTGACCTCATGGCTGTTAAGGATAAGTTAATGTAGTGTGATGAAACACTGGCAGACATCCTGTTATGAAGTATTAACATCCTAACCCACTGCAGAAAGAGGGTGTTTGTGTATGAGTGTGTGTGTGTGTTTTAGTGTGTGTGGGAGAAGCAGAGATGTGTAATGTAAAGTACAAACGCCCTCCTCTGAACTAGCTCTGTGTGTAATGCAAATACTTGGCGTAGCGTCTTTATTCTTTATGCTAATTATGGCTGAGGCTATGTGTTCTAATGCTAGAAAAGTAGTCCCTTTGCTGAAAAGGTGAAAGAACATCACCCACCTTAAAGGAGGTGCAGTTCACAGCAACAATGGCAATCAAAAAGTGTTTTATTTCTGTAGTTATCCATTTTAGGACAGGATCCTGGTTCCTAATGCTCAGTTTTACCCTCCTTTTACAAATCTGTGAAAATTCATCAAGCACCATCACCACTGATGGATGATGGGCTACACAATTTTAGAGCTGCATGATCGAACAGTCTACAGGACAGAGCCGATTGTCACCTGATCAGTGGATTTCCAATAAATATAAGGCACTGATCAGCCACAATGTCATCCATTTGACACAACAGCTTTACCACAAATTAGCAACTGTATTTTTAATGGCATTTTTTTGGATACTTTTTTTGTCTGGGATACTTGTCTTCCTTAGTAGCAGCAGCGTAGCTGTAGGTGGGCCAAAGTGTATTTGGGCCCTACCACTTTGCACTCATGCATCTCAATCTAAAGGTTGCTTGACGGCTCTATATCCAAGTTTGTGAATAAGAGGCTGTGTTAATGGCACCTATTATGTTGTACCTGTAATGTGGCTTTAATAAGTAAATTGGTCTATCATAGTTAACAAAGTATTTGTTGAAGAGCACAATATAGAGGGTTTTTCAGGGTCAGGTAGACCCACCAGCATTAGATTTTTGCTGATGCCACTGCTCAGTATCGACTGTATGGTCTGTTTTAAAGGGCTCTGCATACTGTGTACTTGTTTTCATTCAATGGCATTTTACAAAGAAAGCCCCAAAAACTGTTGATAGAGGTTGTTTCAGCAAGATAGAAAAGTAATGTATGAGTGATACATGGCAGAATCCAATGCAAGACAAGTTCCTAAATCAGCCTCAAAACAAGAGAAGTATGTTCAAAGTTACTGACTGTCTGGCTGATTATGCACAAAATCAATGATAACAGTTGGCATTAGATTTGTAAAAGAAATAGATCTGATCAATGTAGGATGTGCATACAGATTAACATCAATTCAGAAAGCACTACAGGATAAAAAGTCCCCAAAATAAAAACACAATCCACTCTAAGAGACTTAGAACAGAGTCACTGTCAAAGCTTTCACTCCATTTAACTTAATTTTAAGCTTCACAATGACCCGTATTTCATTTTAATTTTGAACCCTGACAGCCAAATTCATTTCCATACAATTTCAGAACACATTGAACAATAGAAAGACCTATTAAAGATAATTGTAATAAATGTGGAATGAGATTCTCACCCTACTGGCTCTGACTAATTTAGAGTAAGCAATTACTTTTCCTGTCTGCAGGCATGCATGCCTGTGTGTGTGTGTGCACAACACATCAATTACTTTGATGTCTAGTTGTGACAGAGAAAGGAAACTGCTGGGCTTTGCTGTTGAATAAAAAAAACTGTCATATCTTGATTTTTTTTGAGACAGAGGAAATGAAGTGGTGTGGTTTTCATGTGGCACAAAACAAGAAGCAGCAAATGTGACAGCAGGACAAATGTTTGTTAAGTGGTTATTTGGCAGGACGTGACTGGTGTGCTGGTGTGCACTTGAGAGGCCAGGTGTTTATATCCAGGTGTTTATACACTCTTTCCTCAGTGTGGAATAAGCAGTCGAATAAGCCGAACCAATACACATCTTCCAAACTTCATTAAAAAAAAAAAAAAAAGACTTTCTCCAACACAGAATTAGGTACCAGCTTCAGATTCATCTGTGATTCATCACACAAAGAATTCAAAGGGACTTAGGTTTGAACCTTGTGGTGCACCATAGGTAATATGGAAAGTCAAGGATGAGAGATGACCTATGGTGACAACAAGCTCTGTGGAAAAAAGTAGAAATGAAATCAACAAAATGTTGTGTCCTCCACCCACATCAAGGTGCTGAGACGTTTCCTTAAAATAACATCATCCAAAGGGTTGAAAGTCTTTTTCATTTAGAAGTATTCAATTACCCTCTCCCATCCATCGTCAGCTGAAAGAAACAAAGTTTTTAAATCTAAAAAGGCTGGTTTCTGCACTATATATTGCTCTTAAACAACAAAAAGTGACAAGGCTTTGTTCTGCCATATCAGTGACACTGACCAATGAGAGCAAAGAGCACTCAGCATCTGCAAAAGTCATGAGTGTAAACAAACAAAATGGTGAATTGAATGAGGAATAATGGAGTTGGTGCTGCGAGATGGAAATATGAGACAGTTTGTAAAGCTTTGGCAACAACTTCTCTGTCTTTATGGTGTGTCACCAAGAGATTACCAATACAGACTGACACAGAGAAATGACGGCGAGAAATGGTGGACACAGTCTCAAGAACTGGTGAGTAACCGCTGTTGTTAGCATTAGCATAAATGAAGCTAAACATTCATTATAATGATTGGGTAGACAAACAGTTTAAAAACTCAGTTGGCATTGTTTGTTAACGGTCTTTTTATTAGTGCCACATTGCCCAGACTCTCTTCCCTTAATCTCATCATGTTGGTTATTATTGGTTGGGTGCCATAGTGTCAGTCATGTCTGTTGGCAAATAATGGCACTAATTTCTGGCATTGTGATCATCTAATGTGACATGGTGACAATCGTAAGAGAATAAAAGGTCATGTAGACTGGCCTTCTTATTTACCCAATCACATTATTTTCCATTTTTGCTCCTATTAGCAGCAACTAGCAGCTGCCACAATGACAACAGTGACACACAAATACCGCACAGGGTCCTAATGTCAGTATGCTTTAGATAGGGCCTCTACAATAAGGACCTGTCCACGGTGTCCATTTGTGTCTCCAGCCCAAGTAAGGTCAAAGATAGATGGATGGATCAAGAATAATTGGGCAAAATTACAGAAATAGGTTTTTCTGCAGAATCACTGAACAAATGTTCATAATGTAAGTCCCAGGCTGCAGCATCCCCCCTCTCTAATATATTCCCAGGAATACTTGACCAGTTTAATGCCATCTTTCGTGCCTAGAGGGGGTAGTAGTGGTCCTGAACAGACACATTTTGGATGGAGTCTTGCTCTAATGAAGACCCCAGTGTGCGAAATCTTGGCAGGTTAGAGAAAAGGGTGAGTCATTTTACCTGGTGGGATCACATGATTGAAGTTCTGCACAAAATGCATCAAAGTATGAATCAGAAATCTGCATTTTACAAGCATTTCTTCTCACCGGCAGCCAGCGAACACAACAAGCTGACCTCCCAAACATGATGTCTCTGTGTTTGTTCTTTTTGCTCAAGTTCTGCATCCAATTAAAACCATTAGTGTTTATTTCAAGCCAATGAAGCTTCATGTTGGAAACACAGCTTTGCTCTCCAGCCACTTAGATCTGTGCTGTTGTCATGTTTAATGTAAGAGAGTGTAAGCATCACTAATAATGTTGCTGCTCAGCTCAGCTCCCATGATGCTTCCTCCTCCTATTATCTGCGCTAGATCTCTTTTCATGCGATCCCCACATAAAAACAAAGTACAACCAAATCACATTTGTACAGTGAGAGGTTATTCTATGTGCAGACAGACGTCCGCATCATTCTCAAAAGCTGACATTAACGGCATGTTTTAAGGACAGTGTTTCAGCACAGCTCTACAGTCATTCTGCAGCCAAAAGTAAGACTTGTTCTGTGTCACCGACGTGTAACAATCTCAGGACAAGGACTTTTACAACTTTCTGAGTGCATATTTGTCTCCAACAAGAGTTTTGGATTTTCAGAGCCCATTAAACAGCCTCACATTGTCCTATAAAGCAGGTACAGCAATCCAGAAGCGAAGGTTAATACTGCATCATACACAGAAACATATCTCTTAAAATGACTGCAACAGACTAGACTTTTAAAGAACATGCAAACATGTTAATGTTGACGCCAACGTGCTGATTTTCAGTGGATGTGATATTTAGCTGGTTCACCATAACAACCAAGCTAAACATGCAAACATTTGCTTCTTAGCCCAGAGCAGCCGCAGCTTATGGGAAAGTGTTTTGGTTTGAAGTATGGGGGGAAGCTGATGACACATGCACAGAGACAAGACGCAAAATCTGCACATGAAGTCAATGACTGTGCAAGCTGCAAAATCAAAAAGAATTTGATGGATCCATTAAGAAATTACAGAGTAATAGAAAGAAAAAAACTATACAAATGTAGTGCATGAGGACCATGAAGCAGAAGAAACACAGCCACTGTTTCCACTAAGAGGCTTTTTTACACCTAGCTATAAATCCACACCTGGCTGTTTAAAAGTCTAAATATGCCAAGTAGGATTTTAGAGCAGAACAGGGTCAAATAATTACGCGATTACAGTTAATGAACACGTCTGAAAGAGTTTTAATGGGGAGTAACAGCAACCACCTGCAAACAACCACACCGCTGTCCCCCTTTTGAGAAATCCCCTAGCTCCCTCTGGTCCCATCACTGCTCCATATCCTAGTTTGGTTTAGTGAAAACTTTCTGCAATATTTTCCTCCTCCCACCCTCATGGTTTCCATCACAGAGGGAGAAAATAGGAGAAAAAAGGAGAAGTATGGTACAAAAGGAGGAAAAGAGGAAAGAGTGAGAGGAAAAGTAAGCCGGAGACAAAGAGGAGAGCCAAAGATGCAACAGAAATTAAGGAAATGTGAGAAACTCACAAAACTGAAAGTGCTCCAGCACAGCTCATTGATAAATGAGGCAACAGATGTTTGGTCCTGTATAAAATTACAGCAGGCAGCTATATGTGGAGCAGCTACCTGCCCTCATTCTGCAGCTCTCATTACATCTCCCCAAAATCCTTTCTTTTACAACACAACAGAGAACAGAGTTATGTAGGTGCAGATTAGAAGCATTACTGTGATCTATGTGACGATGCCGAATTACTGGCAGCCTCTCAAAAATGATAGAGTAGTTTGTTTAAGTCTGTTTAAGGTGTCACTTCATAATTCATCTTGATTTTTAACCAAGATGAAATAGGAAAAAATTCAAACCTAAACTACCACGTTGGCTGGGTAGACTGCTTCATCAGGCATAAATATTAAACAAGTATCTTTACTTCATATTTATACAGGTCTTCCTAAACTTCTTGGTATGTAAGAAGTCTTAAGATTATCCCATAGAATCCAGAATTAACTCCTCTAAGATGTATCCAACTGAATTCTAATGAACAACAAATGTCATAGTCAAGATGTGTTGTAAAAACGTCTTCTTGCATCATCCTGATAGAGCAGCCTCTTTAAAGTTATTTGTACAAAATACCGTATTTTTGTCCACTGTTATTGCAAAGTTACAGACTTGCTTCCTGGATCATGTTCCCAGGTAGATTTCTACCCCACACTTTCATCTCACTGTGTACTTGCATGGTGCATGGTGAGACTTCATTGGGGCAGAAACAAAAATCCAAGCAGATAAAATGCCATAATGCTTCACGATGACTCGATGATTTTGCAGCCTGCATAGCTTGAAAAATTTTACATCCTATACTCAGTTGTTATAGATCTGTAGCAAGGAGTTTGGAGTTAGCAACATTTTCCTTGAGCCAAAAGTGGCTGGCTGTGAACTTGGTTGTTTTATCACAAGTGCTGATATTATAATAGCATTTCAAAGTTCAGTATAATTATTCACATTTTATTTGTGTTTAAAATTCCATTATTTTCATTTTTTAACAGGTTTTAACTCTAAATTGACACTAACCAATGCAAAGCCTTTTCCTCAAGTGTTTTTATTTGGGAGTGGGATAAATAGTTATCATTGTAATTATCTGTTGACATCCAAAGATCTCTGGTCAACGCTGAACTATTAGCACTTTTCAGGAGTTCCACTTTGGTTACTTTTTCTCATTGTATCTATTATTTCTTGAAGCGTTAAAGGATATCAGAAAACTTTATTGGCTTTGTTTTTAAGTAGGGGTGGGAATCACCAGTGGCCCCACGATACAATATTATCACGATACTTGGGCCACCATACGATATTATCGCAATTTTTAACATTTCGCAGTACAGTGAGTATTGTGATATGATATATTGTGATTTATAAAATTTTTTCAACTGTTTAGCTAATTTAACATTTCTCCACTGATAAAAAGCCAGGATGCCATGTGCAAAGGAAACATAAAAAAATGCTTATAAGTTCGTCAAAACTACTCTGACTGTAAATGATCTATGACAGGGAACCATGAACATTTCTCGTGCCAGAATCCAAACCCTGCAACATGAATGGTACATGTTCAAAATGTAAAAGTTAATGTGAGTGAGATATTCCTCAACCCTTTTAACATACAGCTAAACCCACTCAGTCTCGTGTCACCTGGACATCTCGTCAGTTTTTCTCTCTTTTTAAAATGTTAAAATTACCTTAAATATTCTTTTGCTTCAGATTTTCATGCAAATTAAATGCAGTAGCCTATTGATCTAAGAAATGATTTACACAGTGGTCTTGCTCTCAACGCGCAGAGTGACTCAGAGTCGCTGTGGTGCAATTAAAATTTGTAATATGCATAATATGCACTGGTTATGCACTGCAAACACAAATACTAGGGCATATCTTTGTATTTTTATGACCTAAAATGTGTGCTTTGGTTCACAGGCTTAAAAGTTGAATGATGAAGCTGGTGATGGTCAGAATGTCCTACATTACAGCACATTAAAATGCACTCTCGCTGCAGAGGAGACCTAAATGGGTCAGAATCAGCCATTAGCTCATGAAGGTTGAGATGTGAGTGACGGGACCGGGTGAGATAGTGGGTCAATGAGCAATGAGAAGAAACACTCCCTCTCTCCTTCTGTCTTTCTTCCCAATCCATCCCTCCCTCTCTTTCCATCTCTATCCCCCGCCTCACCCCCCCATCACCCATCCATGACCCACAGAGTGTCTGTGATGGTCGTTGTGTAACATTACTAAAGAAACACCACACCAGTGAGCAGCAAAGGAGGGGGAGTGAGAGAAGGAGGGGTGAGGAGGAAGCGCTGACCCAATATCTAATGTAAGAGAAGAGAGAGAAAGGGGAGGAGAGGGGGAATAAAGGACGATAAAGATGAGAGGAGGGAAAGAGGGCAGAGGTGAAGTCACTGCAAGAGATGAGAGATGGAAAGAATGAAGACATGGTGGGAGTTAAACTGAAGGAGAGAGGCTGGAGGGGGAGAGAGGGAGACAGAGAGGGGCAGACAATGAGTTCAGGCAAAAGGAGCCGGGACATTTCAACTATAAATAACCAAGATACTAGCAGCAACCCACCCTCACCCTCATTCTATCCCTCCCTTTGTCTTTCTAGCATCCTTCCTTTTTCCTAACATTTGAAACCTGCCCCATGTTTACGCTGTCTCTTTTGTTCTGTTTGTCTGGATGTAATCCTCCTTTAGGGTCTTAACTTTGCCACATTTGTATTATAAGTTAGCTGGGTTTTTTTGTTTGTTTGTTTGTTTGTTTTTTGTTTGTTTAGTTTTCTTGCTTGTGACACACAGTACTCCCAAAGCTGGTATCTTTTAAGCTATTCCCTCTTCCTCAAAATGAAGACAGGGGAGTCAAGTCAGCCATGCCTCTGATTCACCAGTCCCTGGTCTTCTGGTTGGTTTCTACTGTCCGATATTGTAGCACGCTAACTTTGTTTGGACTCCTGAACGACACGGGGGAGCAGCGTCTGCCTCACAACCAATCAGCACTAAGGAGCAGCGTCTACCTGGCAACCTATCAGGTTGGGGGAGGCGGGGAACGGCTCTGTTCATAGTCAGAAAAAGCGGAGTGCTCTGAATTTTTTAAATGTTGACTACACAGACATAACAAAATGCAGCGATATCATTATATTACCAAATGTCATCAATGACTAATAGCTATTGACTGGTATTAAAAGCTTTTTTGTATATACACCACAAAAAAGATGCTTCTTTAACAGATTCCTGCCTACCACACCTTTAAGTGGCCACTCTGGGAACTGCAGTTATTAAGCATTTCTGCATCAGCTTCATTTCCTAAGACTGAAATTTGTCACTTGGTAGAGACCAGATTCACCTCTCTAAAAATCATCATGCAGGATCGGGATACACATAAGAAAATACTGAAATGATAATTTGACTGCTATGTTGTTCCTGATTGGTAGAAACTTGTTCTTTACGAAGCTAGAAGAGTACTCACTTTGGGATAAATGACTTACCAGTTCTGATATTTTAGAGTTTGTGGTTTGACACTTAAAACAGCCTCTATGTATGTGGTAGAAAATCCTCCATATTAGTAATATGTTGTATGCAGTTTGCATCTGGGACGTGGATCCTCATCATGCTTCGATTTCCACTCTTGAATTTTAGTTTTTGTTTTCATCTTTCTCTTTCACCATCCTACCATCCATTATTTCCTACCATTTCTCTTAAGCGTCACATGAGTTGAGTCTTTTTACCTGCCATGTCTCTTTCATCCTCTTATATTCCTGCTGTCACATCTAGAGACACGTTTGTTTGAACTGCCATTATATTTCTTAATAAGAAACGAGCTGAGGGAGGAGTTTATGTGCTGCTATCCTTCTCTTCATTCAGTGATGTAAACACATTCACACCTGGAAGATTCATAGCTGAAACAGTTTTTCAATAAGCCGCATAGAGGTGAAGAGCCTCCCTCAAACACCTCAGCAGTGGTTGTCAAGGGCAGGATGTGTGTGCGATGAGAGGAAAAATTACAGTAAATTCATGTAAGTGGGCTTTTGTGAAACTGTCTGCACGCTCTGGGTTTGCATGTACACTGTACATACAATATGCATGTGCAGCTGTGCACTCACATACATGTCTACCACTGGATCCATGTTTTTTGGCTGTCAATGCACACATTTGTGTTTGATCCATTAGCGGTCATCCACAGGGGAGGCATGTTAACAGGTTTGGCTACCACTGAGAGGATTGGTAAGAGACTACCAGGAGCTCCCTGCATGGGTTTGTGTGTGCACATACATGTACACGTAGAGACTGTGTGTGTGTTTGTGTGTGAGGTCCCGTTGAGTCAGTGGAAGGAAAGCAGGGGGTATGAGTGTGAGGGGAGGGAGGGCTGGGGGGGGGGCTATGACTCATCCACTGCATGGGCCTCTGGCTCTCTCTTTTTCTCTCTCACGCTTGCGCGCTCTCTCTCTTCCTGCATAGCAACCAACGGCTGTGCTAAAGCTCATATAGGTCCATAGCAACCAGTGCAGATATAGTAGTGTCCTATAAACACTGCATTACCAGGTCAGAGGGACCTAGGAAATCATACACAGGAACTCTGAGGAGCAAAATGTTTTGTGGATCTATTAAGTGGACATGTTTGAATAATCATGGCCTCGGATTCAGGTTTTGGCCTACCAAATCCACTTGTCTTTCCTAAGCATTCTTAACATTGACTGAAATATTTTCACACTCTTAAAACACCAGCGATCATTTAGAATCAATATGTTGAGTTTATAAGTCAAAACTAATTGATAAACTAATTGACAATTTTCATGCAAAAAATCATTTGAAGTAATATTTCTCTGTTATGAGAGTTCCCAGCCCTTCCACATGTGTATGCAGAACACTAAAGTCTGAGGCAGGTACATCACGCCTTCCTGCATTTCCTGCACATGCATGAAAGGCCAGGGCAGGGAGAGCATCAGCAAAGACCCCGAAGCTTAGAATAGAGCAGGCATCAGTGACAGTAAATATGAGAGAGATCTAATCAGATGAAGCGTAAAAATGAGTAGCTTGGGTGGAAACGTTTTTTTCAAGCCGTTGAGCTTGACTTTATCACACATTATCGTCCCCTGCTGGTCTGGCATGCTAATGCGTTTGCAACTGTTTCTGTGTTGACTTGCACCAGAAATATTATCTCAAAGCAGGTGGTGCGACCGTGATATTTTAGAAAACAGAGAAAAATCTGTTTTTAAAAATAACTGCATGCATGTGGGTGTAGCAATGAATTTGATCACTGTTGGTTTGTGTAAATTTTCATGACTGCAGGGATGTTTCAGCCACCCTTTCCTGCATGTTCGGCTCCCGTTGCTTCTCTTCTTGCTCTTGTTTTCAGACTGCGTTCTCCTCTGTTCTTTGGATACAAAAAATTTGGTTTGACTCCACCTACCAGCCTCTGAGTCATGCTGTTGAGTCAATTGTTTGTGAAACTCAAACTTCAACTTTAGTCCCAAATCTGGAATAATTGGTGCATATAATTTAAAGTCTGTGTAATGATATAAAACTGGTCATGTAACAAAGATATAAATAGGAATGAATACAAATATATCTACCTGACACATGCTCAGTGAGAGATCCAACAGCAAACCCCACTCCTCTTGTCTCTAGTCACCAAAAACTGAATCATGACCTCTCAGAACTAAAGCTTTAAGTTACACAGGTGATGGATGATGCTTTTTAACTCAACTCAACTCAAGTGCTCTCGGCTTTTATTTTGAAATATCACTGATTTAAAATAAGGGAATGATACAGACTGAAACACTCTGATGTTCTGACCACAAAAAAGGGCTCCTGGTGTCCGGTTTTCTCCTTGCTTGCTGTGTCGAAAACATCAACAATGACTAAGAATCACTCACAGTGGCATTAGCCGTCACCTCAGCACTCTCTCAGTTCAACATCCCATCTTCCCCTCGCCTCCCATCTCCTCATTACAGACGCTGCTCTCTTTACAGATGTTGTTTGGAAATATTTCTCCCGCACACACTCGCAGCTTCCTCTCCTCTTTCTACCTCCTTCACAGATGTTGTTTGGCACTCTACATGTCCCTGTCTTCCTCTTCTCCATCTCTTTAACCTTCTCTTCTCCACCTAATTCTGTTTGTTTCTCCATCTGCTCTACCTCCCAAGTTCCCTTTCCCTCTCCACCCCTCGTTCTTTCCTACACTTAGTGCTTCCCCCCTACATTCGCGGAATGATCAAACTCTCCATTTTCTTCTTGTTTGTCCTCCATCTGTCCACACTTTTAGTCTGATAGTGCTGATAATGGAACTAAGGATAGAGTAAATATTGTTGTTTTTGGTTTGAGGCAGGGATGTGTCCAGAGATTTTTGTTTGGAGTGGCTCAACCCAGTCAGTCCGGCCACTCAGGGTTGGCATGAACCATAAGAACATCCACATCCATACTGCCTTTTTTTTCTTAGCAACTTCTGTCTCAATCTAATTATTTCTACACATGGATCCTATATTGTTATGTAAACTTCTTTAGATTTAAAAATGAAACAACACATTGGTGAAATGTGTACATCATCCAGCAGAATACTGCATACTTGCAGTGGTGTTGCCCTGGATTGGGGTAAATATTAAGAAATTCAGGAATACATTAATTGCAATATTATGTATTTCTACAGCTAAAATTGGAAAAAAAAAATCCTGCATTCTTATTATTTTGTATACAGCAAATTTAATTTTTCTGCACCATTTTATAAAACTTCTTGTAACAACATCTTGAACTTTTCACATTTGTGGGGAATGCACTTATTTGAACAATATATGGGCTTTATTAGCTTGTTTGTTTTTACTCTGTCGCACCTATGCAGTGCTTGGGAATCTGTAGCTCTGTACAAGTACATATTGACGGTGGTTACCATATCGGAAATTCTGACTCAGGCTGACTTTTCCAACCTATTAAGTGTCAAAGTGGCAGAGTGTAGTGAGGCATATGTGTCAGGTAAAGCTTCTGTGAGGAACTTTCAGTTTGTGTCAACGTTGGCGCCCCCCTGTGGACACAGCAGTCTTTACATATCTTGTCAGATGGTGTCCTTTGACGAAAAAAATCTCACCTTTCTCACTTTTAATAGTCAATATTATGTATTTCTACAGCTAATTGGAAATCAACAAAACAAAGCTGTTTCTTTAGCTGCTTGGCTGACACCTACCCCCTCACAGTGTTTTGAGGTGATAAAAATGATGACATAACAATGGCCACTCTTGCTTCTAATGGTCATGTTTGCTTTTGTATATCATAAAAAGGCATCCACATGATATTCGGTCTATTTCATAATTGTCAAAAACTCTCTTCACAGGAGCTTTACATCGGCTGATTGCCTTGATAAACCCCAAACTCCAGAGCTGCTGAAACAATCAAACAAACAAACAAAAATGTGAGTTAATGGAATGATCCAGAGCAAAATCTTTCCTTGAATGAGGCTGTAAATATGATTATTTTTGCTGTAAAGATGGGCTTATGGGCTCATAGTGCAACAACAACAAGAACAACAACAATAATAATAATAATAATAATAATAATAATAATAATAACCTCTTTGCCTGGAGAGAAGATACTCCCTATTTTACTCCTGAAGCAGGTTAGAACTGGATTATTACAGTCCAAGAAACTCTTATGTGTTTTTTAATTCAAGATTGTAAGTTTAACCATTTAGAGCACATCTACATTTGATCAAATTTGTTTCTACTTTAATCCCTCTGCCGCCGGTCAGAGTAAGTGAGATGTCTCCTTGACCACTAGAAGAACATTGTGACAAACACTTGTCATTATTTTTGACATTTTATGGACTGAAAGATTGATTGAAAAATCAATAGATTAATCAGCCTTGAAATAGGTGCTGAGAGTCAGCAGAAATACAAATACAAGGAGATTACAGACTATCTAGTCAGGGCACTGCTTCCCTGAGAACATGAGGAAACATTCCAATGACCCAGAGAGTAAAAATACTGATGTTTCCTTAAAAAAGGGGGAAGAAAAAAAACATACCTTACCTTTTATGGTATCACAACAAAAATACAATTCAACCACTTTCAGCAACCACTGGAGCTCCATTAATCATTTAAACAGAGTTCACTTTAGTGTGATTCTCAAAATGCAACAATGAGACTTGCAAGAAAACAGCCAAATATCCAGAGAATACACATGTAGAAAACAAGATACAGGGTAACATAGGAAAGTTTAGATGAAATGTGCTGAAAAACAGGACATTTAAAGAAATCTAAGGGAAGAATCTTACTGAAAATAATTCAACAAATTTGATAAATTTGTAATATTTGCATCATTTGTCAGAGTTAAGCATGTATTTGTGGAGCAGGTTTTAGTTTTTTGGTAACCACAAACCAGAAAAATATCTCAAATGAGTGCAAACTGGTGTCTTATTTGTCACCAATTAAGTTCACGTGACTGACAACACAAATGCAGAGAGAGAGCATTTCTCCTTTTTTCAAATTGAGACAAACTTCTGAAACTTTTGGTTTCACTTTTGAGCAGGGTTGGTCTTCAAAGAGTAGGTACGGCTTTAAAATCTTAGACTGCTGGATTCCCAAGACCAGAAGAGAGATTTCTTCCGTCAAATGATACAAAGAGTTTCTAACGGGGTGCCACAACAATCACCATGACAACAATGATTACTCATCCCCAAACAAGTGAAACAACAATGAATAACATCTAATCAGGCTCAAAGCGCTGAAGGTGTGATTATGTACACTGCTGCTGCTCTGCTATCTTTATACAAATCATCTCTCTCTCTCTCTCTCTCTCTCTCTCTCTCTCTCTCTCTCTCTCTCTCTCTCTCTCTCTTTCAGAACCCACTAGGCAGAATGATTAATTTGCGACTATTGATTCCTTGAGAATGTGGGAGGGATTGAAAGTGAGAGGGACAGAGGGAAGGAGGGAGGGAGAGAGGGGAGGAGAGAGCATCCAGTATTCTGAGAGGCGCCTCACTGCAGCTCTCACCTCTGTTCTTTCATTTAAGAAAACCCATCGGCTGCAGAGTTTGGATTGGCCAAATCACATCCCTCCTTCTTTCTCTCCCTTTCTGCCTCCTCTTGCCTCCTTTTCCTTCCCCTTTTCTTCTGTCATTTCTCTTCCTTCTCCTTTCCTCCTCTTCTATCCCCTTAACTGTCTAATTTATCTGTGAATATTTAGCAAAAAACTCCAGAGCACAGAGAGAGAGGAAGAAGGAGGGTGGGAGGGTGAAATGCCCTGACAAGAAAAACAAAAATATTTGCCTCTCCTAAAGTTCATTAACTATTTACTTCCATAAACATCTTGAAACTGAGAGGCCGACTGTTAGCCATATTTCACAACAACTTCAGAACACTTTCGTTTCACCAGCCGAGAAGTTGAAAAAAGTCTGAGGAGAGTATAAAAGCACCAGCTCCTTCCTCGTTGAAAATATACACCTTTCTGATGGGATATATCTATCACTGTTACGCATCCCCTGCTGTCAATCATCGATCACCTTTGTTGCTGATGGTCTCTTCAGCTTTTAAAGGTCATACAAGGGCATCAATATCAGTTTCAGTCTGATTCTCAACTAAGTCAAAAACTCCATACAGTGCCTTTAAACCCTTTAGTGCAAAAAGAAGCTAAATTTACAGATTCCATGGAGCAAGACTTCAGATATTTGGAGAAGTTTAAGAAACTTTAAAACTATGGATGGATGGGGGGGGTTGGGTTCACCTAAATTTATGACTCTAGCAACTAAATCCCTATTCACACAGGATTAGTACTACCTGGGGGCCTTTGAAAATTTGTAATAATTGCTGAGGATTTCTGTGATTGTCAACCTTGTGTGAATAAAACACATCTGTAAAATTTCAGGGCACACAGAGGTCCTCTAATGATATCAATCTAATCTAAATCAATGTCGCAGTAATTTGGAGTAGTAATTCTTTTTTTTTTTTTTTTTCAAAGGATTTCTGCAGTTTTTCTGTGCTTTCCTGCACAAATAACAGAGGCCATGTAAATAAAGTTTTTGACAGTAAATTCAGCTAAATCAACGAATCAATAAATCTTTATATATATATGCCTGGTCTAGGCCACACTGTATTTACAAAGACCCAATGTTAAGATAGGATAAGATTTGAGATTTGATAAGAAATGTCAGTAAATGTAAAAAAATTACAAATTACAAGATTACCCATGTGATAATAACCCTGGGCAGTTGGCGCTTAAATTGTCTGTAATTTAAAACAAAGAAAAGGGCATTAAAGTTCATTTAAGTCACTCAGCTACAGCGATAAATCATTTTAAATTTAATGAATATTTCAGCTCATTCTTGAGACTTTTAAATTTATAGCTATATGACACAGTGTCTCCATAATGTGAAGGCATCTGTTCGAGGGTGTTCAATTTAAGCATTGTGATATTTCTTCTGACATTACATATCCAACGCTGAGCTTTTCCAAAGAGTCAACAGCAAACTATCTGGAGCATCAAAACACAGAGTGACGAACGAGATGTTGTGAGAGAGGAGAAGTGACACTCCACTGTACAGTTAGCAGATGGCAACGCAGTTTGTTTTAACAGTCGCTTAACTCACAATGAGGTTTGAAGAAAGTGCCTGCACTGACACACTTAAAAAAGAATCCCTCACACAAACACATATTGGCCCTCATTTATCAAGCTGGCATATGGCAGAAAACTTGCGTACGAAAAATTTGACGTGAGGATCGGCATTTATCAATCTGCACATGAGCGTACGCTACGACCAAAGCAAGTTTGAGTCAGTGTGGATCTGCGGTGCAGCCAATGTCTGTCTGAAAATAACTGATAAACAAACCTGTCTTAAAGACAGGTTTGAGGTTAAGCGCAATCAGCCAGATTTCACTAAAGATTAAGAAGTAAATAAAATAAAATAAATTTGTTATGTCCTTAGTGAATAGACCTATTTGATAACTCTGCCCAGAAACACTGCCACAGAGCAGGAGCGCTGTTTTAACATTACGCACACATGCACATGCGCCACTGTGGAGCGCTGCGTTTGACTCCTAAAAGGCAGGTGTCTCTGTCTTGGCCCAGCAGTGGGGACGTTATTGGACACTCCTGAAAGGGTGTGGGACATCATTTGGGTCAGTTCAGTTTTGCACAGTGTTGCACTGGTGAATGGAGTGCCATTGGCTGTGCCGGTGCAAAGTGAGGACCTGATGCCTGGAGAACAATAACGAGGAGAGACTCCACAAAGGTGCTGTACAGAGGAGACAGGACCTTATCGATGGATTCTGACATGTAAAGTATAAGTTTAGAAAGTGCTCTTGCTATTTAATCAGTGATAAAAATCCAATAGAAATCCATAAAAATGTACCTGAGGGGCAGCAACACACCGTTTGGTGACGTTAATAATTATTTTTGTTCAGCCTCTGTCAGACTCTCCAGTCTGCTCTACATTACAAAGACGCAACAAATTAAAACTAAATACTTTCAATAATAGGAGCAACGTACCCTATGTCATACCAATAAACAAATATGAGGCATGTATGAGATATTAATTTATCATCATGAGCAACTTATTGACAAATGATTTATTCAAACTTCAGCCACTGTCCACTATTCCAGCGTTGTTTAGCGCCTCCATAATCCTGCTCCAGACAGGAGTTTTCTGGACTGCTTTTATACCAGTTTTTATGCTTCCAAAGAGAAAATCCTTGTTAGTTTCCACCACAGATGTGAGGATATCCACTTTCAGCTCGAAAAAGTTTCGAATCTTTTTAATAATTCTCCTCTTTCATGTTTGACCTCAGTGGGCGAGGCTTCTGAACCACGAAAAATTAAGGGTGTAAACATGTTAATGACGATCGATTTCAGCCGCCGCATTTATCAAGACCTGATCATACATACACTGGGATTGGTCAGATACGAACCCTTTCATAAATCTCATGTGTGTCCTATCGTACGATGAATCCTGCGCTCAGATCTGCGCAAGCTTGATAAATGAGGGCCATTGACTGCAAACTTGCACAAAACAAAGTCGAGTAGTTTTGCATGTGTCACCTGTCTGTCAGCAGTGTTACAAAGCAACAAACATGCAGACGAGCCGGAGGCCATTTTGTGTCCACATGCTGCTGTCACTGCACTGACCTGGACTCAAACTCTGGGCGGCTTCAGGAAACTGCTGAATCGTTTTGCTTTATTCTGACTCAACTCTTGTAGCACCGTACCTGCTGCAGGGAAGCAGCTCTCCCCGCTCTCTGAAAAACAGCACAATCACATTCTCCACCATGTCATCAGCTGTTTGCATGAGTGAAGCAGCTTGCACATCAAAATCACAGGTTTCACAGTAGCAAACACACAAAAGCAGGGCCATTATTCCTTCGTTAACAATGTCAGTACGACCCAAAATAGAAATGCTACCTTCTTTAAATTTAATCTTTGCCATTAAAGGCTTTGTCGCCTTATTTTTGACTGATGTTTGTTGAAGCTAAAAGATCATTTTGAAACAAACACAAGGTACCTGTGCTACAATTAAAGCAAAGAGTGCCATCATACTTAGTAACAAAAACCTTCCAAAGAGCTTCTAATGCCCCTCCCAGCAACCTAGGCATGAAGCATAACACTGGGGTTTCATAAAGTCAGGCCCAGACCTTGGGGAGACTTATCAACTAGTTTTAGCATCCTGCAGCTTCCCCACGTCATGCAATCACCTCCGTAACATAAAAAAATAGAAAAACCAATGTACACATGAAGTGAGTCCAGACTCTCAAAACTGAAAACTTGTGAAGTCTCTCGTGGTCAAATGGGATTTGAGCGTAAACAAACACTGCAGACTATGGAAGCTAACTGTTGCTAGCTTCTTAACTTAAGGTATATCTATTGAAGAAGGACTCTCTTTTTAACACCACCCCTTGTTATTTGTCTCAGTTAATGCTCTTCATTTATTATCGTTGCCATGGTTGCATTAGTTGTCATTCTGTCTTTGGTTAACTCTCTTTCTGATTGGCCAACTGACTTGGTTACAAGAGGGGACTCTGCCTAAAATCTGTGAGATTATCGCTTGTAATGTGTGCCCGGCTTTAGGATGCACGAAGGCGACAAGTTCAGATACCAATGAAGGTAATGGGCTCTATTTTGGTGCCTCGCCGGAGACGTGCCGCAAGCGCAGCGTCAGTCAGATCCGCCGCGCTGACAAGGCGTTCCCAAGCACATTTTGGTATTTTGGTGAGCCGCGCAGCCCGGCGTAAGTATCCCCCCTCCCTAACTCAGCTCCTCCCGGCAGCATAAGTCATAGACGGGGAGGAGAAAGGGCGTGTAGTGGGTTTAACACAGCCGAGACCTGTTTTCACCAATCACATAAGCTCCTCTCCTTGCCTTTAAATCCGCCACAGGCGAGGCGTATTACTGTTTTCATGACGTAGTCAAAGAGATCAAGAGATGTCTTAAGACAGCAATGCCACAAGATGGCGACAGAGGGCAGCTCCTCAACAAGTGTCAGATGGATTTAGTGTGTGTAATGTTGGACCCAGTGGTAAGACAAACACCCTTTTCCACAAATAAAGACACTCAAATAAAGTTGCTCATATTCAAACTTCACGTGACAAAGGTGGGTTGAGCGCACAGATCACAACATAAACTCCAAAAATGGCATTAAAATCGGAACCATCTGTGCGTAAATGACGCATCGCGCTCCGTGGCCTGGCTCTGTCTTTCATAGATGTTGGCATATAAAATAAATTTGGCTCACAAAACTGAATATTATAATATCCGTATGTCGGCTTAAAGTAGATCATGCATCTGAGCACTAAAACAAATCATCTGTTCAGCCGCAGCAGCAGCAAGACGGACAGAGGACACGGAGACGTGTCCAGGTCGAGCTGTGCGAGAAATAAGAGGAAGAGGAAGAAAGAAAAGGAGGGAGACGAATTACATATCGAGTTAACTTCATCATGTGTGAATATTTACTTGATATTTAATTTAATTTGATGCGGTTTCAGCTGTGTTGATTCGGTCAGGTTGTGTGTCCAAATGCGTGCCAAACGCGCTCATCAGATCACATATAGATCAGAATATATCTATATAGATCTAAATGTATGTGCTGACTCAGATTATTAGTTGATGATGATTATTTATTGCACTGAAATGTGCCTGACACTGTGGAAACCTGCCGGTGAGGCATCAGTGACGTATGTCAATACGCCGCCAAAATACTACTGGACCAGCTGCGTTCCGCCTTGCGCTGAAAGCTGACCAGGTTTGAATCGGCGAGCTTTCAGCTCACTTTACACGGCGGTGGCGAGCACGAAAATGTCACTGCGCCAGCTGATTCTGTCGACACCTCCCCCTGCCACGCCACCACGCCCAGCTTGGCGGATCTCGGCTCGCCTTCGTGTGGCTCAGTCCACGAAAATACCAAACTGGCCTTACGCCGGGCTCCGCCAGACGAAAATACAACTGCGCGGGGCTCGCCGCCCTCCGCCGCCTCACTGGCGCGCACGAAAATAGAGCCCAATGTCTTGAAAGGAAACAAAGCAGATATGCCACATCTGTGATGTGATGTTTGTTTTTAAATAGCCTGGTTTTCTCAGATTTCAAAATTGCCATATTTTGTGTTTCAAAAATGAGAAAAATAGTCAGCCCTTATATTTTGTTGACAAGGATGTAAATAACTTGGTTTCTCTGTTTGAATTTAAATGCTGTAAACAAAATATGATCAAAACCAGAAAAAGTCTCAACCAGTATACTCCAGTCTATGTCAATATGTTCAATGGCTTGTTTTAGCGATCTTTCAAGTGAAGACTAAAACATTACTATTTCAGCTTTGAAAGTATCAGGATTTGCTGTTTTCAGTCTGTTTGTAAATGAAAAGCCTTGAGTTTTTAACTGTAGATTTTCAAACACAGTGATTTTAAAAGTTCACGTTTTGCTCTAAAAAATTCTGATGCATGACCTCTGATATTTAATTACTATAGCCAATGGTTTATTACTTTAAAAATATTCAATAGGGCAAAGGAATCCAGCTATCACAGGCTTCCACGTGCTTTGTAAGGCAAATCCAGGTCTGACCATGAATACAATGCCATAGTGTAATGTTACTATAAAAATGTATGTATAAATGGGTCTTCTCAGACTGGATACAGCTCCATAAACCTGACCATATGAGGTGGTGTATGTGTATCTGCTGAGGACTCATCCCTGTACTCATTGCTGCTTGCTAAGCTCATTGCTCAACTCAGATGAATGTATCACATCAGATCTTCTCGCATCAAGGTGATGATGGCTGAACACCAAGGGGCTGGTTCAGAGACAATGCAGGATATCAAACCCATCCTGTTATATTCAGTAGCAGTGTTCATTTTGCTAAGATTTTTTAATTTGGTTTTAGTCATTTCCAGAATACAGTGGTTTATTTCAGTCCCTCTGTCTTGTGTTTATTGTAGTCCAGATTTAGAACTCAGTTTTCAGGGCTGATTCTGCTCTAATTTCAGTCAATGTTTTAATCATAATTTTTTCAGTTTTGCAGTATTTTTTGGGCAATTTTTGCCTTCACTGCTAGGATAGCATGGAAATGTGGGGAGATAGAGAGAGAGGGGGGAGGACATGCAGCACATGGTTGGGGCCAGACTCAAACTGCAACCACTGCAGGGACCATGGTCCCCATGCATGGGGCGTGCTAAACAGTTTTGTCTTTTTTTTTTTTTTTTTTAAAGATCTTTCTACTGGTTGTTAAATGAAAAAAAAAAGAGTATAATGGCAGCTACCAGCGGGAGCTTTGTTTGGCTTTTGATAGGATAACTAATAGCTAGTTTTAAGACTTCTCACCAGTGAAAAATCATCCAACAACAATGAATATGAAGTCTGCTGCACATGAATGATAGGTTCAAACAACTATAGTCACCAGAATGGCTAATTGGTTTTCAGTTTATTTACTATTTTAGGTCACCATTTCTATTTCATCATGAAAAAAATCAACATTTTTGTACACAAAATTATCACTCTGTAACACTAACAAACATTAATATCACATTCTAGCCACCACATGACCTAGAGATCTTTGACTAATGGTTGAATACTTACCATAGCTGTTTTCACACGCCGCTGGATCTATAATGCCTTATCCTAGTTTGATACATGGCCAGATGTCTTTAAGATTTGACTTTTAATTGTATTTTTAGTTGCTGCTCCATTGGGAAGCAATCTTATGATGTAAACTGTTTGAATGTAAAGAAATCTTGTTTTCTTAATCTTAAAATCAAAACTTTAAAGAAGGTGGAGAGCATATTTTCTTTTCTCAAGAAAAAAAAATGCATTAGGCTTCGTATGATGTTGTTTTCATGCAGTGAAATTCATTGCATATTGCATGCAAGGGCATACTGGATGAGCATGCAACCTGCAGCTCAGCGATGCTCCATCTTGTTAGTACACTCTTACCACTGCACAGCACCTTCTGCCCAATACAACCACAGTCTTTTACTGGGTCATTTAGCAGCAGTCATTTAGCAGCGGGTTTAAACGTGTCAGTGACTTATTCATTCTGCAGTTACTTAGTGCACGTTCCTCTGTGGCTTTCTTATTCAGTCTTATGGGATGATGGGAATTTCAGACATAAAATGGATATGTACCAAAAAAAAAGTTGTTTTTGCAGCTTTGCCTTCCCTTGAAGACTATTGGCTGTATATCTCACTGCTGGAGCACACAAGACACAGCTTAAAGAATAACCCAATGAAGTTGTCTCCTGTTCTAAATATATTTTGGGCAACAGTAGAGTTTCATAACTCATAAATGTAGATTAAACCATTAGGGGCTACACCTGAGACCCTGAACCTGCCCAAAAGGCTATAAGAAATAGTAAATGTTCTGTGGGAGAACAGCCTCGAGCTAATTCATGCAAATTACAAAATCTGAATAATGTTCTTTTTACATCTCTTCAGGCTCAGTGTCCTCTTTACCATTCCCTCCTGTACACAAGTCTTTGCTCAGTTACTGTAGCACTAGAATCGGGAGGCGCACCAGAAAAAGCTGGAACATTACAGCCTCTCCATTATAATTTATAATGAATTATTTTTTTATATATTTTTAATCACATTTAGCAAGTAACTTCCTTGAACTACTTTAAGTGTGCTTTTAGCATAAATGAACAAACCTCTGAGAGAGCTCACAAATCAGCTGATCACCCTGAGCTGCACACATATAGAAAAGCAACTATTAGTTCATTGTTTATTAGCGCTAATTATGGATTTATCTGCCAAGTTCTGGGACTTTGTAGCATTAAAGTCATCGCAGGGCTGACATATAGAGATGAACAACCATCCACAGGCACTTTGAAAGTGGCCAATTAACTTAACCCCAATTCTGCATGTTTTTGGGATGTAGGTGGAAACTGGAGTACCTGGGGTAAACCCACACAGACACAGGGAGACCATGCAAACTCCACACAGAAACACCCTGACCTGGATTTGAACCTAGGACCTTTTTGCTGTGAGGTGACAGTGCCAACCACTACACCACTGTGCCACCCAGCAGAAACATAATGCAAATCAAAATTCAACCATGTTTGATAACCACTTAGTTGTTTATTGGCATGACGCTAACATCATATTGTGCCTATTAATTGATGCACACAACTGCTAAGAAACGCAAACAGCTAACATGACTCACCAGTGCTAGTTTTAAAGTTCAACACAATCTATTAGCATAGATACATGGTATTCAAGGTGCAGTTTCACATTTAAGCCTTAAGTAGAGCTGCTGACTTTGATTACAAGAAAGCAAAAATTACATACCAAGGAATAACTGAGATTTCTAACTGCTTGCTGAAGTGCAATAAAGCTTGATGTCCACTTTTGTCATATATTCAAAGGTACTAAAAGCTTCTATGGTCTTTAAAAACCATGTCCTCACTCTCACAGAGTAATACCAGGTCCTCACAAAGATGGAAGCCTGAGAACACACATTCACACACAAAATTCCCCGGCATAACCAAATCCAGTCCACACAATCCTGTCAGGTTGTCTGAATTAAGAGAGCAATTTTATCAAAATGTCCTCCATTGGGGGGTATGACCAAAGTTCCTCACAAGTGCACACACTGTCGAATCCTACATGAAATCTAGTACACAAAAACTTGGCGGTTGTACTATCAAAATATATATATATTTATTTTTGCTCTTCAACAGCAGCCTCATCAAACTGTGTAAAAGTGTGGTCCTTGCAAAGCTATAATTACAAGAACACATACACACAATGCTAAAACAAATGTCCTTCTACAGTCAAAGCTGGAGAGTGTGTAATAAAACAAATAATCGGTTCTTTTAAAATAACTGTAATCTATTAAGGCGTAAAACCAGGGTCCTCATAATGATGGAAGTATAAGACATACACACATGCAAATATCTCATATAGGAATCAATCCAACATACAAAAACCCAACAATGTGTAAATTCAGGGTCGTTATTATGATGATAGTGCAAGAACACAACCACTGACAGAACCATAGACAGGTCTACCACACTCACACTGTCATGCTTGTATAGACAACCTTAATTAAACAGCTGCAAATCCACAAATGTGTCACATCCACACAGTACAGTCCACAAACACACTGAGGATTTACTGCAGAGTAGCGGTCGTAAAAGACAGACAGCCGAGTTCATCATAACTCGCTTAATGCTGCACCATTACCGTTAACGTGAGTTAGCCACATCTGGCGTGTTGCTGTAAACTCATTCCTCTGACCATAAAAAACCTGATGAATCAAAAGCTGACGCCTCGCTGCGTTGCTCTTTGTGTCATGAAGACATGGCTGCTTCTCACACAGTCAACAACCAGATTATCAGGCTATTTGTTTCATTTTTTAGTATAGACTTTGACTGTGTGGAGAGGTTACAGCCGACAGACACACTCAAGCTCTTTCTAATATTTTCTTATTGAAGGTGTGTACACATTTGAACAGAAGGAGGGCTTAACAAAACTGCTACAATATGAAGTAACCAACACTGAATTCTGAAAAACAACAGGGTGGGTGAAATGAATCTCTGAGTGTCAGACTACACTACAGTGTATTCTTCTGTAAAACGCTTTCAATGTAACAGGGCACCCTGTCTGCCAGATGGTGCCGTTTGCAGTGGACTGGGTTGTATTTAGCCTCTGATTCTATCCTAAATAGAACATCTGCTAATACACTTATATCATCTTACTGCAGTATAAGGCAGTCTCTTTACAGTAATGCTTTGGGGTGTATTACTATCAGGTACAAATGCCGTCAAATTCTTGAGCACCTTCCCCCCATTCTCCATCCTCTTTCTGTCTGTGTCATTAACTTTGTCGGTCTCACCTCTGTCAATCTCTCACTTTCTGTATCTCTCTCTATCCCCCAGCTTATTCTCAGCTGATGATTCTTACAGGTGTCTGGTCCTGCTCGAGGTTTCTGCCTATTAAAGCAAGCTTCTCCTCTCCACTGTATTTTGCGAAATGGTGTTAGGTGCTACACTCGTATGGTTGAAGGTGGGATGGGAGAGGGTCTAGAATACAGTCTAGACCAGCTTTTTTGTTAAGCATGAATGGGGAGCCAGTGCACTTTTTGTAAAATGAAGGAGTGGTTAATGCCATGTGTTCAGTTATCAGTTTGCTAAAAACAACAGTGCCGGATTTGAATTTGAGTGTTGTCCCAGAACTGGCAGTTTCCCGCTTCACTTTGCAATTTTTTAATGATACAAAGAGTCAAAGTGTGTTAAGCAATTTAGACTTTAGTCATAAATAAGCTTGTGTTTAATGTATTGTATAGACAAGTAAGACTGGGAGTGACCGCACACAAACACACACACACACAGACTCATGGATATGAGTCATACAGCTCATAGATAAAAGCATTGTTCCCCCATCAACTTTTACCATATGTTACTGCTACAACAAACTCTTCAAAGAAGCAGCTCAACTTAAACTTCATGAGAGAGAAGTTTGTACTGAAACCATGCAAAACCTTAAAACACCATAAAGTATCTCTCAGAGAGCAGCTGCAACAACTATAGGATAAGCTGCATTATGGATCAGTTAATGTATATGACCTGTGCATGAACAAAATGTTCGGTATTATTGCATATGATATTGAAAGAGAGATCTAAGGCATGCTGCAACATGATAGTAAATTGTAAGGATAATATTGCTTGTGGTATTAAAAGTGTGGGCAAAACTGCAACTTGGCAATGAATTTATGGGGTAAGAGTAACAGCCCCAGCCCCCATCATGCTGTACATCCATATTGCTCAGACACACACACACACACACACACACACACACACACACACACACACACACACACACACACACACACACACACACACACACATACAGTGCATTCTCTGATCATTCCTTTTGGCTGTAGAATTAGGGAGCAGTCGGCCTGTCAGCACCTCTCCCACCAGGCGTTAAACAGCCTGTGTGGAGGTGCCAACAACTCTCTGCTGCACCACGCTTGGCCCACTACAATGTAAAACACAGAACGTGACATACTGTTACTACTGTTTAGCATTGGACTCCACTGTGAAAGCAGCCCAATTTTTTTTTTCTTTTAAATCTGTGATTGAATTCATATCTTCTCCAATCACAATACAAAGAGTAAAACATCGTGTAGCTCACACATACAGATGGACAGAAAGTGCTGTTTTTTTATCATGTCAAGATCAGGTTTCAACCCCACAGACTGGTTGTATCATGTTATTTGTCCACACTTGTCGCATGAACCTTTTTTGTGGGATTTAAAGGAAAAGTGTTGGCCGAAACAAAAACTGACAATACACTCCAGCATCCTAATGGCTTTTTCTAAAATTTTAATCGAATCCAGCCTCTAGCATCTTGTTCAGTTCTTTCTAGTTACTAGTGAGGCTGTTGACTAGAGAGCACAACATTCATATTTTTTTCAGTTTTAATAACTGAAGTTGCAATACATATTTAATATGGATCTGAATGATAATACACATGCTGATAAACAATCATGCTGCACACAATGTGTTGAGAACCACTTCACACTTTTTGTTACAGTTTTAAAGTATGCATGCTGAAACACCTGTATTGCACCTGTATGCATGCGTGTGTGTGTGCATGTTGAATGTGCTCTGTATCCTCCAGCACGCGCGCGCGTGTGTGTGTGTGTGATTAATGTTTTTCCCGTGGTGCAGAGCAGAGTGTGTGTCAGTCCCAGGTGTGTGTGAGTTCCCGTAAACAGTGTCTTTGATTGAGAGGCCGAGATGCCTGTTTGACAGACGGCCTTGTGCTGCCAACAGAGTGCTGTGTCGCCGTAGTTACGCTGCATCATGTGGCTGTAGATACCTTGCAACACCATGAGGGGGGACAAGGAGAGTTGCTGCCACATAAGGTGAAATGTTTATAAATGATAATTATTAATTAACAAAAGAGGAGAAGGTCATTAAGGTTATAAAGACTGCTGGGTTATTAAAGAGTCATACTTGGAATTAGAAAAAAAAAGGAAATCAGTGACTTTAATGCCTGAAACTGCTGTGAGAGAAAAGGTACATCACAGAAACAGTACTACAGCCAGGGTTAAATTCCACTGCAAAAGATGACAGGAGGACATTTTTTGTCAGGTAATACCACTTAACCAGGACACAACACAATCAGCAACAATATAATAAGTGCCACTTTGGTCCACAGGGGGTGCCATAATCACAAAGCACAGAGTTCCTTACAGGAGCTTTAAACTAAAAATACCAAACTAGAAACAGGTTATTATTAAAATATGAAAACTTAAAGGGGGATATTATGCAATTTTTTCTGACTCTATACTTCTTTCCTGATTCCTCTTTAATAGCTTTACATGATTTTCACAAGCCTCTCTCCGGAGTATTTTTCAGAAGCTGGCCAAGGAGCTCAATGTTTTGGCTCAGCTCAGATGTACCACTAAGGACAGTCTATAATTTGTATGTAAGAATTTTAGTAAATCTCGCACATAGACTATAACCTCTTGTCTGAGATTTGAGTAGTTTACATTTTTTGTCTAGGATTATGACAAAATACGTTTACCTTGTAATTTGAAACTTTACATATATGTAGTGCGGACACCAAACTTTGTCACTTTGCATTCTTTGTCATAGATGTTGAAAGGCACAACACCCTCCTTCACAGAGAAACATCATTTAAAACTAATAGAAAGTAAAAATCAAATTCTTGTCAAACTTTCCTCCAATAAACCCAACAAAATTTTGCATATTCTGGAGGGAAGAGTTAAGCCTTTCTTGGGTGACTGATCTGTATCATGACTATAATTCTGAGTTTTAATGGTTGTCAAAGGCATCTATGGTCATGCCTCCTTATGCAGATTTGGGTCATGATTCAACACTCATAGTTTTCCAGGAAGCTACATTTGCATCTCATCAGTTCATTGAATACACAAACACTTTGGCCTAAGATGGCTTTGCTCAGCCACGAGTCATGACGCTGCTTGAGTCATTAACATGGCACTTTAATCCTTATCTATGACGTCATGTTCTCATGCATATAAACATGAAGCACACATACTGACGGGCTTAAGCGATCGCCAATTTGATCAAACCCTTGAACACCAACTGTGAGAGGAGTTTGTACATGTATATATCATGAATTCAAGTGCATGCACACATATTTCCACCAAATCAATCTGAATGTAGCAAAGCTTTAGCAGATCTGATTGATGGTCTTTTGGCGGGAAAAATAACAGAATTTTCCTTTTACTGTAGATAACCGAGCCCTACTTCAAAATAAGCAGCTCAATTCTTAGAAGCAGAATCCGTCCCTTTAGACCCCATTCTCTGTGCAGGTCTTTAAACCTATGTGATGTATGTAGAAGGCACATTCACTCCCAGACCCTTTACATAACACTCCTGATAATTTCACACATGCACTGCACTCCTCAAATATGTAAGAACCCATCAGAACAACCCAGTCCAGAACCTTTGGATTTGTTTTGAAGCAAATATTAAATGTGGGGTTCCCCAGGGTTTTGTTTCAGGTGAGCTGCTATTCAGCCCATAGATGCTGTCATTAAGAAGGATCACCTCTCAACATCTTTCACATCTTCTCAAAACTTGAGTGTGCTTTTTTGTGGATTATCACTTTATTTATTCTGTCACAATTTCAGTCCTATTATGAAATCTACAGAATAACCCTTTGTACATAACTTTATTTGCACAAAACCTGTGTGAAAGGGTGGGTGTCAGCCCTGTGTTTACAATTTACACATAAATCCATTCCCATAAAAATCATGTTTTTCTTGTTGTCTATATGTTCACATGGCATTTCTCTGATATCATGAGAAAACTAAGAGCAAAATTGCATTTCTGTGTATTTCTGCATTGAAATCACTGTGAACCTCTGTTAGACCCAAATAGCAGGTTCAGATGCAGTAGGATTTCCTACTGTGTAGCCGGACTCCAAGAAGTAGAGAGGACAATCGGAACAGGTGTGTGTGGTAGCAGATTGCAATGCTTGCAAGGAAGCATATTATGATATTAACTTTCATCATGTCCCCAAAGACATAAGTGTCTGAGAGCTGAACAGCTCCTATGTTACCTGCCACTTCTGCTGCACCAGCAGTCTTAGGCTACAAGCGAGCATGAAGAGGAGTGTACAGAGCAGCGCTGTCTCCGCCCACAACTCAGATGCGAATTGCTAATGAGCTACTGGAGCTCTGCAGAAGACAAGCCTTTGAAAATGACACAGTTAGCGTGATTTTAATTAAAATGTTCATAATCACAATTTATTGACCACTGAGAACATTTTGAGTACAATCTGAGTAGGACTCTAAGTTGTTGCATTTTTTTAAATGCCATAAATCAAGAATAATGGGATTTTGCTCATAATTAGCATCAGGAAAAAAAATATTAGTCAACTTCCGGTCAACTTTAAGGACGATTTTATGGGGGCACATATTCATTTGGTTCATCTCAGGGGCAGAACTCACTCAAGTTTCTGTGTGAATTTCAGGACTTCCTAACGGGCAAAACCCACAGGATCCGGAACGGCTCCGCTCCGCTCAGCTCCACTCCAGCGCGGCCGGCAGATCAAATCCACAAGCATTAAAATCAATGTGTGTCATGCCACAGAATGTGCTGGGCATCCGGCTCCACTGCGAATCGCCTCCGGCGGCCGGATCAGATATGCAGGCTTCTATTTTTGCCTGATGCCAGAGCACAGCGTATCAGTGCAGCGCAGCACGAGCAGCAGTGGACGTTGTATGCGGTTACAGAGTAAAATATCTGATTAATTTTAAAAATGAAATAGAGTCAATACATTGAACTGTTCTTCACTTGATAATAGGAGAGGCTAGGGTTGTGAGATGTGGGTGTGGATCTCATTCTATGACTCCTGGGGAAACACGTGCGAGCTTGTGAGACCTCTAGTCTCGCGAGAAATATCGGTCAATCTCGCGAGCGCTTATCCTCCGATGGCGGCGGGGGATCTGATCCGGTGGGCGCTGTATGCTTGCGGATCTGATCCGCCTGCCGGTCTGGAGTGGAGCGGAGCCGTTCGGGATCCTGTGGGTTTAGCCAGTGAGTCTGCTTAGACAACAAACCACGAAACAGTCTTTTTATATCACAACCGAAGAGGGGAAATCTTGAAAAATTTTGCTTGCTAAGAAAATGGGACATCATTCTTCTGCTTTAAAGTTTAAAGAACCAATGTTACCATAAAAAGGTTTCAGGAGCCCTAATGTCATTTTTCTCATCTATAGAGAGTTTTTTGTTGTGTCAATTCAGAATACTCATAGCAGGGTTTCGAACAGCTTTCAGGGTTCAGGTGTCCTAAGCACGAAAAAAAGAGTCTTGTCTAAAATTGAATGCTGATACGAACACACACTTATTTCTCCTATCACACACACCTCACCTGCTCTCAAACCCGCCATGATGGAGATTAATAGCAGTATTTAGGGCTCACTGAGCCCCACCTATCAAGGCATGGGCCCTCAGAGTGACTCTGGTTTGTGCCTCAGATCGAGATACTGTCCTGAGCTGAGATTTATCATTGAAGTTCACGACAGTATCTCGATCTCTGGAGCAGGAATCCACAGCTGGACCACCAACAGTGGACCATCCTTCCAGGAAGACAGCATGAACCCGACCTGAGCAGACTCAAGAGCTGCTGGATGGTGAAGCGTGTGGACCAAAAGGACATGTGAGAGCTGTATATAGATATTGGGAGGTTGAGATGTGTGTGCATCCTTAACTACAAATTTATGTTATGAGAGCACACACACTAACACACACTTAAAAACTAAGTGTTTACAATAAAGACTCAAAATAGACATTAGATGTGCTACATCTAAGTTTAGTTCCCTAATGTGATGTTTATCGTGTGTACAACTCGCTGCCTTTGTATATCTTTCTCACACTTTGCACTGTCTCATCTGTTTAGTTTTAAAACAGCAGATACAAAGTCTCTGTTGTGTCTGTGATGTTCTCCGTGTCACTGCGATTCTCAAACGTCCAGTTCTAGCAGATTAGGTGTGCAAAAGATGAAAGACGTTTTTGTAGTCACAAGCTGAAGTATTTAAACACCTCACTGATTGTACAGTCACGGTGAATCATCCTGAATCCTTGGGTTTGAATATTTCACTCAATGTAAACATCAGAGCACTTCTTTGAACACTTGGAACAAGCATACAGAATAATCTGTGCAAGATGCGACTTAATCCAAGTAATGGCAGAATTAAGAAGAAACAGTTTATAAAGGGGTTGTAATACACATTAAAACTATGTTGCATTGGCTTCCAAATGCCTGAGCATGTATGCCTTTTCTGCTTTTTTTCTGTAGAGCAACAATGAAATTCATTCTGGAATGACTGAAGACAACACAAAGCAAATTATTACTGTATTTGTTCATCTGTAGGCAAAAAGGAAAATAAAACTTCACTCTGAGTATTTAAAGGTGAGAGTTACATATTTTTTTATGTAAATGTCAGAGGTGGTTAAGGTTCAAGGGGACATGAAAACCTACCTATTGGATTTGGCATATAAACCTAAATTTAAAAACTGTGATTGTGAGCCTTGTGTTGGCACTAGAGGGAAAATCAGGGTAAAACAATCATTGGGGTTTATCATCAGGGGACCAATTACTGTGTACCCCGAATTTCAAAGCAATGTGATAAGTGACATCTGAGGGGCGAATTCACTTAAATGGATGGTAATAGTACCAAAGCTATCTTATTTTTTCCGGATGTCAGAGCATGCCAGATAAATTCAGCACAGATTAACTTGGAAACCTGCTGGAAAGGAAGTCGGGCACAGATACAAAATAAAACATCTGGCCTCTTTTCAAAATAAAACAATATGGGCCTGATCTACTAAAGGTTTGTGTGTGCAAAAACACATGCAATCTTGATCTATTAACCAGGTGCACCAAGGATCGCATCTGTCAAAGGAGCAAAACAGCACATGCAATCAATTTAGTGTGTTTGCCTTCATGAATATGCCGAATGTATGTAGATCATCAGAATGGGCAAAATTCTGGGAGGAGCAGATGCAAATGGAATCATTTAGCACCTGCACTGTGATTTATCAAACCCTGTAAACCGATTGCAGTCACTATTTTGTGTATATCTTTAGCAAGTTTGAAAGGCACGTGCAAACTGGAGCAGCATTACGCACGGTCATTGTGGAAAGAAGGATGCAGAAGTGCTATAATACACGCCATGATCCTTGTCCAAAAGCTTGTGATTTATTTTGTTTTTCTGGTAAATTACAATTTCCAAAAATAATAAGGTCAAACACAAAAACATTTTAATCTCTTTTTTAAAATTTTGTTTTATTTAACCAGGTGAGGCTTATTGAGACATAAAATCTCTTTTACAAAAGCGACCTGGCCAAGAGGCAGCAAAGTTACGGAGTTACAGTAAGTTACACCAAAATGTAATGGGATCCTCTTCGGGCTGAGATGCACCTCTGGTGAAAATTTCAGGTCAATCCGTCTGTAACTTTCTCTGTAAAGTTGCATTTTGGTGATGATCCGGATCGCCTTCTGGATCCAGAAATTTTTTGAAGGATTCTTTATCATTGTGAGATAGGGCAAATTTTGGAATTTTTGCATTTAACTCTATAAAAATGGCCAGAGTCTTTAGTAAAAAATTACACAAAAGGATCTCAATGAGTTTTATGAGGTGTCAAAGGTTAATCCTGATCCAGACAAAATTCCGGATACTGTGATCCAGAACACACAAAAATAAGGGTGTCGTTGGAATTTTCAATGCTGAAAGATCACCAATGAAGATACAAGGAAGTGTACGCTTACAAATATTGCATAATAAATCATGCATTTATGTGTCTAATATGAGTTTTGTTGTTTTAGGAACATTATGAACAGTGAACATACCAGTTGAAACACAAATAAAAGTTAATAAAAGACATGTAACAGTAAAAGTTTTGGTGTGAATCACAATATAAGGGGGGACATGAGCTGCTTGGCGGAGGTCTGCGCTCTCTGAGTGATTTTCTAGTTTTTCGAGTAGATTCATAATGTGACATGAAATTTTACTGTTTATATCCAGCTGAATTCGTGAGGCATGCTTGCAAAGCTCAGCTCATTCAGGGTCAGTAAAGAAATTTTATCAATAGCACAGCCCGTTTTGTGTTTGAGTCACAGTAGCGGCTGGCTGATTTAACCTCTGATTATGATAAAATAGTCATGTCAAAGTAATATTAAAAGACTTTGCTTACAGCTATAATATCTTGAGGTCATCTAGATGTGGAACTGTTGTCATGGTTACTCAAAAGTCTGAGCATGAGGACACTGAAACTTTCACTCTGACTGTACATAGAACTTTTTGTAAATTTTGCAATCAGCCTAATTCGTGTTAAAACAACACCTTTGCACAGTGTTGTGATTTGAAATGCAGCAAGATTAGTGGTGGATTTGACCCTTTACAAATAATTTGTGAATCAGATAATGCTTTTTATCTCATTTGCACAGATTTACTGGGCACAAAAGCTGTGCAGCCCTTATGTAAATCAGACCCTTGGTTATTTCAATTATGCCATCTGTAGACTTTTGTGTTGAAGAAGATTGTGACTTTTAGGTAACAGCATTTTCGTATGAGATTAATCCAGAGGTAAAACAGTTCTGAGTAAACCAAACAACAGTATAATACATTTGTAAATATATCTGGTGTGTTATCCTCAGCTTTTACTTTTTTCTGCACCAACGATGATGTGCTTGGAATTGACATGACAGAGATGCAATCTGGTTATTTTTATAAAGCTATGAAGCTGAAAATAATTTCAAATCGATTTTTTGTTGCTTTGTTGAGAAAAGTCTCCAGGAGTTTGGTGTTTACTGCTCATAGACAGCTAGAGTTTGACAGCTGCTGTGACCTGTCAGTCACTTCTATTACAGTATCAACAACAGCCCACCCACAGAGCGCTGCTGGATGCTGACTGTTAGCCAGCCTCAGTGCAGAGGCAGAACAATGACTCTTATTTCCTTACCCGGCCCTCCTCCATCACACATCATAAACAGCTTGTTACATCCTTCAGATTTTAAATGAAGACATCATGGCTCTTTCAGCCGGACTGTCTGGCTGTCCGGTCTGGATAATATTCCTTTCCTTTCATTGTAAGTGAAATCTGAAATGTAACCCGCGTAATTGGGTTCAGCTCAAGGTGTCAATAAACGTGGATTTCAAATGAGTGCAATACAAGTATTTCATGAGTTTGGAGGAGAGGCTCTGAAATAAGTGAAACATTTCTAGGCCATCTGCAAAGACTTGAATTCAAATTAAATACAAAATGAAACTTTTTACATGTGTTGGCTTAAGGCTGTCAAATGCTGATACTGCATTTACAACAACAGTCAGGGAAGAAGCATGGTGGGGGAAACGCTGTGGGAGCTGCAGGCAAACTTGTTATTTTTTTGTCCTTGGCAACCAACCTTAACTTTTAAAGAAACACAGTTTAAAATGGGGCACTGTGACCAATCTGTAGGTATGCTTACTTTATGTACTTTGTTGCACCATGAACAAAAAAAGTCTATTTACACTGGAATCTCACTAGGGGTCAAACTCAGACTACATATCAAAATTTAGATGTCAACCATAGACATTGATGTCACCTATCAGTTTCTAAAGAGGCCATATGAATCCCCAAAAATGGCATCTTTTCCACTTTTACCAGCTTACCATGAACTGGCCAAGAGGTTTTGATAAGGCTGCCTAGACAACAACAACATTTTAACCTGTCAGTCAAATCAACTACACCTCAAATCATATGCCAGACTGTGCACAATTCTGCACTGGTGCAAACATGCTCATTTCTGCTGTGGGCAATATACGGTGGCGTCAATAGGGACTCCTTGGCCTGCCTCAAGTGGACACTCAAGGAACTGCAGTTTTCTTTATGCCTACACTGGCGTCAGAGGTCACCACATGACTTTAACTTGAAACTCCAGCTAACTTAACTGGAACTCTAACACAAGGGACACGAGTGTGAATTTGGGGCTTGCCAGACCAGTGCTCTGCAGCTGGCTTGACAAGTTGTCTGCCAGTTGAGTCCCTTACTTTCACTATAGTCCCCTCCCCATCAGCTGAACCCCTCTGTTCAGCATGGATCCATCTGTTGCTGAGCTAAAATTACACACTAGGGGCAAGGCACGTGTCAACAGGGGACGCATCCAAACCCAGGGTAACTTAGGTGGCCTAACCTCATCACTCACACTTCTGGGGGTGGCATGACGTATGTGAGCCCAGATGCTAATAAATAGTATAATAATTGCATCGGTGTTTGTCAGCACAGACTACAGTCTTATTTTGATGGGACTTTAACATCAACTCCATCAACATGCTTTTAACACACCAGTATCTGTCTCTTAGCTGTAACTGCAGTAAAAGAACTACCTCCCGAATCATCACTTCATTTGTCTGTATTTTCATTATCAAAATCAAATGGTTCCTATTTGGCACTCTCCAGATTCCACCTTGCACATAATCAAGACTTTTTTTGACTCAATCAACTGAATCAATTCCCATTTCATCAAATGAGGCCCTGGATAGAGAACCAGTGTGAGTTATTTTCATTTTAAGTTGATGGATTTGTTTGTTGTATCATGTGCCTACTATGTGATGGAGGCTTGATGTGAATATTTATAGTTTTTCAATCAGAAATTACCGGATAGATGCTCACTATTCCCTGGATGGCAAACTGGGGCTTAAGATAAAGAGCAAGTCTGAGTTTTTTTAGTCTGCTTCCCTGTAATTTGTTGCTCCCCATGTGGAGGTATCGCTAGCTGGAGCTTTAGATAAAGAGGCAGTGTGGAAAGACCCTGTTGATGATCAGCACGGCAAAGCTAACAGAACTGATGGCTATTAGCATAATTAATGTCATCGCCGTAATGCACTTCAATTCTGACACAGCCTGCCTCTCCCTCTCTTCCTTCTCCTCTCTCTCTCTCTTACACGCACACCCCTACATTTATTGAAAGGCCTAAGCATTAAAGCAGAAGCATAATCAAATCTGCAACGTATAACTCAAGGCTCAGCATGAAAATGTCATGTGTGATCTTCCTCGGTTTTGTGATGCCAACATGTCAGTATGCTGACAGTGCTGCACAGAACAGTCAGTCAGTCACTGGTATCTGCAAATAATGTACATCATGTCCTGAGCGTTTAAATAAAAGCATGCACTGTGACGTTTTATGTTAAAAGCTGGGGCAAGATAGGTTAGATAGAACGTAGGCCTGTGTGTTAAAGATAGCACAGGATGCCTGAGGGGGTGTGACAGAAAACCAGGGCTGCCTGCTCTTTCTCTTGTTCTTTTTTCTCCATTTTTTTCTTTTTTCAACACCTCCCAATTCCTCTCTTTCTCTCTCTTCTTCTTTTCTCTGCACAACTCAGCTTTAAAGCAACTGTAGCTCTGAAGGCGATGCACACAGAGCGAGCTGGATCCCTCTCAGATTCCTCTCTGCTCTTAACCATTTCAAATCTCCAGTGCCAAGGACACAGAGTGAGCTTAGAGTGTGAAAAGTAAAGCCACTTAGCAGGGAAAATAAGCATATCACATGGAGTGAGTTGGCGTGGCTGCATTCACATCGACAAATGTGTTGTTGATTTGACACAATTTTGCAACCTCTGCCGAGATCTCATTTTTTCGGTTTTGAAAAATGAACACTCTTTGTCCTTACACTTAAACTGACACTGTTTGAGCTGTACAAAAAATGAAGCTATGATTTCACTACCATGACCTCCTCCCTTTAATATAATTACATAGAACAGTCACATGGTTGATCACAGGTAGCTTTCATCACACCTGCACCAAATTAGCAGAGCAGAGCTAAGTGAAACAAGTGGCTTGCTGTTTTTCTGTTTGACGTAATTTCAAATAAAATGAGCTCATCATGGAGCAGAGTGGATGTTCACGAGACATATAAGAAGAACGTGCACAGAGTTCACACCTCACATTTCATGAGCTAAACTAAAGATATTTCTGGCACAAAAGGAGGATTATTAGCTCCATTTGATCCACAGTGACGTAAGTGCCCCGAAAAAGCTGCATGGTATCCTGTTCCTTACCTCCTTCTTGCCTTTTCTGTAGCTAAGTGTCTACATGGTGTTCAACACCATGGATTAGCTCCATCCAGTGGCAATGGAGTGCAGTCCAAGACAGCTTGGCATGAGAGATCTCAACATTTCACAGGAACTCCACAACATCATGCAGGATAATTGAGATCACGCCACAGACTGTATAATATATGAACGCAGTATCAGTGACATCACCCATTTTTTGCTGAGTTTTGAAGCCCATCAGCAGCAGTTGCCATATTGGAAATGCTGACTCAAGATTCGCTAATCTTGTGGCCATGTCATCTCCCAATCAGTAAGAAAAGTCACTCTCTGTGCAGTTGTGTGCAGTGAAAGCCCTGACAATTTTACTTCAGTTTAATTTTACTCTGAAAATATGTTTTTTATAATTAGTTTAAATGTATTTCGGTGCCTCTGCAGGCAATCCGAGAACTGCTGTTTTTAGTACTTTTTAGTGCCACTTGCATTAAACAACAGCCTTTACCAAGGAACAACTTTCAGTTCCTTTGGATAAATGATCTGATGCAACAATATCTAACCATCAGTAGGTTTGTCTTGGCGCGGCATCCAAAACACATCTCAAAATGGTCAGAACAGGAACAGATCAGCTGTAGTGTAGACTAAAAACAAAAAACACTAAAGTAACACACAAGTCAGCTTTGGCATCTTACTGCCTACAGATGTTAACTCACAAAACCTAAATAAGCATCAAGAGTTCTCAGGTATTACAATCACTTTTCCCAAGTAGGCCAGCATCACTAACCATCTGCTCATGTTATTTAAGGTCCAGTCTCTAAACCCATTGGTCTACTATCTCAAGATGCCACTGGGAACAGCTGCCAACTTTTCAGTAATTCTGGTGCAGCCAGTGTTCCCTCTAATGACTCCTAGCCAAGTCTTTCTATTTCATTGGTCTGCTGTGTAAACCATAATTTTGCTGGAGCTTCTCACAGAGGCTCCAGCAACCAAATTTCACATCATTCACTCATGACTGATGGGTCTTTGAGACACAGTGTGGAGTATTTGGCAGTGTTAACGGGCACAGACTCATTTACATCAGGTGCCTGAACTCCTCCAGGAAGGCCATGGTCATCTGAAATGCACTGACTGGTTGACATAGAAGAAGAGAGTGGATGTCTCTGGGCACAGAAGAATTTGGGATCTTACTTATCATGCATTATAGCAGCTTCATGACCTCAAAGGTCAACGTGGCTTCATGGATGGGACAGGTGAGCAGGGGAGCACAATCTTTGATCCAGAATCCGGCTGCAAGATAGTGCTAAATATCTACACACTGTGCCTTTAAATTTGCTAAAATATAATGAAAATAATGATGTAAGAAGTGGAAAATGAAAACTTTGTCAGAAAAGTACTCAGGGGTTCTACACATATGCATGTAAAGACCTTCAGAAGCTTCAGGATCTGCTACTATTATACTTTTCAGCCCCTCTTTCTGTTTTCTTCTTCTGTGGTGTTTGCTGTATAGCCAAGACACCCATGCCTCAGCCCTGAGAGCTCAAGGCCTGACCTTTTCACCGCATATAAGGTCAGTAGGCTAGAGATGTAGCCTGGGGGCAAGGCCTCTACAAAGCCTGAGAAGCAGCGTTGGAAATGTAAAACTGATGGAAACAAATATAACCAGATATGGCTGAAAGCTTTGCTGTGGGAGAAACCCGAATAACAAAGAGCCAAGCACTGCTTTTTGGAGTTGTTGCAGGGGAGTAACATGCCATCAAAGCTAAGCATGCTAGTAACACTAAGAGATCAGCCCTTAACTCAATGATGAGCAAAGCAAACTAAAGCACATGATCCGGGATATCATACACAGAGGAAGTACAAGTCTTACAGTCTGTTTTAGCTTCTGTAGCAGAATGAAGTTGTAGCAAAGAAAGGAGGCCAAGATTTAATACCTTAAGAAAGCTGTTAAAATGTGTTTGACTGAGCATACTGATGGATATGATGATATTCTCTGAGATTTATTTGAACAGCTGTCAGCCTCTTATAACGTTTCAGCCCCAGCTGCACATTGAGTGCTCTGATATCTGCTCTGTTAGCCGAAAAAAAAAAAAAAGATCACTGTCTGAACATGAAAAGACACAGATCCAGGAATAGTTTTGCTGCTACAAACCTTGAACAAAAAAAGGACAGCAGGTTTAAATTTAGCTAGGTAGAGCTCAGGTGCTAGAAAAGGTGGATGTGTAACCATCTTAAAAAACTGTTGCAGAAGTTAATCTCAAGTCAGCCGTTATTGTACGAATAAGGGGTTACATGTCATTTGAGATTCATAACCTGACATTAAATCGATGCTAGTCCTCTCTGATTAAGATGAAACATTTAAATGTCATGTACTACACTAAAAGTTGTCTCATTTTCTGTAATGTCAGATCTGGCAATTTAGCTGGCAGGTTATAAAGATGTGAGATCTCCATTACACCTCTCTGCCTCTTCATAAGGGTTAAAAACACGCCTCTGCAGCTAAATGCTAGCTTGTGGTTTAAGGTGAGGAGCTCCCTACACTTGACGATACATTGGTCTTAATGTTCGAGTGGCCTTGTGACAATGTGTGTGTGTGTGTGTGTGTGTGTGTGTGTGTGTGTGTGTGTGTGTGTGTGTGTGTGTGTGTGTGTGTGTGTGTGTGTCGCAGGAATAGGTTGTGCAGCTCAAGCAGTGTGACAATGTGAGGTCACAACAGGCAAGAGCGTCAACCCTGTAACTAGATATTATGCACAGGTGCACAAATCAAACATACTCACACCAACGCACAGTGCATGAGAAACAGGCAGGTGCTTATTATGACACACATCAACCTATAGAGAGAGTTCTGACTCAGCAGTGTGTTATTCTAGGTCACAACTGCAACATGAATGCAGTTTTCAGAGGTAAGTGCAATTTACAAAATGTGAAACAGAAGCTAATATGAAAAAAAAAAACATGTATATTACGATACGACCAGGACTCTCAGTGTACAAAATAAGACCATTTTTCTTCCCGTACTTCTCTTCCTCTACCATTCATTTCTCCCCCCAACCAACATATTTCCATGACCAGACAGCTGCTATTTTGCACAAAATCGCTTAAAAGACAACCAACTGAATCATAGGAAAAATACCACAAACAAGCTGTAACTCTGTCATCCTGTGAATCAGGTGAATCTGGGGCCAGGTGTTTGGTGATTCAGGCAGAAGACGGATCACACAGACAGAGTGTAAGTATCTGTGTGTATCCTAATCCCTCTGCAGCATGTGTGTGTGTGTGTGTGTGTGTGTGTGTGTGTGTGTGTGTGTGTGTGTGTGTGTGTGTGTGTGTGTGCGTGAGCTGGTATTGCTATTCTTGTGTGAAACAGCGAACGGATACACCTTGGAGTGTTTGGGGCTTAAGGATTGTGTGGTGTTAAGGAAGGAATCAAAAACAGGTGGAAGCGACAGGTAACAGTTTTTACACGTCTGGTGTTGATTGTTGATGAAGACTTGGATGGGTTTATTTTATGAAGAATTCCTCTCTGCAGAAGAGGGATACAGAAATATTAGTGACTTGTTTTGGTTCTGATCAAGCTCAATGAGACAACTGATTTACAGGCAGATATAAACCCTTCAATCATTTTTCATCTACACATGTAAAAATCTGCTTGGTCATACTAAAATGCCTTCAAACTCGCAGCCAAACTTCCCACAATATGCTGCATTTTGCTGAAAAGTACATGGCATTTTTCAAGGCAGGATCTGGGGGCATCAAGGCTTTTTAAGTCTACTGAAAATTAAACGGTGTCTTTGGTGTTGCAAGTCTCAAACCCAAAGTTTATGTTCTTTCAAAAAGCACAACCCTCCTGGAATGGACTTTTTGGAGCATTCCCACCTAGGGGGTCTGGTTTGGTTTATTACAGTTAGGTACCTGGATTTTGCTTCATTTCCACAGCAGACTGAACCCTGCCACATAGCTTCACGTAGGAAGCATGTCAGGTGCAAGACTTCCTTGGACAGCTTTATTTTTTGATGGGTATCTTTACCTAACAGGAACATCTCACCCTAGCCACTTTTACCTTAGCCAAAAATACATAAACGGAAGGCTGTATTTGCTTTGTATCAGCTGTGTCTATGCCACAAACATACTTTTGGTACTTCCAGACATCCTTTCCAAAATAAAGCCTGATCTTTTTGAGAGCCCCCCTTGTTTTCACAAAATGCTTTTATTCTGCATTTGTGTCCAGATCAGTGATTTGGTAAAAGGAGTAACTTGTACAATGGAAATGCAGATATTGTGTGACTTGGTGGAAATACACTATTTGTGGGCTCCAATGACAAACCTGAGACTTAATTGAGACCCTGATCCCTGTGGTGGAAACATACTTAGTACCCCTGATTTTCCTGGCACTAATTTGACATAGCTGGCATTATTTTCTCATTTAATCATATCAAAAATGACCAAACTAAACCTGCTGAGAGCAAAAGGAAGAACACAATAGGCTGTGGTATCATTTGAGTTTTACTCGTATCGTATTAAAATTACAATCTCTGGTGTCACTACAACCCCTCAAAACACCACAGAGATAAGTAACACCATCAATGTGCCAACTGAATATGAAATTAGAGTTTGACTCAAAAGATGATCTCTAACACTGTCTGAATCTAACTTAAACTCTGTTGGACATTTCTGGAATAAGAAATAATTGTGTTGGATTTTCAATGGTGGAGTTTTATGGGTAACAGAGAACACAGGCAGAGGGACTACTGTGATTACTTATGTTTCCCTATGTAGGCATGAGCACAGGATGTAAAACTGAGACAGATCTGAAAGTCTTAGTGTGCCTGATCATCGGTGTATTCACACCCAGCTCCAGAAATCTGGTTTTTACTATTTGTCCTAATGTGACCAAGATTTTGTCCACGTTTCCTTTTGACAGAGTGGACAAGAGCAGCAGTATCAAGCTTCGAGCAGCACGGGGGGCTAAAAGTACAGCCATAGAGTACACCTCTCTGGACTATGTGTGCTTTTTGAGGTCTAGTGTTGCAGTTTACCAAGCAAGCCAACCCGCTCATTGTTTGAACATGAGAAAAGCCAATCTGCACACCAGACCAACACCAAAAGCCTGCACAAGGAAGCAGAGGAGCACTATCCACCTGTAAAGAAGAAGTTGCATTTATGCCTCAACGTGTCAGCTCAAGTTTTCCTTCATTGCACTGAGATGCATGAAGGGGAAATGCTGCACAAATTCAAATCAAAGGTTAGAGAGACCAGAGACCAGAAGGACTGGAAATACTTCAACCACCATCCAAGTATGCGGATAGATAGATAGACAGATACATGGATAGATAGAAGGAGCAGAGGTGTGTGTAGGTCAGAGAGAGTGAGCGTTTTCATGTGTGGAAATGGATGCAGAGTACCTACAGAATAGTGTGGGCATGCAAGCGTATGTGTAGGCATGTAAGTGCGAATGCAAGGCTGTGTGTGTGTGTGTGTGTGTGTGTGTGTGTGTGTGTGTGTGTGTGTGTGTGTGTGTGTGTGTGTGTGTGTGGGCATGTAGGTAGGAATCAATCTGCCAGTGTGCCTGAGCATGCCGTGTGGTTGGTGTATCTGTGCATGTATATACAGGCTCATGAGGACATCTGCAGCTCACCTTCCAGGCAGCAGGTCCTCCAGAGGCCGGAGTGCGTCATCACCTCCTCGTTCTTCTTGCTGGTCTCGTTCTCGTTGGTGCTCTTGATCTTGCAGACGCCGCGCGAGTACAGCCAGTAGTCTGTCCCCACGGCGATGGTCATAAGGCTGAAGGCGGCGAAGGCCCCTACCGTGGTCAGCAGCATCTGAACTCCGCGGTCAAACACGCCCATGTTGCCGCATTCCACGAAAGGGGGGCCCCCTTTCCTCTTGATATATAGGAAGTAAATATTTGTGAGTTTGCGTCGCCACGCCAGCTCGGAAAACGGGGGGTGGGCGGTGTTGGGTGGATGACGGTAGCGGGGGGCCGCTGGGGGGGCGGGGGAGTTAGGGGAGCTCGGGGGAAATCGTATGGTTGGTTTTGGGGTGGGACCCGACCCGGTGAAAATTAAGATATGGGTGAAGGTTTGGGGGTAGTTGTTTGGCCCAAAAGACGGGTCAAACAGACTTTGGTGGAGATGTTTCAAAAGTCTGATCCTCAAGTGGCAGGAAGTTGCCCTGCTCTGGAAAAAATGTTGACCTAAAAACGCAGGCTTCTTGCAGAGCCCACAAGAGACCTGGTCTGGGATCCAGGCCTACTTTGTCAAGTTGGAAGGCCTCTAAATGTCAAACTCAGAAGAAAGCAGAAATAATGAGAAGATGGAGGATCTTGCTCTGTTTCTCTGTGATGGTCTCAGGTCTAGATTTGGCTCTCTGGGCTGACTAAAGCAGCTGCATGTATTACAATCCTCACAGCTTCAACGGTGATAAATGGAATGATGTGCATGTAGCGCTTGTTTTTTTTCCCCTCACAGGTCGTCTCATACAGCCTACACTGACACACGCACGCACGCACACACACACACACACTTTCTCTTGCTTGCTTACGGAGCCAAACTTTCACTTGCTCACACCTGTACACAGACAAGCACACGCATGCACTCAGTGTGAATTAATTCATACTGAAAGGGGGATGAAGAAGCACCGGAGTGTGGGGGTGGAGGGTGGTTAAAACTAACACAGTTGGCGGCCTGATTTCTTTAAAATGACCTCAAAAAGGCAATAAACAGAGACCTCAAATAGAAAATTACACAATTCAGGATGAGTTCTGACTACCTTGATGTAACACAGTGGATCAGTGAGTTATGAAAGCTCGTCTCAGGCATTTCAGAGGAATCAGACTATCACATGTATTCTGAGGGAAGAGGATGATGGGAGACAGGCAAGACAGACAGGCAGGGCCCAAAATATGTTGGAAAAATGGTTGGATGTGAAAGAAGGAATTCAAAGCAACGGAATTAAGCGCTCCCCCAAAATCGAGGACAGAATGATAAATAATACCAAATAATCAGCCGGTACCATGACTGCCATGCAAACCAGCCATTACTTAAGAGATGAAGGAAATATAAACCAACCAGAACGATCAACCCCTCTCTCCAAATAAAAGGAAAATCAAGGCAAAAGGAAGAAGAAAAAAATATTAAGTTGTGAAAATCAAACGACAGCCTGCTTGGTTTTCCTTTTCCTAAAATTCTGATCCCCAGTTTCCATATGTGGTCCCTAGACCTTTCTCCGGCGACAGTGCAAATCTGCTATGGGGGGATACAGGCAGCGGTACCGACGGCACACCGCGGAGAGAGGGGCGCATCCAGGCGGGGAAGCCGAGCATCACCGGTCATGCAGCCGGTCGCAGGAACGAGGACGACACAGAGGGATGGACGAAGCTTCCCGGAGCAAGAGCCTCTTCCCCCAGCATCCACACGATCCTACGCGGTTATATCACGGCCACCCGGAGCACAACGAGGGCACATACATGCACAGCCGTCTACTGTCAGCACATGGAAATAATCAGAAAGCGTCAAAAGCGATGTTCTTTTGTTCGCAAAGCTGTCAAGCGTGGGGGATTCGGTGCGCAAAAAAATGGATAAAATTTCAAGCCGAGTAACACATCAATCCTTGGTTTCCTCGTTTTTCTTCTTCGCAGAGCTGAGATAGAAGTGGAGAAGAGGAGAGGAGGAGGAGGGGGTGGATGATGGTTGGAAGCAGAGGATGAAAAAAATCGACACAACAAGGGAGCGAAGGGAGAGAGAGAGAGAGCGAGAGAGAGAGAGATGTTCTGTGCGCAGCAGCAGCTGCACTTTACGCAAAAACAAGCGCACTGCAAAACAATGTCCTTTTCAACAAGTCATATCATCTCAAGCTGATCCTGACTTTAATGTTTTTTTCTACACAAAAAGACACGTGGTCTATCAGTGGAGAAAATACATGTGTACCATTAACAGCGACAGACTCACATGCCTCTTTTTTAAAATCAAATCAAAGGCAAAGCCTGACAACTTTGTTAGTGTTACATTTTACACATTACAAATTTAAGCGTTTGAACTGAGGTCAAAAAATCCATCAGAGACATTTTGCACTTCAGTCTTTCTAAAGTAACCATGAACAGACTAACTAGTAACATACATGTGTTTGTGTATTTAAGTGGTGGAACAAAATGCATCCATTGGAAGACAAGAAAGACGGTATTTTAAGTATGATCTTCCATTTGTGGCGATACAACAACCACTCTCTCCTTCTTCCACCTCCAGGTGATGCCTTTTTGGACTCCCAAAAATGAGAGTTTAAAGCTTGTTTTTCTGCATAAAGATGGCAGCCCCCATGGTGGAAGGCCTTTTCCTATTTCATGAGCAAACAATTTAATATGATTTTGAAAAGGGTGATTATTATAATAAATATTAAGTTTGTTCAGCTAAATACCACTAAATTCTGCACACTGTACCGCTCCATCTCTCGCATAAACTCCTGTGAAGCCCTGGAATAGTCAAAGTTGACACTTAAAACATTAAAGTATTTGGTCTGTTAAAGTGCCCAAAGTTACATTGTTAAGTTTGATTTTTTATGTTTTAATGTGAGGGCAGACAGGGCCAACAGTTGCGATTAGGCGTTACAACGTCAGCGTGTTACTCGCACTGAAATTAAGGTTCGAAATTAAAGCATTCTCTCATATTGGGTTCAATTTTTGCTTCCTCCGGCACATCATAGTTGGACTGCCACAGCAAAAGAGATACAAAAGATACAAAAGAAGTCTCCAATGCACCTACGCCTAAAGTCTGACCTCTGACCTCTTTATAGAGGATGGCACAAGAAAAAAGACAACTCTCTGACAGGGATCAATAAAGCGTCACTTTATTATCATCAGCTTTTTTTTTTTTTTCATGCAGACTGAGGTGTATTTTAATTTCCTGGTGTGGGGGGAGATATGAGGCACGGATGATGAAAGGGCTGAGCAGTGTAAGTAAAACACCTGACCGAGCAGTCAGTGGCTGGGCCGGGTTCAACACAAATAGATGGGTTAGGTTGTAAAGTTCAGTGATCCATGTGCTGCGTATGACTCTGTTGTATGTTTCAGATCACCTCCACGTGCAGAGTCAGGAGTGACTCTGTTACTATCACAGCCAGTGAAGAGAGCTCTATACCGTACATGACTATCCCCAAAGTAAACAAAAAGATTAAATCCCTCTAAAAGGTAAGATTGGCTTTCAGTGCCCAAACCTTTTTTTGCATGAAAACATTGACATCAGTGGTGCATTTAGATGGGAATGTAGTGCCAGACTCTGAATACATTTCAACATATTCTTTATGTGAGCATTTTGGGGGGTTTATTTTAATGATAACTTCAAATATATTCTGGATTCTGTATAAAAATGTGCATCTTTGTTTTGTTTGTTTCTGTTTCATTAGTCACATCCTGTTCCTCCTCACAGTGCACCATGGTTACTGCTGCCTCTTCATGGTGCTGAAATGGACAGCTCCCCTTGCTGCATCCAGGAGCACGGCAACTGTCTCCCTCTTGTGATAGGCTGCTCTGGAGCCACATGGTATTTTCATGGGGATTGCCAGGGATGTGGACTCAGATGCACATACACAAACACACGGAGACACTCAGTGCAGCAGACTGACTTTGAGCAGCAACAAAAACTGTTCCCTGCTAGAAGCCTGAGATGGGTTGAAACAACATTTATGGGCGCATCAGGTTAATCCAAGCAGGCAAAAATGCAGACAGACAGACAGACAGATAGACAGATAGATAGATAGATAGATAGATAGATAGATAGATAGATAGATAGATAGATAGATAGATAGATAGATAGATAGATAGCATTGCTTTAGCTCAGACTGCACTTCAGAAATGGACATAGCCTCTGTTTCCAGAGCTAAAATCAATGCAGAGGATCCTTAGAACTGCATTATTTCTGATGTTGAGCAGGTGATGACTCCGGTGGTTGCAATTCAAGTCAAACTGTATGAACTGGATAGAAAAAAGAACCCACTTCAATGAACTCTGGGTAAGCTCTGCAGTTGAGGAAGCTGTTATTTGGCATTATTATATCTGTAAGTCCATAAGTTTGGGATTTGGCATGTCTACTACTCATATACAGATGTGTATTGTAGCAAATATCCTTATAGTAGTACCAAGGGGCTCACACAAAATAAATTAGAATGAATTTTAGTTGTAAAAACTATCAAAAGGGCTGTGATTGAAAACACATTTTATATACAGTAAACATTTATATATATATATATATATATATATATATATATATATATATATATATATATTAAATTTAACCATTACACCATGACAAACCAACACAAGCAAAAAGTCAATTGTTGATAATCAAGGCTGATAGATATTGTGATGCCCGTTGTGTTGCCCTGTTACGTCTTATATGTTGAATGAAATGCACCTTTTCGCCCTCCCCTCTAACAGCTCTCACCTTCACTTCATCATAGGCAGCTCGGATCAGTGAGGGATAGGAGCAAGAGGAGGCAGGTGTGTGTATCCATGTTTGTCTGAAAAGCCAAGGGACAGAATGAGCACAACAAGAAAGACTTAAGAGATCACAAGCTCTAACATGCTAATGACTACTGGGCTAAAAAATGAGACACATCCCTCCGAAACTAGATGAAATACATACCAAAGTTACTGGAAACAGCTCTAAAAGTAAAGGAGTGAGGCATGGCCCCTTTTAGTCGTGTACGTATGACTTTAAAAAACGTCTATCATCCAGATAGGCAGAATTTATTTATTTTTTTGCAGATTATCCGAGTTGTGATGTTTCAAATGCATGCAGCTCACATCCTACACATGCAGCAGAAGCTGTGGGCCACACAGCACAAAGGCTTACTCAGAGAGGAGGTGAGATTCATGTACAATATAGCATGATTTGGAGGTATCAAAGTTCAAATTTTTCACAGTTATCTCTGGCTGTCATTTGCAGCCTCTGATATGTAAAGTTGTTCCATGCAGCTTCCAGATACAAAGCCACCAAAGCTGCTGTCCAGAAAGAGTGACTCAGGGGGACCCACTGTGGATGTTAAAATTGTGTTGCAGTAGTTGCAGCTCTTTAAGCCTGTTAAGACATCCATCCATCCATCCATCCAGCCAGCCAGCCATGGATTTTGGCATTGTTCTAGCATTTTAAAAATACTCTTAGTTGCCTGTTGGGGATGCTGTAATAATTAAATGTCAAAGCTGCAAACTTTGAAAGGCCATAACTGCTGCAGTAGTGGTCTGATCTGGGTGTAATGAGGGAGGCTCTGTCTTGCAGCAGACTGGCTTTACTTGATTTTCTCATCTGCATCCTGCTTAGATGTCATTGAATCCGTAACACTAAACAGTTTAACTTTTTATCTATATTTTGAAGTTGGAGTGTTAGTACTCTCTTGTCCATTTATTACTTTAACCATATCCAGACAACAGGCTCTTAAAACCAGACTTTACCACCAAAAGTAAGACATTTATGAGTCTAACACAACAAAACAACAAAGAAGTACGTCAATTTTGGAATACATCCTGTCCTAAACTGTGGAGAATGAGTATAAAAACGGAGTATAGACCAGGGTATTAAAAGTGACGTTATCCTTTGGATTTTGTACAGTTTTTTGGATCCTCCCCTTTTATCAGCCTGTTATCTTGGAGTCATTAGTTTATTTGAGTAACAGGGTGAATAAGCTTTGCGACACGTTCATGCTAGGTAACATGGGGGCTTCTTGTATCTCAAGGCTACCATGCCCTACAGCAAACACAGCTTAATTGTCTGAATGACTCTAAATGGGGCCAAATACAGGCTTTCACATGGAGTCATCAAGGAAGGGTTTGCTGAGGTTGCAAATCTGGAGAAATTCCATAGCTTGTACAGAGCATGGATTTAGACTGAGTGAACCCATTGGTTTCTGGAGAGGCATTTTTAAACCAAATGATAACCGACTCCATTCTGGCTGATCCAGCTTAATTTTTATGAACAATCAATAAACATGCAATGCTGCTCCAGCTGGTCAACTAAACAGAATATGCCCAACTCTTAAGTTTTGATATCTTGAAAACAGATGAGTGATGGAAGCATTTAAATACAGAAATTAGCTATTAAAGCTCTTATAAAGAGTTTTTTTAACATGTGTGAAAAACACTGAAATTCAAATCAATGCCTCTTTGTGATAAACACAAGGAAAGAACATTAGCAACAAGATTGACGTTTTTTGAAAGGATGTTTTGATGCCTGTGACTTGTGTGGGAGGGTAGGTGTCAGCCAAGCAGCTGAAGAAACAGCTCTGTTTTCACATTTTACACGTAATAAATTCACAATTTCAGATAAATTAAAAATGGTCTAAGTCAAACTGATGGGATTTTTTTCTTTTCAGAGGACACTGCTTAAAGATCCTTTGAGGAACTTGAGGTTTGCGTCAATTTCTGCTTGTTGAAGTAGTGTTTTCCGACAAAAGAAATCTCATTCTGCTGACTTTTGACTGTCAACTGTACCATTTTTTGCAAGTGTATAATATGGTAAATGTAAAAACAGGGCTGTTTCTTCAGGGGCTTCACTGACAGGGATTAAAAAGAACAATAAGATTATCAGTCTTTTTGCTGGTGGCCTCAGTGGACTGCATTTCAAATGCCTGCATTTTTTCCGCACCTTAGCAATGGCTCCATCTCAGAAGTGGTTGTCTTCATTGAACTTATGATTTGTACAGGTTATATACAGTATTATTCTATTTCAGACTTAATTTTGTTTTCTGCATGGATTAACTTGCACATAAAGTTGAGGAGTGTCATTCTTTTGTGTGTGGGTTTATCAGCACTTATGTCATGTTAGTTACTTGCTTCAACTCCCCATGAGATTGTTGCATGAACTTAAAGGGATATTGCGGCGTAAAATTAAGTTAGAGTCAAACAAAATGTCAAATCAAATGTGTTGGGATAAATACCAGACTCCTATGACTCTTCTCAAAACCTGTCTAGCCCATCAGCATGTTTTTGAGGAACTGTACCTTGGGTGACAGCCTCTGCCCATCTAGATTCAGAAGAATCTTCTGCAATACCTCAAAAGTGCATTTGAGGTCGGGTGAGTATTGCAGGTTCAAACAGTATATTAGTCCAAATAACAAGGCACAAGCCATTCCAATATTTGCCAAAGCACTGAGGACTTCCACATCTTCAATCAGGACACCAATGACCTCAGGGTCTTTAGGCTCTTCCCCCTCCTTCTGGATGACATATACTCCCATCACAGTTTGCTCAAGGAAGTCTTTGTCTCAGTGTCTGTGTTCTGTAGGATAAAAACATGATAAATTTTAGACCAATTTTCCCCACACTTTTTTGGCTTGCAAACTGACTATGCTACTCTGTCACTCATGCAACTCACCAAATACATCTGCACAGGTTTCTCAGGGTCTTCATTCAAGTAGATGCACAAGGATCTGAGGATGCATGCTATTCTTGTATGTATTGTGTTGTCCTATAAGGGGGAAAAAAATAATCCATGCTGACATGACATTCTGTATTCCATCGCAAAAGCATGAATACAAGCATTGACTGTTAACTGAAAATTTGCACATGGTTACTAGGACAATGGTTTTACAATACCTGTGTCTCAGACATACAGACAGAGAAAGAACGACAGACAAGGACAGAGGCAGACAGAGAGAGTCAGACAGACAGATGCACAGAGACCAACAGACAGGCTCACAGGTCATAGACATCAACAGTAAAACAGAGACACAGACATGCAGACAGACCTTGGAAACGTCCACCATGATTTGTCTAATCCTCTTCCCAACTGCTCCACCTCGATGTTTAAATACCTCCATAAGATGTGGAGAGTACTGATCAAGCGCAGCAAAAAATGTTTAAAGCTAAGGCACAGTTGATATGCGCAGGAACTCTTTATCAATCTAAATAAGCACAAGCAATGTGAGAATAATTCATTCAGAAAATAGTAGTAACACATAATAAAGACAGGATGTATTGCCATTTGTTTGACAACCAATTTGGTGTAATACTATGTTAAACAGTTTCATTTCTTCGTCCTGTTTGAAGTTCACAAACTTTGACAGTATGAACCTTGTAAAATATGGCAAGCTTACTTCTCTCGCAGTGAACAGAGCTGGCCATCTGCTTTTAAAATCGGCAATCATGGGCTGGCCTTAGCAAGCCATGTCTTGAATGCACATTGGCAGTTTTCATCTATGCATAAATAATGCTGGCCTCTTCCATGATCGTGACGTAGTTTATAATGTTTCAGTAATTTGTACTTACTAGTCTCTCTAGTCGTACAATGTTTACACTGCCACATTCATGTCACTGAAAGAACAAGGGAAAAAATCATACATTCAGATTTTGTTGAAATTACGGAATTACATTCCATGAAATTACATGGGTCATGCTCTAGTAAATAATGTTTGCGATTTATTTAAAAGGTAAAAACTTGCCCCCTTAAAAAAAGGGGGGTAAAAATAATATACATATTGGATACATTGCTACACCTCAAAATGTCCGTTTTTAAATGTACAACAGATAAATATTATCTTAACATGTGTTTGAGAGGAGATTAAAATTGGGGAATGGCTCTACTACACAA